TAAGAAGTAGCATTGAAGCCGCAAAATCCTGATAAAGGAGTTGAGACACGAGCGAGCGAAAACAGCAGACTTGATAAATACAACTGTGATGGAAGCACTAAAACTAACTGTCAGATTAATTGGGATTGGTGATCAAAACCAAACGTTCTAAGTACCTGGTTGTATGATCTCCACATCTCTACTTAGTTTTTATTTTGGATTATCGTCCGCCAGGTATTCAACACAAGTAAGCATTTGCCAAAAATGAATGGCCCCTATATAATTTCTTCACACTCTTCTCTAATAAGGTAAGGATACTTGGTCGAATTGGCGTATCTATAGGGAATTTAAACTGTCTTATAGAGCATGGAACGCTAATTCCGAAAAAAATTCTAATTCTGCTTTCGATATCTGCAAAGCACTTCTGGGAGGGGAGTTATGGAAATTTTTGGCGCAAAAATTTAAAGACGCAGCTACAATAAAGTTTTTCAGAACTGTATGTGAGCTTGGAGGGAATCATGATCACTGCCTGCGTTTCATGCAGTTATTACCTTCATTCTAATAAATTCGAGTCAGTCGTTACTCCATTCAAGCGCCGGTAAGACCTCAATACTCGTTTTTACCTTAACCAAAACTTTGAATTTTTGCCTCAAAAAACCATAACAAGCATCCTAAAAACGCTTTGCAGATACCGAAAGCAATTCTAGAATCAGCGTTCCATGCTCTACAAGACAGTATATATTTCGTATGGAAAGGCCACTTCGACCAAGCATCCTTCCCTGGTTAGAGCCGAATAAGCATAGAAAGTGTTAGAATTTTTCAAAAACTAATAGTTAAAAACCTCTCGTTTTTGAGACTAACTAGGTAAATGTGTAATAAGTGGAAGTTTTGGTTTCTTCGCACACTGAAAAGCGGAATAGTGTAATCGCACGAGAGACAACGTGAAAAAGAGCACATGTCTGTCATCTGTCAAAAATGCAAATGCGTTTCTATGTCGTCGGAAGTAGTTCAAGTAAAATCTCTGACCGTACACACGAGTGAATAAGAGAAAACAGTAATAAAGTAACAATAGAAATATTAGATCCCTATACCACCGACTTTTATGTGACATTTAAAGACCAAAAAAATCAACTTATCGCAGAAATGTGAACTAGGTAGAAGAACTAGCTATGAAGTATGGACTGCAAACAAAACGCAGACTTTGACGATTCAAAAACTCCTCCCACGAGGCTTTGCATTACTCATTGCGTGCCTTTTTGTCAGACGTAATGCCCATTCAGAATGGCGAACGAATAGAGTCTAAATTTTCACAAAATAAAATGTGCTCTGAGGCCAAGACGATAATTGCGGGAATATCGAATGGGAATAAATATAGTGACGAGTGTTGCTACGGCCTCCCTAGAATTCGCAAGAAAATCACTGCGAAGTGCAGGATGAGGTCGGTTATGTCCTGAGGCATTGTAGCCATTGGTTTCCTCCGTTCGACACATCGTATCGATCGGCGAGCAGAGCACCAGCAGCACGGCCGCTGTTGTAGAGCTGCAGAGCTGCAGAGCAGCCGGGATGAGGGCGGCCGCGGATCGGCTGGCCCGCCGCCAACTCCCAGCCGCCCTCCGCGACTGCCGCACTCTCTCCCGCCCAGCTTATAACCTTCGCATTCAGCTGTTTCCGTACGGCCATTTATTATGAGTAGAATGCGGCCATGTGTGGGTGAGTGCTTAATTCGGAGGGCATTCCTTGGGAAATGCGCTGAAAAAGCGACACAAGAAAGAGGAGGGAACATCATTCAGCAAACTCTCTAGGGGAAAGGCAAGGATGTAGACCTCTATGATATATGGATGCTGTCAGCGAGGCCACGAACACTTTGCACTGAAAAAGAGGACACAAAAAAAACATCCGGAAGGAAAACGAGGACGCAGCTGAAAGGAAACTCTCACAGGAAAGACTCTCAGGGTCTTTTTCAAAAAAACTAAACTTTATCGTCCAGCAATCGAAGGACAAGATCTAGCCTGCCAAAATTGTTATGATTTATACTAGCCTAGCATTTGGGCTGTTTGCCCATGTCACAGCCTGGAAATAAGAAATACATGACAAGTAAAGGAAATAATGGTAAAATTTGAGTTACTTCTAGAGTAGTCGTGCACATTATAGAAAAGAACTATCTGTCCCATATTGTGCACGATTGATCTAGATCATCAAATCGCCAAATTTGATCTTCCACTCAAATTTTCGTTAATCGCATATATCACTTTGTTCTCCTATTTCCTTCAGTCATTTCCCACATCTCCCCAGTGCTGCATCCTAGCAATTATATATCATTTCTGCGCTGCGTAAAAAAACCTTGAAGTAAAGAGCCAGCACATTATAACACCTATGGAGAGACGAGTTTTGACTGCAGTAAATCCATTCATCCAAAAAGAAAGAATTCGAGAAAAACAGTCTTGACGTGGAAGTGTCAAATTTTGGTGGCAGAATGAAAAATTAAGAGAAAAGCGGAAATCAAAGCGGCACTAACAGATAGTCAAAAAAATTCAAAAGTCTTCAATTTTACTGGAAGGCACTGACGGTGAAATTCCAAGGAAAATGTTCATGGATCGAAAAAGGCTGTGCGGGCAAAGGCTTGCAAATTTCTCAATCCCTAACTCACCTAGAGCTTTCAGTATAAGAAATGAAACAGTTAAGATTTCCAAGTAGATGTTGATAAGTGACAAACAACAGCATTACGCTTCTTCCCAACATCGAAGATTATTCTCACTGTGATAAATCTAGCTGTTAAGGAGCGCCAGAAGCGTTTCTGACCGGATAGAAGCGAAGTTTTATGAATCAAACGGTGGATCAAGCTAGCACTATCCATAAAGTCGAGTAAGATAGTTCATCTAAAAAATTCATAGCCTTTCGAACTATGCTGCACGAGTCAAACAGGCTGTATCGCAGAATCACCCATCAAATTCTTCTCAATGTGAATGTGTTTGTTGCCTCAGAATCAACATGCCGCAGCCAAACAACGAATTTGACGGGTTCCTGTAAAGCCAGACCCTCGAAACAGATTGCTTTGATCTTCGCAAAGGACTATCAAAGAGAAAAAAGAGTTTTTCAAAGATTTTTACCATTCTCGCTGATTTATTACTAACTCAGATGTACCTACTACCTATGTATTATCATGGGAAGAATGGTCATGCAAAGTAGGAAAAACGAAGAAAAAAAACCCTTAATTTGTGATCTTTTAGAGATTAATCAATGTGCATAGAAATGTGTAAGAAAGATGCTATTGGCGTAGGAAGACTGATTTTTTGGTTCAAACCTTTCGAGTATATTTTTTGATATAGTGAATGTATAAAAATCAGAATAAATCCTTGGAGGACCTGTCTTCGTACTCAAGTTCTGAAGCATTAGGGAGATTAGGAGGATCAATGAAACCAAAGAACGAATGAAACCTGCAATGATTAAGACGTGCATATACTCACGTTTGAAGCAAAAAATAACTTTTGACATTTCATACGCTACTGGCAGGACGAATGAAAACGAAAGTGTGCGTGCACATTTCCTTATCTAAAAACGAAAATGAAAACCCCCTTCCTTCTCCCCTCTCCCGCTGAATATTTTTCTGAATCAAGAAACAAATAGACCAAAAAACTAGGTAATACTGTGGTTCTCAGAATTTTTCTCCAAACTTATCCTCGATTAGAGCATATACAGGAGTAAAATTCTATTACCGAATTTCCGAATATCACTGTACTACAGACTATGTGGGAGCTACATGGAATCGCGTTCACTTACCAATTCCTTCTTGACATCTAAGTGCGTAAAAAAAGCTTTTTCAAATATTTGATATGTACATCAAATGATATTGAAGTAGGACAATTGTAAGATGATATTCTAGCATGAAGATTCAATTTTATGAAAATAGAATATTTCCAGCTCTGGCATTATAGACCATGATTTGGATGGGTGCTTGTTGGCCTTCGAAACTCTGCTCCACCATCTCAACCCCTCATATTTTTCCGTTTTCACTTTGTATCAGTAGCATACGGGACCGAGATTTCTTTGCTTCTACTTTACAAGATTTGGAATTTGCCGTACAAAATCTGACCATGTAATTGCTTGTGTGATCACTTCAAAGCAGTCTAAAATATCTTGCAAAGAGATGGGCGAATTCATTTAATTTCTACCCTATCTTTCGCAGCTAAATTAACTCTGCGGGTTTCTCATTTTGTAAGCCAATCTCAAATAGTTGGAATGATCAAATTTCTACCGATACCGAAGTGCTCTACCCTCGAAGTGTCTGAGCAGGTCGTCACTAAAAGCATTCAATCCTCCTGAGATTTTCAGTGCAGCGTCAGGAAGACCACAACATTCCTGAGAATCTGCTTCACTCAGATTCAATTGTGAAGCTGCCATTCAAGTGCAAATTGCTTCACAAAGCCAGCGATCGGTTCGCAAAGTAGCCCGAAATGAGAGCAGGAGGTTTTTTGAATAAAATTATAGAAAAAATTTGTAAAGTTCTTCAAAATTTTGTTTTGGTTCCAAAATAGGAGAACGAAGGAAATTGTTCCAATACATGCTGAAGCTGTTTGGGTGCCAAATGGGATCAAATTGAGTTTTCCTAAGATGTTTGCAGAACTAGAATGGCAATAACAGAACGATAGTCGACCAAGCCCCGAAAACCATGAAGAAGATTCTTCGAGAACATCATGATAGCAGCTGCCTAAATGACTATGACATCATGCCGGAACTGTCCTGGAAGCCAATATTCCAATATTTCCTCTCAGCACTCTCGTGATGGCAAGGAATTACCACTTGATGCCTACATACTGAGAAGAAAGTGCCGGAAGCAACAGATTCATTCCAAAAAAAAGACAAAATCAACAGCAAGGTCTACAAACAATGATAACAATGGATACAGCATCAACAAGGTATCACAGATTCAACAACATGAAATTATCAAGAAAACTTATTACATTCTGCATTCAAATCTGATATGCTTGAGAGGATGGCGTGACATGACTTCAGCAAAAACGCAGTCAGTCTTGAGTATCCAGCAAGTCTTCTACCATTTTCCTAACTTCTGCAAAATCACCAAAAAAGCATCCCTCAGCGAAGGTGTTCGAGGCACATGGATCATAGAGCGTTTGTCCATTAGGGGTGCAGTTTTGTGCAACCTGTATAATGAAAGATTACTGAGCAAAGCGAGTTTGATATTTACAGATTTGACAAAGTTTGAGCGTTCTAGAATTTATTATTTCAAAGAACGGAAAATCGGGAAAGTGCAAACAATGCTTTGCTTTGTTTGGCCTCATTCATTTTTTATTGGCTTGCAACTCGCATGATATATGAAGTCCTGATTTTTCTACTTCCTACCACTCGAACCCAATCCCAAAGGAGAAGAAAAACAACCACAATATCACTTATCCTATGCAGATACCGTTCGCTATGCAAATGGATGTATTCTACGTGTTTCCAATCCACTCTCAGCGCTTGAGTTTTTATAGGATGGTATTTTTTATGGCGGTTGTTGAATAGGCTTAAAAGCCTTTTGTTGAACTTTTTGTGCAATTCCGCCGCACAGAAGCATTTATGGGAATTTTCCGAATCCAAGCATGAACGATTTGACCAGACATAGCGTCGTATTTGTTCAAGATTTGAATTGCAAATATTTGTGCAAGCATAAGCGCTGATTGAGAATAGACGATAAACACGGTAGAGTGCAATTCCAAATCACAATGTAAATATCTTGAAACAGATTTTTCTTATATAAGGGAATCTCAAAAGTATGCATACATGTTCGATCGTTGATATCTCTTCTCCCTTCCCAAAAACCTTTTGCCTACCTCCAGATACCATTTTTGTAGAGCTGGCTTCAAATTAAGTTCATAATATGAGGTAAACAATTTCTATTCGTTATTGTATGTTTACGGTAGAAATTTCGAGAGTTCTGAGTCTTTGTGGGCCATAACTTAACCCTAAATGAGAAACAGAAAAGCTGAAAACTCCTACATAGGTTAAGAAGAATGATTTCGAAAATAAAATTGGTTGTCCCAAAGATTTTGTCAGTTTTTCCAAACGACTATATGACCACGCACAATACAGACTCAGATGAGTTTCAGCATGCATTCGATGCAGCTTTTCCTTCTCTTTCTTATGGTTCCGGGATCAGAATTCTGCATGCGTTTGGTAATTGGTATAATTTTCCACTCGTCATTTCCTGCTTGAAATTCGGCTAATTTTCAAATTACATTCCAAAGGAAAGCAGTGAGTATGGCTCAACTAGAGCAGATCTCGGCCTATACGGCAACGTTTTGAGATTTTCCCAATGTGCTGTTTCCATTCAATTATTTCTCCAAAAGTCTCATTTTTGGCAACGTTCTGGAACACGCAGCTGCAGCAAAAACTAAAAGCGGAAGTTTCTGCGAGTTGCAACTTGATTGTTATCAAATATCATTTGTGCAACATGAAGTTTGATTTGCTTTGAAGAATCGACTTTGCGGAAAATTTGGTACTCTTACGTGTTGAACGTCATCAAAAAGCCGCGGTTCTTTTCAACTACTTAATTATTACGAGTTGATTTGCATGGCCATGTAATATAAAATGGGTGTAGTGTAGCCAAAGGTTTGCTCTACATAACAACCATCAACGCTCTCCAAACATATTAAGATGAGTTTTTTTTAATTCAGGGAAGATTTGGCGTTACTGTTGAGCTGCTCAAGAAGCCATGGCGATAACTTTGCAAAGACAGTGTAGATGTGAGTATGCTGATTACGAATACAATACTATTGTTTGGAATTATCAACTACTTCTATCGATTTTTTTCGCAAAGTTTGAGCAACGGGGCTGGGAGTTGGCATAGGAGGGTAGGTGGGCATGCTGATTTCGAAAACAAAATAGGATAGGAAACTGACATGAGAAAGTGGGCACAGGGAGCAGTTGTACAGTGATAGGGATGGGCTTTATCATAGTGTTTTGACAGTGCTAGGCGAAGCCGGGTATGTCAGCTAGTGTCAAATATACCGCGACAATCGGTTTCAATGTTCATCAAAAATCTGATTACCATTTCAAAGCTTTGAAAACTCGTAAAGCTCTTGTAGTGAGACTTGTTTGAGAACCTTGTTAAAATTTTCAAATATTTTTGAAAAATTTTACACAAACGGCCTATCTCAGAGTGGCGCCATTTGCTGCGAGTTCCTACCGTAATTCTACAGTAATAAAGAGCTACAGGTGATTCTTTTCCTTTTGAAAATCTCCAAGGGCGAAGGAGTGATTAACACGTAGACGACAACGCGCATTTTTAGTTGTCTGCCTTGTGGGACAATGCCTTCCACGAACGAGTCGAAAATTTCTAGCTAAAATCAAGCAGATCGTCATCTTAACTATACCTACACAAATTTTTGAAAGCAGCCAAGAAACGTCAAGGTATTTTCTAGGGTTAGAGCGTAAAAAACCTCAGGGAACGGATGTACCCAGTAATTGTTATTATTTCAAAAAAATTCATGCCGTGACCCACTATGTGGGTCACATTGTCCCACGTGGTAGTCATTGCATGACCCACCATGTGGGTCATGTTGTCGTCAATGTGTTAAGCAATTTTTAGAAGGTTAGTGAGGACTAATTAGTGAGGATAATCACAACCAACTTAATTTTCGAACTTACTTGTTCAGATTCTTGCAATATTTCTTTAGCTGTAGGCGACTTTTCTGCAATTAACCGATAGCAAACATCAGGATTCAGTGCCATCTCAGAATTTAGAACATTTTTTGAAAGTAGAGAGGAAGCCTAAATACTGGAATTCGGAGGGAGATTTGAAGAGTGCAATTTCAGAGATGAATTGCGATCACAATGTCAAAGTGCAGCTTGCGAGCAGGTCCCATTCACTGCAAGAAGACTATCAAGTATATCTCACCTTTTCGCGAATGCTCTGGTCTTCATCCTGCAGAAAGGCTGCCAGCACTGCTATCAAATCATCATTTTTACCTGAAAAAAAAAACGCGAATAGGTAGATGACGAACAAAAAATGATTTTCACCATTACCTTTTCGTAACAGACAACCTCCAACTTGCAGAGCCACCCTCTTCGACATTTCTTCCTCCACGTTCAAGCATGATTTCATCCATGCCAGCTGCTCGGGAAAGTTTTCTTCATCGCATAAGTAAGATAGCAGACGACGAGCAAGAGATATTGTGTCCAACCTGACAATAAAAATTTCAGGTATGCCCATTCTGAGAAATTTCCGAGATTAAATTCTGGAGCACGCTAATCTCACATCCTCCATTCACTAGCCAACGAATGAGAAATGACAGACACCGCCTTCTTTCGAACTTTGTCAGTCATAATTTCGCGATAGAGATAGAGCACATCCAAGATCTAGAAAAGCAGCTTTCTATTTCCATTTTTAGCTGAAATCCCATAACGGCCGATAACTGACAATACTCACACATCTTGCTTCGCGTTCGCTAGGGCAATGCTGCAAATCTTCAACTGCTAAAGCTTGAACGGCTTCAAATCTCTGAAAAGCAAAATGAGCATTTGCGCACTCAGACTAGAAAAGCCTTGAGCGGTAGGAGAAGTTTTTTGTCCCACAAAAGCATAAGTTCTAAGAAATTTTTCTGTGATAGGCGTAAAATGTTTTGAATCGCTATAAATCAGTGTAGCATTTCCTCTTGAGAAAATTAATTTTTGCCAACATTTACATCACCTGAGAGTCCATCAAATATTTAGTGTGTTAGAGGAGAAATGGTTGATTTGAAATTTTGCTAAACATTCGGAAATTTCTAATCTAAAAATGTTAAGGACTTAAGTTTCTAGTTTCTTCTATTGCCAGTGCCGTTACGATGACAAGGCGACTGCAAAATACGATCGACCACCGTGTTCGGGACAAGTTCAATTTGTTCTATTTTACTTCTCCGGAGCTGATTTGAGCTGCTTAACAATTTTTTTTGTTTTCTCTTTTCTGTTCTGTTTCTAACAGTAAGTTCTTTCGACTGTTCCGATTATGGTACGCCTTGTGCGTAGCATATAAATAAGAAACTTTCGCATCTTGAGGGTAGACACAATGAGGTACTGTTTGTTTGCTAAGTCCTCCGCGTCTTTTGGATCTAGAATTTCATTATGCCGATTTCAACTAATACGACAGCTTCTCTATACATCTCCTCCACTATGGATCACAGTTTCTTTTTTCTGTGCACTGCGCAAGATCTGAGCGTAAGTGCAGCCGGTGTTGACACAGACAAAGTTCCCGTATGGCTTTTAAAAAATGCGGAAGATTTTCTTTGTGGTCGAAAATTGATAATGGAATCCGCGGATTTTTCCGATTTATAAACAGGTTCATTTCCAGACCGGAAGACTTTGACTTCTAGAATGGAGACATCTGTCACAATGCTCATGCTATTTTCTATAGAAACAACAGAGACATTTGTCGTCAAGGTTTAGGCTACAAACTGAAATCTCCAAAATTCACCGAAATTTCCCTTAGCTAAAAAACTCAACCGGTAAAGGCCCCCAAAATGGTATAAGTATGCTAATATCAAATAAATATCGTGTCACGTGGAAACAAAAAAGAACGAATAAGTTACCTCGCCCGCGTCGCCTCTGAGCTGCAATTGCCTGTATACTTCCAACCTCAACTCAAAATCACTAAGCATCTGAGTGTCATTCAAATTACCGGACACCATGGCATACGCGAGTGGGCGCTGCAAAGACATCCATTCGTGTTTTTTTGCAGACTGGCACACACAATGAAGAAGCTTGTTACACTGCTAAAGTATGCTACCGTAACCCATTCTGTGGGGTAAGCTGGGATTTTTGCCCATCATACGACAAAAAAAAAGAAAAATTTTCACTTGGCGGTATAGGGCTTGCTTACGTGTCATACGCAAGCAATGTGCAATAAAGCTTACATTCCACTTATACGTACCCTAGTTAGTGTCATTCCGCTGACGTTCAATGATGTTGCAAAATCCAAACCGAGATCATTACAAAGAACCAGAAGTATATTTTTGTTATAGTCGCACCTAAATCATGAGATTTTACGTAGAAGGTACTACAGAATAACAATTGTATTTACCATTTTAGCCAAAATCCATTGTCTATCACAGCTTCGAGATAAATCTTGATGCGATCCCTAATTTCGTGTCTGACATCCATTTCTAGCATGTAAGATAGCTTAATGTGATATTTGATGTATTCTGGTTGGATAGAAAAAATCAATTTGATAAGCTTGAGTTGCAGCCTACCAGCAATAAAACCGAGTGGATGTGGTTATGAATCACATTTTTCAAATCGGTCTTCTCAACCCAATCAAGAACAAAAGAGATATCCTGAAATCTCAAGATATGATTAATGTGGAAGAGAAAATGGGAATAACACACACACCTTCGGTCGAGCTATGGCAACGAGAGCAGCCGCAGAAAGTTTTCTGAGCTTTTCGGCTCGACACCTGAAGAACTGAAGTTGATGTTCTGTTCTTGTATCAGATGAGAAGATAAAAGAGTAAAGTGTTTTCTAAATTGGAACAAGAATAAGATGAGTCTTCTATGCATCAATACAGTAATATTCTTAATAATACTCAAACTCAAAAAAATTTGACATAACCTACCATAACAGAACTCGAATCAAAGCAGGAATGAATGGAGCTAATGGGTAATTGCACATATTTCCATACGCAGCATTTGTCTTCGTAGGCGCAATCTCATCAGCATGCGAGGGGAATAAATGAGTTAAGAAGATGAGTATTGGGTAAAGACTGAATTCATCTCTGCAGTCTTGGAGTTGCTTATATAGATAAAGATACAGCGAGGGGAACCTGTAAGTGGATATAAAACTAACTCAACAACAATAAAAAAAGACGTTTTCGATCAGTACCTGGAAAAGAACTCGTAAGAACTTTGGCGATTTTTCTGGTCCACTTGAAGGTCTCTCTGACTCGTATGTGTCACTCCAAAAATCCTTGAGCGAAGAGCGGCTGTCAACTGAGCCGCTGCGTTCCTCTCCGGCCAAGAAGACGATGAGCAACCGCTGATTGCTACACGACAAGCCCACTGAATGAATTTATAGAAGCATTTTCTGCAGTTTGCATTCTGTCCTGGTACTTACCTCTAATGCTGGAATAACTCTTTCACCGAGAGTAGCAGAAGAAAACATAGCTTTCAAAACATTCATCGAGTGAATTCTGTAAATTGGATAAAGAGTGGAGAACGAAGAGAGATCTGATTTCGATTACCTGTAGATTAATTCCTTGTCTTTCATTTCTAGAAGCGACCTCATCGCCACATTCATCCAGTGATCCGAGTTGTTTGGCGGCTCAGTAGCCAAGATGGCCGTGATGAGATGCGGTACTCCCGCGCTGCGTCTCGTTGAACAGAGATTGTGCAAATCTAGATTATTCAATTACAGACATATGAAAGAATCGTATCCCACAAAAAACCTTTTCCTCCTTGCAAAGCAGCAAGAATCTCTTCAAGCCACATAGAGGGCTTTGGCAGCGCAGGATCATTGCTCTTCCAAAGGTAAGCGCAAAGAGAAGAAAATCTAAACACACGTCAATCTTGATTACGATTTTTCAAATACACTAAAAGTCACCCATCAACGGCGGTTTCAAATGCTCCACAATGCTTGCATTCTGTCAACTGTAGCCAATAGTAATCACCGATGCGGTGAACAACTTCTGGACTCAAGATTGAAAAGGGACAAAGCTGTAAAAGACTACTTCCACAAGTTGTTAGATTTCTGTCCTCTGTAAAAGCACCTAGTGACTTACCTTCACAACAGTCCAGGCCAAGATCGTGGAGACGTATTTGTGAGCACGCCAACAGCATACCAACAGCACTTGCGACATCTCAGCAGCAATTTGAACTTTACTGTCGAGCGGACAGATGGATGCTGAAAGTTCAGCTTATGACAAAACATCTCTCTTCTAAGGCAAAGATATAGTATCCATGACGAGCTGAGGATAAAGAGGTAGAAAAATTAAGTCTTATTACTGACTCATTTCAACCAAAGCTTCATCAGGTATGTAACCCTCTGGTGACATGGAGTGGACAGCAGGCATCACCTAGAAAACGCACAGGAACTTCCTGTTGTTGTTCAATCAAGGTAAAACAAAAGTTTAATAGACCAGAAAAAATGGCAAGATAAAATGTTTCTCGACTGAAGATACTGTTTGGATCAAAACTTAGAAAACTCACTACATCAGCAACTACAAAACAAAGAGGAATCAGTCTCATTTGTGCAAATTTCGTCCACCACTCTAAGTCGCCAGGTCTATGAAAATAAGTTCTCTCAAAAATAAACAAACACATCCGAGGAGAAAGATAACGAGGACTCACTTCATTTGCTCGAAAGTGACGCTTTCTAATAGCAGCATGATGGTGTTCAGCCATGGATGCAATGCTTTCTTCGTTATCTCTATCTGAGTAAACGAAATGAGCAAAACTGATGAATAATATGCCAAAGAATCACCAGATTCTCCCTGGCTGTTTTCACATCTTCCTCGCAAATGGAGACAAACTCTGATAGAAGAAATCGCAAAGATTCAGGATGATGATAAGTGTAAAACTGGAACAAGATGATAAGAAACCACAACATTACGCAGAAGGCGAAGACAAAAACCATTATAAGTCTACCTGCGTTCTATAACCAGCGGCTAAAGTATTGTGAGATCGCACTGATCGCATCATTTCCATGGTCTCATTTTTGAAAGTATCAAAATCCTAATAGAAACTATCACAACATGCTCTCTCAAAAACCCTGACTTACGAAGTTTTTCGGTTCCATGTTTTTGAGAATATCAAGCGCCATAATTTGACAGAGCTGGAACGAATCATCAAGGCAAGCAACCAATGCTGTATATCTCTTCGAATTCAACGCAGCTGGTAAATTCAGTTGTTTAAGGAATAGAACTAAAAATAGCAGGATGACGCAGAGATGTGACGACGCAGCACGAGTGAAAAAAGGCACAAGAATGCAAAAAGGAGTAAATTAAATTAGCGGATCCCAACCTTTCCCATGTACTTTCAGAGATTCTTCAAGAAATAAACAGCGGATTATTGACAAAGCCATGATTCGTCTGTCAAAATTAGCTTCACACGACAAAGAATCAAATGATAACGACACCAGGAAGCTAAAACGGTTTGAGATTTGCGGAAAGACACAGGAAGAAAAGTAGTTTACCTGATAAATTCGTTATAACGCTTAACTCTGCCCTCGTCAGCATCCTTTCCTTTGAGTACTTGCTCGCTTGTTTCAGCAAGGCGAGTTAGTATCTGAGCGAAATAGCATAATCATGACCATCCAACAGACTGGATATCTGTCACCTTTCTCAACCCAGCAAGAATCTTCTGACGGATAGCTGGCAGCTGCTCGGTCATGTTTGTGAGAATAAACGCTCGTACGAGACTCAAATCAACTTCTGTCAAAACTTTGGTGCGTTGCGGATGCTCCGTAAGCAATAGCCAAGCTGCAAGGCGTACCTCAAACGCAGTGATATCCTCACTTCAAAAATAAAGACGATGTTACCCACTTGCACACTGCAATGAAGGACGGCAGATTCCATAGTTTTCAATGAAATAAAATCATTCCAGTATTTGTATGAGTCGCATTTTTTGTTTGAGATGACAAGAAAACGCGTGATAGATAGTAATGAATCAAGACAGTGCACATGCAAAGGCACATCTAAAAATAAAAGATGAGAAAAGACAAGAAATGAGTTGAGTAGTAGCCGCCATCTTTTTGATGGTGAGCTGATTAATCATCATTAAAATGCAATTTCTATGTTATATCAAGTGAACAACTTTCAAATGCCCTTAAAACAAGCAGGAACATATGAAGCAAAGTGATGAAGAATCTTTGTAGAGCTTTTTGGATGTCAAGCAGCAAAGCCTAAAAAAATTTACGCAGAAACTCACTTTTCATTCTTTCTAGTACGAGTGGAAGAAATTCATCCTTGAGCAGCTTAGTCCTTATCAATTTGGGTAATAAACGGTCCTGGAATATGCAGAAGACTGGAAGAATGGATAATCACGAGGATTGATTCGATCTCACCTTGATAGCAGTTCTGACTTCATACGCATTAGTAGAAAGGCAGGATATAATCTGCTGAATATGGAGGTCCCATCGGCTGCGATTCTCCGAAAGATCAAAAGAGATGATATCACTGATCTAAAAAGGTACCCAATTAGGAATTTGAAACAAGTCAGAACGACATGACGTATAGACAATATGGTATAATAGCACATCTCACCGCAACTGACAGCGTAGCGTTTCCAATATGAGAATAGACATCTTCAATCAATGCAGTATCAATAAGGTTGGCATATGTGGAATACGACTTCAGCATATAGAGCTAAACGAAAACTATATTCTCACTGCTATAGAGCCACCCACTTACCAAACATTTGTATCTACTTCGGCAAGAGGATACTCCGTGAAAAAGCTGTGTGGCTATACCATTAGTCCATTCACATCCTATTCTATGAAAATCTCAATAATATTATTTTGCCGTTGAAGATAACTCTACTAGTCCGTACAGCGACAAAGCTTGCGAATATTTACTGGCTTACAGATCCCTCACCTTGCCTTGCATTTTGCGCATTTTAGACTGTGAATCGAAAGAAGCATTTCGAATATATCCACAGTTTCGTAGCAAACAACCTCCATTATTACATCCCACGTTCGAAAGACGTAGTCTAGCACTCGACGCTGACAGTCAGCAGAAAGATGAAAAGAGAAATCTCTAGAAAATGATATGTTTAAAACAAGTGACTTCTTACATTAAGCAACGTACTGGGCAATTGTCATAATTCTTTTAATGGTTGCGGAACATAAGATGACACTTTGCGCAAATTGCGATGATCGCTCACTTTCTTCCAAACACCGATATAAGCAGCAATCAACGAGGAAACTTGGATAGCCTTTAATAGGCTCAAAAATCAAAGGTGAGACCTAGGTCAATTATGAGTCGATAAAAGCCATTCAAAAATGAAAAGAAAACCCTTACCTTTCTGAACAAAAAATGCATTCCCGCAGGACCCTTTTCCAGACAATCATCCACGTATTTCTCTGGATCAAACTCAAACCCATCAGCAGCTTCTCGTTGCGCCATAAAGTGGATCTAAATCTTTTTTTAAGTGTAAAATGTTCTGCAAGCTAGTACTGTTTACAATATGTGCCTAAGAAAGCATGATGGAAGTAATAAAATCAACAATTTTGCAATCGAACTAATACAGTAAGCAACTTTATTAAATGAAGAGGATCTTCTTCGCGAATTTTTGAAATTTGCTGAACAAGTCTGAGAATGCGTCCCACACAAAGGATTTACGGCACAGTGAAGGACATTGCATGAATGGAGGATAAATTAAGATAGCTTTACAAAGGTGGTGAGGTTAGGCCAAATAGGGGGATAAATTACCCTCGGAAATGTCTTGAACAGTTCGAAAATGAAGCACTGTTTACGCTGTCTAAGCTGTTTACCCATTCATGAAAGACGCGAAAGGAGTACAGTTCATTTTTATAATGTCTTATGGTGCAAGAGGCTCTCGACCGGATAAAGCAAAGAAGGTGCTCAGTTCTTGTCGTGATACCATGAAAGGACTTTTTTTTAGAGGAGCCTTCGAGTTACTAACCGCACCACGGCCGCGCAGAAGATGAACGTCTCCCGTTCACCGTCAGTTTCCTTTGCTTGTTAACCTTTTGAGCTCAATCTACAGCTAGCAAAGATTAAAAAGAGTACACAAGGAGAAGTCCTGTAAGCGGAAAGAGACCTCCTCTCTAGAGTAGTCTCAAAAGTCAAAACGATGGATCCTGCGGCTGCTTGTTTCCCGTATAGCCTTTTTTTGCTGATGTTTTTCTCTGGCAGAAACATTTGCAGGACCTCTCGAGTTCAACAAAAGTTTGTAAACTGTGCCAGCTGAATTGTTAGGCATTCACACACTTACAAATTAGATACATATAGGCTGTACCAACCAGCATCGGTTATGCGACGTCGCGCCTGCGGCGACTTGCGATGATGCGATGTGACGTGCGAACTCTCCCACGCGTTAAGGCACGTCGCATGCGGCAGTGCGTTGTCGCAAGGCATGCTTGCGCGGGACCGATGCCGGCTGATACAGCCTATATGTAGTCACCAGTTCAAAGCGCCGCTTCGCGGCGCTTTGAACTGGCCGTGTGTGTTAAGTGGGATGTGACTCAAAGTTAAGATATTTGAAGATTTGTAGCAAAGTAAGAGGCGGAATTTCCAGACATGTAACGATCCCAAAGGCTAACGAAGTCAATGTATCACATAGCCTGGTTTTTCCCTGGTTTGAGCCCAACTCCCCCCCCCCCCTCTCCTCCTCCCCAATTTCCTACACAAAAATTTAGTGTGAAACTGCCAACTACCATCTTTTTTTGCATTCCCACCTCTTCAGATTCAGCTTACTGTAATAATAATGAAGTTTATGTGTTCATAGTCTGTCTTCATCCGGAACTGGCACAAACCGACATAATGCGCTCCGAACGCCACAGTTGTGACTCATGTCTGCGAGTCGCTAGAGGTGGTGGCGTCAAGACCTGTCTGTTCCCTCAATTTCTTTTATCTGCCGGACTGCTATAGGGCGCAAATGCAGCGCAAACCCTTTGCGTTGTCGCGCGGTTTTGACCAAGTTTTGGCCTGATAGTGATCGAGTAATACACGCGCGGAAATTTCTTTTTCCTCCTACATCTTGCCGGGATCCTTAGACCGCAGTGGCTTTCTCACACTCGTAAAAAATTTCCAGCCTGAATGTGCCTCCAAAGTGCGTTAGTATTTTAAACTCTGGACTTGCTACCTACTCATCGCAAAATTGAATCAGAGAATATCCAACTCAACATTTTTTGATAATCTAGCCAAAATTTGTACCTTAGTCCAAAATTCTATAAATCAAGATACTCCTTCCTTCTCTTTCAAAATTTGGTGATAGCGCCAACTCCACTTCATCTCCAAAACATTCTACTGTCAAAATGCCCCTTCGGTTTCACAACTTGCCCAACTCCCTTGCAAATTCATTCAAAGTGCTCCAAAATGATTTATTCAGGCTTATCTTAGCAGGCTCCCAATATAAATTTTGTGAAGGACCTACTGTGAAGAGGTTTTTATTTTGTCAGCTGGAGCAATTCCTAGTTGCTCGTATGATTTTGAAACTGCGCTATTCAAATACTTTACACTTCTTATTTCTATAGATTTAGTTGATAGTTAGTGATGCCAACTTGCATTTTATTTTGTGTCTATTCATAGCTGAAATATCAGCGGCAGATTCAAACAGCATAGAGCCTTTCTAAAAACTTCCATTACGATCACAGTGACTTACTTTAACATACCCTTGAACTTTTCGGGTTTGGAGAAATATCCGAAAATTCAAAGTTAGAGCTCTTTTGGTACGTACGTTTTCTTAGCTAGAAGAACTTTTGCGCTTAAGTTTGAAAAAATTCCAAAGCGATTTGTGTCACCACACTGTTACTCTTTTGAAGGATATTGTTTCTTATATTTTGTCTTCAACTATGTGAAAAATTCAGACAGTGCTGAAATGTCGACAAATGGAACCGTGCTTTTTATTATACAGTAAGAGGATGAATTTTCCAGAAACGGACAGGGATTTGTTGTGGCTTTTTTTTTTTCAATAAAAAACACTTATTGTTAGTATTACACAGACGAAATTTTGAAAACTGCAACTTTCTTGCTGAATTTCCAGCAATATCGTGCTCGAAAGGAAAATATTAGCTAGAAGCTTCCGAAAGCAAATTTGGTGCGGTATATTCAGTAGAAAACATTTACGCATTTGCTGAATGAGATTTTTTTCCTAAAAACGGTTTGGCGCAGCTTCTATAGGACCAAAAACTTCTGAACATTGGTGATAAGCTGGCAAAGACAACAACCTTTTCTGCTAGAAAATCTAATAGATTTTCTTAGACTTATGGTGCGTTTCAAAAGAAGTGCTTAGGAAAAAATCATGGGTGGAGACCATGCTCAAGAAGTCAAAAATTTTGAGAACTTTCAAAAAAAAATTGGCAATGAACCACTTACGCAAGAATTGTAGCAAGTCACACACAAAATATTAGAGGAAGAGGCTAAAATTCCGAAATACGGATTTAGTGCAACTTCTCTATCATCAATCAGAAAAACAATAAGCACTGTAGAATTGAACAAACATACGGTGCTTCTCTAAATAGAAAAACACATTGTCTGCTAAAAGAAACCTGAAGATCGCAGCTCTTTTGCTAAAACAATTGTCATGTATTTTTTGAACTTAAATGGCACAAAAGTATCAGATTTGAGGAAACAACGCTTGTGTACCTTCTGCATATGAAGATCCATATTTGGACTGAGTAGATTTCTAAGAACGCTACATGTACACGTGCATTTTATTGCAAACTACCCACTCTGATTCTAGAAGTCGTAATTTTGTAGAGGCGATCTGATGTAAAGCAGAGATGAGAGTAATCGATGTTACTGCTCACAGCGTTTAGTGTCTACTGGTTGCATTTTTGGTTATGTTACTTGATCAATATCATCTAAGCCACGCATCACCACCATTATGAGTCATACGTTGTGCATAGGCGGCGCTCGGTCGGACCGTAACCGTAAACAGTCTGGAAGCGGGCGAGAGTGCAAAACTTAAGACAGAGATCTCTACAAACATCCGTTGCCCTGATGGGGGTGCTCGCGCTTTATTATAGAGTATGATGATTGTAGGAGGAAAGTCCCTGCGATCGTAGTTCAAGTTTTTCAAAAGAAATTTTTTTCCTTTTTAGAAGAAAAATCCAATTCTGAATTGGTGTTTTGTTACTTACAGTTTTCTAGCCAAAGGAGCTTTTCACATCCATTGTGGAAGTTTTTGAGCAATTTGCATTACCACGCTGTTTATTTAGGAAGACATCGTTTTTATAACTTAGTGGACAGCTATCTGGAAAGTTCAGACACTATTGCTATGTAAACTGGATAAAAGTGGAGATGATATGTTCACAAATGAAGCAAAATGTAAAGCAGTTGAAATAAATCGACCGCTAATAGCGTTGTAGGCGACGGAATTGGGGTTGTACTTAGCTTGAAGTCGTGATAAACATTACCGAAGCAGACGGAACACCGAAGATGGCACAAAACATCATACCATTGATGTCTCCATAGGTTGCACTTAGGTTGAGTCGTAACGGTAAACAATATGGAAGCGGGCGAAAGTGCAAGAATTAACTCAGAGATCTGGGCAAACATTCTTCGCCGGTTGTTGACGTCGGATGGTCCCCCCTGCGCTTTATTATAGGGTATGATCATCATTTACTTGGGGGGGGGGGGGGAGGCGGTCAGGAGATACGATCGGCGCGAATTTTCGCGAAGCGACGTCGCAACACACTTCAGTCCCTACAACACTACTCAGATAGTTGGAGCGTGCGGCGCACGCGCGTTTATGGTCAATGCGGCAAAGCGCGTGCCTTATTTGTGGGCGTGTCCGGCACTATGCCAAACGCGTGCCAGCCTAGACATTTGGTGCGTGCGGCGCACGTATTAATGGCCAACACCGCGACCCGCGCGCTATCTTTACGTTCGATCTCGCCAACCGCGCGCTAATTTTGTAGCACGCCGCGCGCGTGCCTTTATACTCTACCCGTGCGGCCCGCGCGCCTGCAATTATCACATGCTGTAAGCACAAGGGATACCCGCGCAGTGTACGACGCAGGGAGAAGTGGAAGTTGCTTTTTGCTTCCAAGCGTTAGTCTTCGGTTGCATGGCCAATGGATGCTGGATCTGAATTCTTGGATTCAAGTACGAATTCATATTTTTTGGCGTATGAAGAGTCAAATTTATTATCAAGACCTGTGGTATACAGGCAATGAAAAACTGAAAAAAAAGCAGCCATCCGCGGGCCAGCACCAGCGGCGCGGCATCCAATGTCCCGCCACCCGCGCACTGGGTGTTGCGCCACCGTGTGACTGCGCGCGCTGCCCGCTCCAACTGTCTGAGTAGCGCTCCTGGCGCAGACCTACTTATAGCATTAAATCATGTATCTGCCCCCACCCTCAACCCCTGTTTTTGATGCCGGGAATTTCTATCAGCGGAGAGTTTTGGAGGCCCAAGATTTGAACGCGGCGTGTGCGGAAGAGTGGCCGCCGCGCGCGGCGTACCTCCTGACGTGCAGCCCATTTACTTGCCTTGGCTAGTCTGTCTTCACATTGCGTGCAGGCCCAGCACAGAAGCCGCCTGATCACTTCTGCCCATTGTGGTCCTCCTCGAGGGCCTTTTGCTCCGCAGGAAGGACCCGCACAAATGCTCTCAGTTCATCTGAAGCCGATTCTTCAGATGATCCGGCCGGTCCATTGCAGTTCGTTTTCGCCACACAGACGGATATTCTTACTCCGACTGAAAATTCCGACAGCACTGCAGAATAACTACAGGAGCCAGCGCTCAAAGACTGTGTCCTGGCGGATTCGAACACCGTTGACTTTCACGTCTCAGCTGCGTGACGCTAGTCCGGACACAACCTAGAAGACTGCTCCGTTATAAAGCAACCCACTATTTTTACAATAGTTATAACGAACAGAGTTTTCCCCGAGTACTACGCTGTCGGAGAGAAATCACGAGAGGAGTGGTATCCCGACAAACTTCTATGACACACGCCCATATCCATCCAGCTAAATGCCTTGCAAAGTTTAGCTTTTTTTGAGGTTAGGCGACCAACGTTTTTCTTGATATACAGGCGAGGCAGTCTTTGCAGAAGTTCCGAGGTTCTCTAATGGTGATGGACCCGTTCCTTCCGAAGTTGGGATGGACGGATGTGGGACGAAATTCTCATGAAGCAGATGTACTTCACTTCACATATCTATGTTACCGAAAAAGGACTGCTTTGAAGCCGTGAATGATCGTAGAAACCAAATGCTTCTCATGCAATTTCAGGCGTAACATACACTAAGGTACAAGCTATAATCGGCTCACTGATTGCCGCCATGTTGAAGCGAAAATTAACTTATCAACTAAGTCTCAACAATATGACCGCATCACTGATACCTCGCACGACTCCACCCTCGCGCCAATCTGAAGCGATGATTTGTCAAGAGCAAGCGATTATTTCGTAGTATTTATGCATCAGCGCGAAGATCTTGAGCCATATTTTGAATGGCTCTGTCTCACTTGAAGTGAGTCCGAGCGTCTCGTGTCTGGCACTCCGGCTCGCCTGGGCCTCGCGAATGCAGCGTTTGGTGATTTTCTTACGCCTGAGCATAGAAAAAGGCTCGAAGTTGAGCTTCAGTCATTAAACAGGCGTGGGAAAATAGTTAGAGGACACGTTCGCGAACGTGTAAAGCAAAGCAAGGCCCACGCGGAATCCGACCGCTTGAGTCGGGCCCAATCCGAATGAGACAGAGTGCTTGAGGGCTTGAGGGTTTTCATAGGGGGTAATAGATGGCACCTCTAAAAACTGTTCTTCTCGTTTTTCACAGCTTACTTAAGTGTTTTCTGTCCAGCTATATTGTCTGGCTAGCTGATGGGAATACTCCTAATTTGTACTAGTGTCAGATTTGATCTGAACTTACAGTGAAAACTCTGTACGTGTACGATGCTGAAGTTTGCGGCACAATTATGTTGAATAGCGCTAACTCAGGAAAATTACTGAGTCACACAGATTTAAAGTAGCACGTAACTTAGGAAAATTATTGAGTCACCGCAGCTGCTTTTTCGGTTTTTTTTCTATTTTATTTCGGCTAGGTTACATGGTTAATACAGATTCGGAGAGTGAGGTTGGAGGCATAACAGTGTACTGCTTATAATGGGGGTGGAAAACTTGGCGCTAACTTGCCCGAAATTAATTTTTTGTTACATGCAGACCTCACAATTTTCAGTCCCAGTGAGCGCGTTGCGTCAGTATCACTCGTTACCAAGTCTGGTTCTCCAGCAGCGCAAAGAGAGTATAATCTCAGCTCGGTAAATTTTTAGTGCCGCTCGAATTATGTTCTCAATATGTTGATTCCAGGGGAGTGAATTACAAATGAGTAGACGTTCAGAGTCATGTATTGACCAGAAAGAGAACCGGTGGGGTAAGCAAGTAAGTTTTGCTATTCTCACAATCAAAAACATACTGTATACTTACAGACAGTTACATCAGTCTCTCCTAAGTATGCTGTGAAAGAAACAACTTACCAGCGAGCACAAATACAGGGATCGTCTGTAAGTGGCAAAATTTTGAGAGAAGAGGGGGGGGGAGAGAGAGAAAAGCACTAATGAAGGACAGCTGAATGATGCTGGGCTCCAACAGTTATAGCTCTCGTCGAATTCAAACTTCATTTTGCTCGTTGCCTAAGATTTTGAAAGACCTCCATCAAATCATCAGCTTCACCACCTTCTGTTCCCAATAAATGATTTTGTAGATTTTGCCGATAGTGGTAAGTCGGATTGCACCACCTTCCGTGCAGCGAGACGAAGTGGGAAGCCCTATTGGACCAAATCAAATGGTATGTCTGTTCAGGAAATTCTTCTGGGAAAAATTTATGTACCGTTAACCAAACCAAATTACCCACAAACTAAAGCAAAAGTTGATTTTTGAGGAGGCAGTAACTCAGCTTTCTCGGTAAGCTTATGGGGGCATAAAGTAGGAGTAGTATCAAACCATCAGAACAGGAACAGACGGACAGGAAGCGGGAAGGGAGAGGGGAGGGGGGAAGAACTCTTAAGTTATAAAGAATGTTCCCTGGGCTTGTAAAATTCTTCGAGCTGCTATAAGTTCAAGCAGACTGATTTTGAGAGCTGCAATTTGCTCAAAAAAAGATTTTGTTTACAAGGCATGCTTATCTGAGTCCCCAGCACTTCATTTCGAGCCATCAGTACGCGCATAAAAGAAAGAAGGTCAACCTGAAAATCGCCCTGTTCGTGCAAATTTTTTCAGGCACGAAAAGGTTGCAATGGGCCAAATGCGTCACTTGCAAAACTGTTTTCTTGTGATGACCGAAGAATCGCTACTTTTTACTCTAAAAATGTCCCATTTCCAGTGAAACTTCGAAACCTTCCGTTTTTGCAGCCCTGCGATCCCAAATTTCCCACTCATCACATCTCGTGTCTAAAAAAGCATTTAACTTTCTTTGAGTCAGCACAGACAATTCAGAGAGGAGGCACCACGTGGAAAACCGAAAAGATTGCAAAACCTTCACTCCAGCCTAGTGCAGCAGCGACTGTCAAAGACGTGGAAGCACGAGCACCATCTGATTTCTCCCCGACAGAAAGAGAGAAAAGACAAAAAAGAGGTAATGAGAAAGACATACTCTCTCGTACAAGCAACTCGTAGATCAGCACTGCTTAGACCAATATGATCGAGAAAGTGATAAAACAGAGGAGGCCAGCCTGCATGATTCTAGCGCGTCCTGTAAAAAATCAGCGGTAAGATGAGAAGATCAAAAGTTGGGATTGTCTTTGATCTTCAGTCAAGTCTTCAACAAGAAGATTCGAAGTCAGACTCGGTTGACACTCAAAGGATGGATGCGATTGTGCAACGGATGCGCGAATTCGCTTGGATGGTCAGTAATTGCGCAGAGTTTGAGTTAATCACTGAAGTTTTCATTAGTGCGAGCAGTTGTCAATCCAACAGTTGCGTAACCAATTCGAAGCCTTACCATCGCCGGACTGGCAAGATTGTAAAGCATTCATGGCAACGGAGAATGTCAAAAAGAACCGCTACAGTAGTGAGTGGAAGCACATAGGCAATTCATCCACCTAAAGAATGGACGCAGTTGCATGCGATATAGTCCATGTTTGGGAGAAACAGTAGACGGTCAGAGGAACGCGCCGATAGCGCCCGCAGTCGCGTCCTGAGTCTGCGTGCGATGAATCGCCTATGTGTGCCGTCCGTAGTTGTCTGCATTGTCATAGGACAATTTTGTTACTTCTAAGATCAAAATCATTTGAAGATCTGCCAAAGAAGGAACTTTAACAAAGACTAATAATAAAAACAGAACAGTATTGTTTCCTCATTCCGACGAGAGAGTGGAACTACTTCAAATTATTTGCTACTACCTCAAAAAATTCGCATTCATTATTGATATGACTACCTACAGCTATTATAACCGTCAAATTTGAAATGATGCCTTCGCAAGAATCGAAATAGTATTCACTACAATGACAAATTGCAGATATTCCCTGCATCGATTCATCGAGAATACAGTTACACACTCTCCGATCGGATGCTTCTTATGGCGGCTATATCCATGCTAATCGAGTGGATTATCCCACACTCAGGAATAAGTACATCATTACCCAGGTAGGGAGAGGTAGCACAGGGCTAACCAATTCAACGCGAAACGTATCACATTTGCCGACGAGAAATGCATCGTCATTGCTGTAAAATTACGATTTCCCCGCGATACAGTACCCGACTGAGTCGATCGATACCGTAGTCCGCAGCACTGGCCAATCAAAGTGCTCTGCCTTGACTGCCGCCTTCCTGGATTGGCAACACTCATCGCCTATTGTCATCGGAAGCAGTTCGCCGACGGATTTGTTGACGGCAAATAAATAATATATGTGCTGCAATTTGTACAATTGCTCAGTTGGGAATCTTGATCAGTATCCACATAAGATCGTTCTTCTGTCTCCGAAGCGCCTCCAAGCGTATTTTGTTGCGTGGAAATGATAGTCGATAAAATTCTGGCAACGCAAAAGTTACAAGGATGCTGTGCAATCACAGAAAAACAACGAAACTAGAAACAAAGTTCGTATCACTTTTTTTGACGCCTCGGATATATCAATTTCAGTCGCCATGTGATTTCGCGATTTTCCAATGCCTTCATAATCAACATTCGCACATTATAAATGCATGATTTGTTTAGATTTCATAAATTCATAGAATTTTCTACCGTCACTGATAAAATTTCCTATTCTATGTATTAAATGCGCTCACATCGAGTTAAAAGCATTTGGAGTGTTGCCAAACTGCGTGGGAAGTTAGTAATCAAAAGAAGTTCGCAACATCATTTCAGCTCCCATATTCTCGATAGCTCATATAATAGAGTGTAATTGAAGGGCCCTTTGCCGAGTACGGTAAGCGCGTTTTGGGAGATGATTTGGCAGGAAAATGTTCTTCACGTTGTAATGCTATGTCAAAATATAGAGGATGGAAAGCGCAAATGTGCACAGTACTTCAGCAAGTAAGTCCGAAAGCTCTCTGTCACTCTCAAAATGAATTTGATTGCTTTGTAGTAAGCCCAACTCTGTCACAATCTACGCACATTTTACGGTGTCGTTGAAAGAACAGAAATGGGAGGATCAGTTCATAGTTTCAACTATCGAACTTGAGTTTATGGAAGAATCACGGACAATCACACATTATCAATGGAAAGAGTGGAATGATTACAAGGTTTAGTTCTCAATTCAAATGTTAATTTTCCCTCTTTTTCAAAAACCAAAAGAAGTAAATTTTACTAAAAAGGTTCAACGAGACGTTTGGCTACATTCCACATACCATATAGCAAAAAACATGAAAGGAGCAATTAGTATGATCTCAGCAAATTCTTTATAACTAAAATGCTATCGCACATGGACGGCAAAAAAATTGGACTTGAACCAGCAGAATTACCCGGGCCCCTCAAAAAATGCTTTAGCTAACGTTGGCGACTAAAAAAAAACTTTTGCCTTTCAAACTCAAGCTTTTTTGTATGACAGATGACAGATTTTTTTTACATTCATCATAAACTTAGCCTCACGCAATGCAAGTCCTATGTAAAAATTTTCGCTATTGACCAAACTAGTTTAGGCTCCTCGTGACAACATAATCACCTTACTGCAAAAGGTCCGCGGAAAATCTACCGTAGGCACGTCATAAAAACTCACCACAAAAAGCAAAAGAAACCTGTTTGTTACAGTAGTACACTGCTCAGCTGGGGTTGGCAGAAGTGGCACATTTGTGGCGATAGAAATGTGTCTGCAAGATCTTGCTAATGGACGTATGATTAATGTACAGCAGGTAAAAAATGCGACAACTGAGGAACGTCAGAAATTTCTGAAGGATATATATATATATTCAGGCAGTGATAAGCCTCCGACGTTGTCGTGCACTCGCTGTACAAACATTTCCACAATATTTATCAATTTTTCGTGCAATTTTACGAATAGGTGAAAAACACGGGGCGATAACGCAGGTTGGCAATCACTACTAAGCGAATATAAGAAGAAATCGTTTATTTCCAGCAAGACATTCAACACTTTTGTCGTTTGTATGATGAGCAGCTGGATGGTTAAGCAAAAAAAAACTTCACTAATTCAAAAGACATTCAAGATACTCATCGTTTGAATTCATATTGATATTACAATCTTTAGAGTAACCAAATTTCAATAAATAATTATTAGGAGAGGCTTTTGATAGACTGACCGTTCGACCGCTACGCATGTCTTCTTGATTAATTATCAAAAATTCTTTATTCCAAGCGAAAAAAATATGTGAGATGCAACAAAACCCGAATCCAACGACAGCATGACTAATTTGAAGAGAGAAGTGTTCATCGCTACAACAAATACAATTGTCAGAGCGATTCTACAATAATGGTTGATAGATAAGCTTCCCATTATTCACTCTTGGCTACGAGTGAAGGACAATTCATAGGCGTTTTGAGTTGAACTCAAATGAGCAAATGCACATAGAAGCAAATGACATGGCTAAAGAGCCGGACATACTTTACGATTTCAGTGCCAAGTCGCGATTCCAAATCGCGTCGCGATTTCAGTCGCGACGCGATTTGGCAATTCGCGAAGTCTTCAGATCCAACAGTATCAAATGCACATGCATAGTGTGTATAACTTACGTGGATTGAAATAATGCCCTATCTTCTGCACATTTAAAATGTACTTACAATGAGTTATGGACAGCTGGAATATTGCCAAATCGCGTCGCAACTTGATTCGCGTGAAATATGCCCGGCCCTTAAAGGCAGCGTCCAGGCAAGTCTGGACCTATGGGGATTTTACGTGGAAAGTACTTTTGAGGCCCTAACTAAGCCACTGCCCAACCGGCAGCTCAGGTAGTGCCCTCACGCCTGAGATATTCCCCTCGAAACTGGACCCCGCGACCGTGCCTCGCATGGATTCGTGGCGCAAAGCCTGGATCCTGGCGCGAAACTGCCATGAATCCATGCGAATACGTTCGCGGGGGCCAGTTTCGGGGGGAATATCTCAGCCATTAGAGCACTACCTGAGCTGCCGCTTGGGCAGTGCCTTAGTTAGAGCCCCAAAAGTACTTTTCACGTAAAAGCCCCATAGGTCCAGATCTGCCTGGACGCTGCCTTTAAAGACAGCGTCCGAGCAAAATTTCGAATGGAATTTTTTGCGCTTATCTGGGTTTATCCCTCCAGCTGATTCTGAAAATGCAGCTTGGAGGGCACGAAAACGCCGAAAACGGACTTTTCCAAAAGCTCTTGAGTTGAATTTGTCGACTGCCGCCAAGGTTAAGACGCAGAGTCTTTGTGCGGTATGCGCACTCTGGCTTATCGAACTAACTCGTCCCGGTCGCCCCTTCTGAAGCGGATTTCTCGCTTCAGAAGCAAACTGGTGCATTGCCAGTTGGACAAGAGCCTTACCAGGACGGGCGCCCCTGTACTCTACATTTCGTATCAGCCCGGACTCTGCCTTTAAACTATAGAGATCACAGATTCACATAGAACGACAGTACTAACAAGATAAAGTGAGCAGTGAATGGCAGAAGTGGGTAGGTCGAAGACGAAGACGTCGCCAATTTGACCCGACTGATTTGCGCTTTCTCTAAAAATCAAGCGATTATGATGTTTCTCCTTAGCAATACTGCAATTATTTCTTAAAAATCATCTCAGCCTGATAGACAGTTCAAAAATCTTCTTCTTTTTTATCTACGAAAAGGCATGATACAAAATCATTTTTGCCAATCTTTCACCTCGTCCATTGGTTTAATTTCCCATATGGAACGATGCATCTCGTTCTACACGCAAAGAAGGTGCATCATCCCAAATAAGAATCCAAACTGGGTTAAGGATGAGACTGAAGCCCATTCAACATCTCTGTACAAAAACACTTCGAGACAAGCTTCTTCTACATTTACCTTACATCTTATTGATTTCAATATTCTGAGGAACTTCATGCCTCCTCTCAAAAATGCATATTACGAGTTTTTTTTTGTGGCTTTGCTCCGCATATCTATTTAGGAAATCATTCCACAGCTCGCACTTTAGCCATTTTACCACTATGGTAGATGGTGAAATCGCTAAATAGGAGTCACCAGTAAGGTCGCTAAATAAGGATCATCATGAGTCATAGTCAAATTCTGAGCATGATTTGATAGATGAAAAAAAAATCAAAAAATTCATCTAAAAATAATGACTCACGTTGAGTGATAAACTGATAGTGAGCATAGAATCCAGTGGCATCGAATATGTCATTCGTTGAGAAGATCATTCGGAAGTAATTTGACTCGGACAAAATCGGTCCTCTTGGTGCTACCTAAACAGCAGAACAAACTCTCACAAAAACAAATGCAGCTTTACCAACACCGACCTTCCCACAAAATCTCCGATTTGTTCTATCGTGGGTCTGATAGTTGCTGAATAGCACAAAGTCACTCTGTGTTGTCTCATCGCATCTAAAGAGGGCTCGCTCACCAATCATAATTCAAATAGATTAAACGCACTGATTGAATCCTTCAACGTCAAAGTACTCGAAATGGATGTGAACAATCTGTTCGTCGCTGCCATGGAATATGTACTCGCAGTACAGCGATCTTGGGTACAGCCCGGGGTAGTTCACACTCCATAGTTTACCGCTGCTCTGCACAGATGAGTTGAACACAAAGCGGCAACCTAGAGCAAAATTAATATCCTCTATCGGGAAGGCTACTACTTCCTATAGAAACTAATAACGAAAAAATAGGCTCCGCATTTGCGCAAACTGTGGTACTATTGCCTTTTTGTAGTATATTAAGATACTAGCTGGCTTACCCGGCTCCGCCGTATGTTCCAAATAGAAAATTCCATTTCTCAACCGATCCGAACCAAACTTGGCACACATACACTTCCGGCCCCGGCGCGTGCCATAGGCTACTTTTCGTCATCGATCGATATCGATTTTATCGATTTTTTGCAAAATTTGAGCTAGGGGGCTGGGATTTGGCACAGGGGGGTAATCGAGCATGCTGATTACGAATACAATATTAGTTTTCGAAACCGTGCATTACCTTTATCGATTTTATCGATTTTTTTGCAAAATTTGAGCTAGGGGGCTGGAATTTGGCGGGGGGTGTAATCGAGCATGCTGATCACCCCCACGGAAGTGATCAGCATGCTCGATTACCCCCCTGTGCCAAATCCCAGCCCCGTAGCTCAAACTTTGCAAAAAAATCGATAAAATCGATAAAAGTAATGCACGATTTTAAAAGCTAATATTGTATTCGGAATCCTCATGCTCAGTTACCCCCCTGTGCCAGTTCCCAGCCCCGTCGCTCAAATTTTGCAAAAAATCGATAAAATCGATATCGATCGATGACGAAAAGTAGCCTATGACACGCGCCGGGGCCCGAAGTGTATGTGTGCCAAGTTTGGTCCGGATCGGTTCAGAAATGGAATTTTCTATTCGGAACATACGTACATACATACATACATACATACATACAGACAGACAGACATACAGACAAACAGACATTCAGCTTTATATATAAGATATTAGTGTAGCGCCAACAGATTAACGAATGTTTTGTTACATGCAAGAGATAATGTGTGTTCCAACCCATTTGTGTGGAACACACACTATTTCTTGCATAGTAACAAAACATTCGTTAACAATTTAGACTAAAAGACTTTTAGGACAATATAAGAGCCCCAAAAAGTCTTTTAGCCTAAATTTGCAATGCTCCAACTTTGTTAGTATCTTATCCGACTCAAATTTTGTAGATGAGTTTACGTAAAGATGTCAATACTTCCACGGCACCGTCCATCCTAAGTAAGGAGTGTTAAGCTTTTGGCAGCTTACGATAGTGAGATCCCCTATCAAGCCAATGCCCAAGTCGAGGCGCAACATGTTGCTTCGGAAGCGAGAAAATCGCTCCGGAATAGCGAAGATGCATGAGGACTCCCAAATCGGCACCGCCCCGCCAGTAATGCCCGCCCATCCGTGCGCGCCAACAAATCACCGTCCGAAGAGCCGGCCTGCGAATTCTCCGGAACGAAAGTTGTCGGGGTTTTTGCGATTCGATCTCGTATTCGGAATTAGGATATAAGAGGGCCAGGGAGCGATTGAAACATGGAAGTTAAAAATCTGAATGGACGATGCCTTTGAGGTCAAGTTGAAGAATACCCACTGTTCGAACGTATATAAGGTTTTTGTCTTGGTAGCCTTTCGCTGATCTCTGTGCTTCATATTGTAGAGTATTACCTATATAGTAATCACACATTCACAATGTAAAAGATCAAATTCTGAGGAACACAGTACTTATTATCAGCTCGTCATTGGGAAGTATCTGGCTGAACAGTACCTTTATCGCGATCTCCTCGAGCTCGCATATGTTGCATATCCCAATCGGTGTGGAACTTATACTCCAGACGAAAACCTAGATCGTTTTTCGCACTTTCTCGCAGTGCTCGAGAGGACTGTAAATACCACTATGAAATATCCTACAGCTTTATTGACTGGCAAACCTTCGTTGTGTATTCGAGCTGCAAGAGGTTCGTGCTGCTCATCAGCTGTGGTGGTGTTTGATCTCCGCACCACTCATCTATCCGCGATAGCCGAGCGCCTACGCGGACATCCGCCGTCAGGTGATCGACATCTGCACACCTGAAGGTACGATGTAGATGCCAGCAAATACAAACTCGAAGCTCGACCGGGCTGAATGCCCGCGAGCGTGTCTCTTGCGGGCTAACATTGGCCTTCGGGCGCATGAGTCATCACAGCGCCCACTACTTGACAGCCGCGTTGCATGAACACCCGCGCGCCTTCACCCAGAGACCCGGGCGATTCGTGCAAGCCGCGCTGCATGCACGCTCGCGCGCCTTCAGCCAGCGACCCGGGCGATTTCGTGCGGTCAACTTTAACCACGGTATATTCGACGAGAAAAAAATCCCAATCCGCGTTTTGTGCGAGTATTTTCAAAGTTTTCTTTACCATTTAAACATTTTTTTGTTGATCAGTGCTAGTCCTGTCCCACTTAGGAATTGAACAGAAACACTGAGCAAAGCTACGGCTACGTCTGCGCGTCTGCTCGACGGAGACTCCGCCCGAAGCATTCGTGGAAATGCGTAGCCGTAAATAGTTCAAAGCGTAAGTAAGACAAACTAGCACTATTTGACAGAGAGTTTTGGATGGATTCGAACGGTGTAGAAAACTTTGGAGAATTTTAGTACTAAAATCCGGCATAAAAGTCCGGACTTATCTGCAGGACTCTTGGCGTTTGCATTTTCATTTTCGTGCATTTTCATCGACCTTCGAAGTAAACTTATCTGATGGATGGACTTATCTGATAGGAGGACTTATATGCCGGATTTTAGGGTAAGTTATGAAGAAAAACGAAAAAACGCAGAGAGGGGTTTTCTTGTTTTCTCTATGGATGATTTTCGCGGGTAAAACTTCAAAACTACTTTTACTATTTAATCGTTGACATTTCCGATTATTTTCTAACTGCTTGCCAATTATATTGAAGAAGCTAATGTTGTTTCAAAAGCCTATTTTAGCTATACTATAATTAAGAACATGCACTCTGCATTCCGTTAATGATATTCAAACTTTTGACTGAAAAGGATTAGTGCAACAGAAAGTCTTGCCAAATTCTGGATGTGAGACTCACATAAGAATTCTGGGAAAATAAATGATCTCCAAACCTTCTTGTCACATTCTTGTTCTCCGGTACATAGAGGTTGAAATGAGTGAATTTTACAGATACCCGTTCGTTTGGATAACCTGAAAGTAGCATGTACATCAAAGTTATTCGAAGAAGTGCCATCGGTAAAAGTATAACTACAGCAACAAAAAAGAAACAAGATTTTCTGCGTAGGAAATATGTTATGCATAGCCTAATAGCAAAAACCCTCACAAGCAAATGATAGCAAGAAAGTAAGTATTTATTTATTTATTTATTTATTCATACGCTCTATGGCGTTCCTTACAAAAAGAACAAGAGAAAAAAAATACACACACAGTAAATCGAACAACCCCAGTCAAGGTCCACCGTGCCGTTGGGTCCATACCTTTAAATTGGTCAAGAAGTATGTTTGATAGAGCTTGCATGTGACTGCTCTGGACTACAATCATAAAGATGTGATCATGGAGATGGTACCCATGCCCCCATTACTGCCAGCAAAACGTCCCTGAGATAAACTATCTACTCAGGATTGCATGGTGGATATACTCCCACCGCATGAGGCTAATAGGAAGAGTCAGTTACTCGAGAATACTTGATTAATAAGAAGTGTTGTAATGGAACATTGTAATCGAGAAGATCAATAGGTCGTTGCAAGTTGTGGAGGTGGTGATCCTTCATACTCGTACGCTAGCAAAGTGCTCTCGAAATACCAAAGTAAGCAAAGCGGGCTTGGTCAGTAGAGTAGCAGAAAAACCTTGCCCAAAAGAATTCCGGGGAGAGACCAATGCTCCGAGAGAAAATCAACAAAATTCCGCGTTAATAACTCAATTAGAGCAAGTCAGCAAGCATTAAAGGTTGGGAAAAGGAAGATTGTTGTTCAGGCCTGCACTAACATGGTGGCTTGATATGGGTTATAAGGCCTTGGCCATACCCTGCCGGTGTTGTCGACACCGCCAGTGCTACCCACGTCACCGGCGCCGCCAAGTAGAAAAGAACTGCCACACAAGCAAATGATAGCAAAAAAGTAAGTAGAAAAGAACTTTGCCACAAACCTTGAAAAACGATCCTGCACTTATTCGGCAAGTTTGAACTTTTCAAATTGAGCTTGGCTGACGATAGAGTCCCTGTTTTTTCATTCTCAGATGAGATTGTCATCGAACACTCGCCGGCTGCCTCTAAACTTTTCACATTTTTTACCAAGCAAGAGCAGAGCAAATCAAAAAATGTTTTGCTAAGGTACAGAGCTGCTTCAATTTGTTCCAAAAAAAACTTACTACATATTTCTTAACAATCAGAACTGCGATGAAATTTTTTTTAGACATCAAATAATCTGCAACATTCTTGAAGCAAAAGTGCATTCGATTAAGATTACTTAAACGAACAATTTATATTACGTTCAAAATCATAAGATCAAAATTTGGTAAAGGTTTGCGGTATTTTGTGTGAAAGCTCAATGACATAGAAAAAACATTTTTTGTAATCACTGCTTCTGTAAATTTGATCATTTTATTTGATCAAAAGTATATGTGCAAAACGACATTCAAAAAGCTTTTGTGAGATTACTATGTAAATTCCTTTATTTTATTGGATCAAATGTGGATGTGCAAAATGATATAAAAGCCTATTCTGAGATTACTGCCTTTTTGTAAATTCATCTATTTATTTGATAAACTGTAGAATGCCCATTAGTCAAACAGTACAGTTTACAGGGGCTTTTCCACATTCCTTTTCAAACAAACTTATTTCACCACAAAAAATGTTGTATTGCTTGAAGTTTTTTTCAACCCTTACTGTAACGTCGAAGGATGTGCCAACTTACCTACAGTAATGATAGCTAGGACAAGGTTCAAAAACAATACAGTTCCCATGTGATGTTCGTTGTTAATCAATGAGCAGTTGCTTCAAAATGAGAGCCAAAGGAGGCAGAAACGATGAGGAGGAGGCACTCACCCTCGGAGCTGCGCCAAACAGCCGCCTCGTAGGTGAATTCAATTACGAAGCCACGACCCTGAAAAATTCCTTTGCACTGCGTATAAATTCAACAGCACATCCAGCGGAAGGGCGTCTGACAGATGTACGCGTTTTGAGAGTGCAGCATTACTATCTCTATAGGACCTATGACTTTTCCTTCCGTAAAGGGAGCTGTAATGTGTATCGAGAAAAGCACTCGCAATAAAGCGCTAATCAGCTCGCCTCCCCTTGGGCAGTGAAAAAGCAAAGTCTTTCGTCTAAGCCTTTCGCCAGCAGAAGATGAACGACTTCAATACGCGCGCCCAAGCTTATGGCTATTCTGACTGACTGGCAAGAATTAGGCTGAGTCCTGACTTCACAACATTTGTTTTCAAAAATTGCACTGAGTGTGTGCGAAGAAGGAACATTTGAAAATTTGAATTTTCTCGATTTACTGGATAAATCCTTTACTTACTTTTGCAAAGAGTGTTTGGATGATGGGAAAGGTAATGCAATTCTCATTTGCTACGCATAGAATTTATATTTAGAACTATGTAAAGCAGTAGTTATGAACCAGACTGAGATCTTTACCCCACATAAAATTTACTTTCTAATATTTTTTTTGCATTCGCTACTTTTTCCTGGAACAATTTCTCATTTCCAATTTTCTGAGAACCATGCGTACAGATTTCACCAACCCTGCCGTCACATATACATTTTTGAGGATATTTCTGATCGCACATCTACCAAACCTCAACTGATATTTAATTGAAGAGTGTGGTAGTATATGAAAAATTTTTATTACCTTATCATGATTATTTCCAGCTTGAAAATGAATTAAAACTGACGATGCTGACGATGCATATAGTGTATGCTGATTCGATCCTATTGTTACTAATTTGGAATGCTGGAAATGAACTATCACGATGAATCAGTGAAAAAGAGCGACTTCAGTCTTCATTTCTTGCCACAAAAAACCCACCCCATTTGTTGTTTCAAAAATATCAATGGATGCTTCTTTTCCTAGTGATATTTCCCCTGATGAAAGCACTATTCGATGTCCCTTTCTTTGCGGTAGGATATATGTGCAATTTGTGAAAGATCTGTAGTAGTACGGATATCCTGGTGAATATAGCATTCCCTAAATTACAGAAATAGCTGCAGTGGATTTGCTAACATCTACTTCACCTTCGTCTTCTCGATTCTATAACTGCAATCTGCTATCTCAACACCGTCATTGAGGTACTTCTCTGAAAATGTGAATAATACTTACGATCACTTTCCAAAAAAATCAGTACCTTTTGATATAAATCTATATTCGCCAATAAATCCTTTGGAGGAAGCCCCAGCATGCCGGATTTGCAGCAACATGTGTTCGTCTCTGCAAAACTTTTCAGTTCACATAATCATCCAAGATTGCTTAGGAAAGCAAACATTCCCAGAAGCGATAAGAAAAGCACACCAAGCTCACCTCGAATAAAAAGTTCTCCCTGAGGCGATTTCATGCCCGCAAAAAGTAAAACTCGGTTCTTCGTCAGGATCAACAAGGCCATCGGGAGAGCTATCATAGATGCGCAACGACGACGAGCAACTGTAAACAAATCATTTTGTTCTCCCCTTTCGCTTCTGTGAACTTACTAACAACAGTCAAATTTTCACAAATTAAACCTTTGACATGTCAGAAAAAATCTTCAGATTATGTCAAAATCTGAAAATTTTTCAAATCTCTATGCATTAGAGGAAAAAGTGCTTCTTATAGTTTCCACCGAGGATTACGGTGGAAACTTTAAGAAGGGTAGTGAGCCATTAAGGGCCCTATTTAGCCCCATAAAACAAACCAAACGAACAAACCTGAAAATTCTTATACTAGACTAATTTACAACCAAATATGAGGTATAATACAACATGCTCTTTGTTACGTATTTCAAGAAAAATTTGATAAAACATTTAAACAGCAATTTGAAACAAACATTCGAATTTTAAAAATCGAGATTCATACCTACTCGTAGAGACATCCGACCATTATACGGGGGTCCCAAAATTATGTATACCCTGTGATCGTTAATATCTCTTTTCTCAGGATCTTTACCCTACTTCCAGGCACCATTTGTGAAGCTGGCCCAAACTTAGATTTACAGTACGGAGCGAATCACCCAACGCTCTTCATCACTGTAGGATTACGGTGGAAACTTCAAGAAGGGTTGTAAGCCATTAATGGCCCTATTCAGCCTCATAAAACAAACCAAACAACCTGAAAACTCTTATACTAGGCTAATTCGAGCCGATACAACCAAATATGAGGTTTGCTTTACTGCAATTCTTCTTCATAGGTTAAGCCAAGTAGACAGCAAAAGTTGTTTTAAAATGCTCCCTAAAATCGTGATTACACTATCTGAAGAGCTTTGCAGGCTCTAAAAAGTTGAGTAATGAAACCAGGGCGCGTGAATACCTTGCTACACCGCTTTCCAGATTTTTTGGAAGCTTTCTTTGAAACTAATATACTATGAGCTGTAAGCTGAAAGTTCTTATCGTAATCCTAAAGTAATAAAGAGTGACTGGTGATTTGCTCCATATTGTAAATCTAAGTTGAACCTCGCTCTATAAATCGTACCTGAAGGTAGGCAAAAGACTTCTTGGGAAAAGAGATATTAACGACCAAACAGTGTATACATACTTTTGGGACACCTTGTAGTAAAAAGAGTAGGTGATGAAATCAAGGCTGAACATTAATTTAGATAACAGCAGAAGTTTCAGCAATTTTGAGCAATTCGAAAATCATTTGTGGGTATTTTCTTGATAAGCTTGTACCGTTGCCATATAACAACAAAAAATTGACTCAAGCACCCGCGGAAAGCGCATGATTTATTCTATCTATTATATTTTGTACCGAATCAGAAGATTTCATGGGAACTGGAAAAAGTAAAGGAATTTCAAAATTCTGTGCAATAAGCATCAGCGTAATAAACACCTACTGCAATTAATTTGAGTTATTTTTTATTGTTAATTTCCTGACGCAGTTCTCGAGTTCAGCACTATTATACAATCGGCCGCTGCAGAGCTCTTCGTGTAGTATATTTTTGGTCGACTCGCCCTTGTTAGCTATCTATTCAGCAAGGCGCAAATCAAATCGCATCAGCTGAAATATGATTCGCTGAGTTTGGATCTGTCATACTTTTTATGTTGCTGCGTGCGATATGCCTTACGATGGTGAAGACTTTGTGAAAACCCCTAGTTCTTAGCTAGCAAGTAGTCAATAACAAAGTTGTTGATAGGTGACAGTTGCATGAGCAGCGTGAAGTTTTGCAATAGCGCATCATCATGATGTGTTTACGGATCGAGTGAGAGGTACGAGGTGACGGCTTGAAGCTAGGAGAAGTAAAGAGCTCAAAGTAGCCTAAACACGAGTCAGGGAGATGTGACAAGTGTCACAAATCTCGTCGACCCATTACCAATTGGCAGATCCACGCATTAAAAGAACAAAATGCCTTTCACATATTGGGAAGACATACAGCTTCAGCATATGAGCCACTAATTCAACGTCTCCTCAGCACAAAACAGTCGTTGCTTGTCCACTCGAGACCCTAATTCTATGCTAGAGCACTACTCCGCTATTTTGTTCACTCAAACCCTGGCTACTTCACACCCTTCCATTAAGCCGAATCTCCACTAAGTGCCAGCGCTGATTGAATTCTCAAAAACAAGGCGCCACACACAATTGATGTCCACAATTTCCTTTTCAAGAGGTGCTCCTGGGCACATAGCGCCGTTAAAGACGAGGACATAGCAGCATAACAACTTATTCCATCTACATGGTCGTGGGAACATAGGATTTTGCCTATGGTGCCGAAATACCTGTCAAAGACAAAAAACATAAAGTACACCTAATAGAAATATTATCAAAAATTATCTAAACAATAAACATTGTGTATGTGAAGTAAAGGTTGAGAGTGATTTATTGAGGACGTATTGGATAAAACACCAGCAGCAAGAGCGTATGACTTGATTGTGCCATTGTACAGAAAGCACTTAATGACACTAATCGCAATTTAAAATGTGACTTTTTTTGAAAATCTAACCATAAAATCCTATTACTGTCCAAAACCTTCATTAGTTTATAGCGCTCAGAACTAGGGTGTGCCTCATGCCATAGTTCTGAGCGGACGATTCCAGCTGCGATTCAGCAATGCAATGATTTTTTGTACATATTTTAATTTTTATCAACATCGTGTGAATCATTACAGAAGCCATGCACCTATGCCTTCGAGAACAATGTGATGTACGCAAACAGAGTACATCTGGCAAATCGCCAAGTCGCGTAGCACCGAATGCCTGGTATGCCTGGGACCTTGGACCCAACTGAAAGCTTGGCATATGGATTCCACAGAAAGTTTAGGACCTACCGGCCAAAAAGCTTGAGACTGTTACATTTCGAAACATATTGGGCGAATCCTTCTAAACGAGCCATAATTCAAAAGCTTACTCAACACCAAAGCATTTGACATTGAGCTGTGCTATAGCTCCAAAGCTACTCTATGACTCTAGAGTAAAGTTGCCCATATCCACATAACAGTGCGGTCCCAGGATTTCGGACCGGGGGGGGGGGGGGAACGGGGCGACAAAAAAAGTGGCGTTAGCCACGCACTCCAAAAAATTTTTTGGCATGCTTCCCAAAATTTTTCTGGGCCCATGACCCCAAAATATTAGGGAAAAAGAGGCATAGCGGCAGCCACGTCTCCGAAAGAAATCTTTTACAAAGCTAATTTGAATTTTTAAAAAATTAATTTAATTAGATAAAAGTATAAACAAGTCTTGGACATTTTTATAATCCATATAAGCAGGGCTCGGCACGAGGTGGCTTACAAGCAAGCTGGATATCGTTTTTGGGACGAAAAGCAAAGGGGGTTTCGTTTTTGTGACCGAAGAGACACGGAAAATTGGCGACGGCGACCTTTTTTTTTAGCCGACGTTTCGTTTTTTGGGGGACTTTGGGAAATTTTTCAGGTTTTTAGAGGAAATTTGGTTGAGGGTCAAAGGGGACTTCGTAAAAATTCCCAAAAGTCAAGGGGGACTTCGTTTTTTCCATTTTCATCTAGCCACCTCGTGCCGAGCCCTGCATATAAGTAACTTTCAAAAATTTCGCAACCCATTCTCGCCCCTCCCCCCCCCCCCTCTCGGACCGACACTGCCACATAGAATTGCAGAGTTTGACAGAAAAATCACACGCTGAAATCAGCCCACGTGCAGAGCTTTTCAAGTTCCCACGGCTTATTTGCTTTGAAACAAAAAGCTCTAATGCTACCAAAACGCAACATGTCGAGGCAATTGATTCGTTGCATTTGTAAGCTCTCTACATGATTGGTAGAATTGTAGAGGAAGAGCAGCTAATTTACTTGCAAAAAATAGCGATAAAGTGAGTCTTAGAATGACGAAAGGAGATGAGTATCGTCATAAAAAGGAGCAAGGATATGAATCAAGTTGAAGTAGAAAAAAGAAAATTTATAGAAAATCAGATAAGCGTTGCCAGATCTTCTCCCACTTCATGAAAAATATAGCACCCTTGAGAATGAGCGTTCAAAAACCTCTTCAGAGCACTAAGCTCGCAGTGACTCACGTCGGATTGCGCATAGGCAGTGAGAACGTGCTGAAGGTGATCTGCACCAGCCAGCCTGGCGGGGCTCGGAAGTGGTAGAAGAGACAGTCGATGTCCTCGAGGTTGGCCGGGTAGTTCGGCGAGTAGAAGCGGCCAGTGCTGTTGAAGAGCACGCACGGGCAGTAGGGAATGGCCAGCACGCGCAGCAGCTCAGCCGTCAGCACCAGCAGAACAGTCCGGTACGCTGGCATCTTCCATCTCAGTCCGTTGCCGAGCAGAAAGTCCCGATGTTGTTCTTCGTTGGTAGAGTGTTGGGAGCTGTGGAGGATCGTTATAACATGCTAATCGAGACCACGCCCACTTCGACTGCTCCTCCGAGGGCAACGCTGCATCAAAATCCATTTAGTAGCTGATTTATGACTGGGCGTAACCGCTAGTATCGCCAAAACACAGCATCGAAGACAAAGCCGCTTCATAACCGAAGTCACGCAAAGGCAGCGGATGGCAGGTAGCGAGCCCGCTATGGGGACCAGTTCAAGCGCGTTGTTACTTAAGTTGGCCGAGACGTCTCGCTCAACTTCTCAATAAAAAACCCTTTTGAGTCTCTGTTCATATGAAAACAGCGTAGACCAGGTGAATTAGGGTAATTCGGCGTAACTATAAGCCAAGACGAGAAACAAATTACGCAACTTGATGAAACTTTTACAATATAGAATCTGTTACCTCTTTGACTTTCGGGAGTCCATTTCTCAAACCAGTTCGATTTTCTCAGATCATTTTGGGATCAATTCACTGCTTCTAGAGAGAAGAGGGCTCTTGACCCAGAGGTGAGCGTTTATTCTTTGGGCCTTAGTATCTTTTATGACTATCAGCCGTATTCTGATTATTTTAGAAGAAGATGCAAATTTATTTCACGACATTTTTTACCGGGGGGTGTTCACTAGCCAACACGCGCGGAAGCGAGCGCTTCGCAACATGCGTAGTGAAAAGCCCACCTGAATAGGTGCCAGACTTCCGCTTAGCCACTTAGTTGCTTCATGATTGGTCAGTTCACTGATTTGACCATTTATGAAGCGGCTTGACAAATCATGAAGCGGCAAAACGGCTGAGTGAGTAAGTGTAATACCTGCCTTACCGCAAAAACGGGATTTCTTGCGACCCGCTTCAAATTTACTGCAAAACATAGCATAATTTAAATCATGCTTATATTTTCTGATAATGAGAGAAAGACTATAGCGAGATCTATGGAACAACATCACTGTAGCTATCTTTCGTCACCAACAAAGCTAGAAATGGTGCAGAAAACGCTGATCACTGGAAGACAGCACAGATTTGAATGAGATTGTGCTAAAATTCTCTCGAGCGTCCTAGAAACAACTATATACAAGAAGATGGTACTCCCTCAAAAATGAAAGAAATTCACAGTTTTACAAATGCAATCAAAGCATTTGAAATCATAATTGCCTATTGTTTAGGGCGATTTAAGAAACTACAGACTTTACAATGCGCGATCTGTTTGGGATGTACATCCAAAAAGTATAGCACTGCTTTTTATTCTGCCAACGTTCTGCAGACACTTAGGGATTTCAAGCAGCGAATCAATGTGTCACTCTGTAGTTAAGCCTCGAATATGAATTCGAGGGCTCAGCGCGAAAGCTGCGAGCGAATTCATCAACGATTTTGCGAGAGCATCCGATGGAAAGCAGAGTACTTCAGCGCTCGCATTATGCGACACATGCAGTCGCTTTTTTTTAACCAAGGGGTGATGTCTTAGAACAGTGCCGATAACGAGACTCGGATGTGAGAAAAAGTGCCACGGCGCCATTCACACTATTGTTGTAAAGATTCTTTGTGCTGACCCAGATCTACATCGCAAAACTATAAAAGTTTTCATTACCTGGCCAAGCAGGACTCTAACTTCTGTATCATGTTTCGCGTCTTGTTCGCAATAATCACCTTCTGGCTGCTTGGCAACTCTGCAGGTTTGATCTTCAAAACATACATCACATCATTATTTTCAAGCCCAACCATTCAAAAACTCAAAACATCAAACATAGAGTCTCATTATTTTTGATAGCTCCCACTCACAATGGAAGTGCTCAAAACTAAGAGCTTGAAGAGCTTTGAAAATCTCTGGAGTCTGCAAAAAAAGACTGATGAGTGAGTGTCCGTCGCTGTGCATTACTCTGCCTGCACTTCATCAACTCAAATCTGACCGACAAAGATGTTTGAAAGGTGCATGATGTATTGCAGATATCTTGTACATCACAGCTGCGTGCTGTTCTGTCAAACCTAAATTATTAATTTTCTCTTCTCTCCAAGCGAAAATGAAGGCGATGCTTTAAGCTCTTCAACCAAAAGCTTTGAAAAATGCGTTGATGAGTGACAAGCAGAACTAAAGCAGCCAGAAACTTCACCAATGGCTGAGAATGGAAAATGTCCAAACTTACGCATATCTTCAGCTTTCACTTTTCCATATATAGTGTGCCCCAAAAAATGTGCCTACTGTTTGATTGGTGATAACTTCTTGCGATAAAAGCCCTTCGAGAGGCCTTAGGTAGATACCATTTTGTAGTGCTGGCTTGAACTTAGACGGTATGGAGGAAATTGCGTTCTCTCTTTATTACTGTAAGATTACGGTACGAACTCTGAGAAGTGTTTCGCGTCATTGAGAGTAATATTTTATCCCTAAGAAAGGATCAAAGGGGCTGACAACTTTTACAGCTAGATTAATCACAGTTGTTGGTTTCAAGTATGAAACTCACACTTCACCTTAACACTTCCCTCATAAGTTATGCCAAATATACCGTAAGAACCGACTTCTGATATTTGTCAAAAATCTGATTACGCCATTCAAAAAGCTCTGCGAACGTCTGTGCAAAAAGTTATGTGGTGAAATCAGCATGCATAAAAACCTCGTTACAGGCTTTTATTTCTTTTTTTGAAAAATTTTTCGAACGGCCCAACTCAAAGCGGTGCCACCTGCCAACTCTTACAGTAAACCACAGTAGTAAAGAGATATTGGTATCGCTCCATACTGTAAATGTGAGTTTAAGCTGCTATACTGAATGGAACTTGAAGGTTTTTGGAAGATTGACAAGAGAGTTATCAACAACTAAAAGTAGGTACAGTCTGCTCCAATCCTAACCAGGCCAAAATCGGCATGGCGGGAGTCCGCGCCGCAAGGGTTTCGCGCCACATCTGCGGCTAGCTAGTCTGCTCTCTCCTCGATCTCTTCACTCTCTGCGACAGCGCGCGTATGCAGCGCAATCCCCTAGCGCTGCGAGCGCGCAAATTCAGCCGGCGGTTCGGTCTGATCCCGATTGGGGCAGACTGTATATACAGTTTCTAAGACTTCATGAATTTTACCTAGATGCTGCCTAGGAGCCTGAATAGGAAAGGAAACTAGGCGATTCTTCAATGTATAAGCAGCTACTTTGATCATTTTATCGAGTTGTGAATTGATCATTCCAATTGCCGTACCACTGAAGAAACCCATACTAGTCATCAAGGTACAAATGATTGCAAACGATCCAATAACTGATTTTTCAGGACATGATGTCCATGACACCGGTCATGGTCATCCAATGCCTCACTTCGGTCATCCAAAGTTCAGGTATCTGAAGCATCATCTCAAGGGTCCTCTGCACCACCTCTAGCCATTCAAGTGACCAGATGAAAAGTCGAGCGTCCGATTCAATAAATATCTCGCTTACCAAAGTTTTCGCTTGTACTCTACTACAATTTTTCTTCATGTGGGAAAACGAGATCTCTGCGACTTTTGGCCAGTATACAATCGCAATGCCAATTATCAAAACCTTAAAACACCTCGATACCGCATCACACGGCACAAACACGGATTAGTGAGCCACACATTGATTAGAAAATATTTCACGCTTGTCATGAATATGGACACAACCCCCTGCCCTTCTAGTAAAATTAACGACTCACCGATTGAAGACGGGCAGCCTTTTTGCGAGAAACAACTCATGCAGTCATCAGCAGGGCACAACATGACACCAACAACACACACCGCAAAACTAAAAGCTATACTGTCACTCCGTCAAGCAAATAAATAGGAAAATGTATTTTCTAGTTCAAATTTCAGACTTTAAGTCGGTCTTGATGTAGATTTTCGACGCAAGCATCGAGAAACGTCTGAGATGAGTTCAAGACCAACAAGAAAAGAAATTGCAAAAAGTCAGAAACTTCATATCTTCATATCTGCACCGGCACAAATGCACAGATTACGATTATCACATGAAAACAATACAGAACAGCAGCTTAGGTTTTTGGCCTCATTTCAGGAATGGCGGTGATAGTTGAGGTTAAAAATGACAACCATCGACTCATATTGTGTGAATGTGAAAGTACGAGTAGAACAGAGTTGGACAAAAGAAAAGAGGTTTGATTTAAGTGGAGAACAATTAGAAATTCTCACATGAGATGTAGAAACCCAAAATGAACCGTAGCTTATGTGTCTATCCGCAACCCCCGCAACCGCCGCATGACCCGCAACCGCCGCAGCCTCCGCATGCACCGCACGCGCCGCACGCGCCACATGCACCACAGGCTGCCGCATCAACAGCGCTTGGACCGCACATGGCCGCCATTAATGGAGTCAGTTCGAGCCCTGAAATTTACACAAAAATCTTATATATAAAGCTGAATGTCTGTATGTATGTATGTATGTATGTCTGTATGTCTGTGTGTACGTATGTTCCGAATAGAAAATTCCATTTCTGAACCGATCCGGACCAAACTTGGCACACATACACTTCGGGCCCCGGCGGGTGTCATAGGCTACTTTTCGTCATCGATCGATATCGATTTTATCGATTTTTATCGATTTTTTTACTGAGTTCACCTACGGGGCTAGGAGTTGGCACAGGGGGGGGGGGGGGAAGTGAGCATGGGGATTCCGAATACAATATTAGTTTTCAGAATTATCGGTTACTTTTATTGATTTTATCGATTTTTTGTAAATTTTGACATGCGAGGCTGGGATTTTGCACAGGGGGGTGATCGAGCATGGGGATTCCGAATACAATATTGGTTTTCAGGATTATCGATTACTTTTATCGATTTTATCGATTTTTTGCAAAGTTTGAGCTACGGGGCTGGGAGTTGGCACAGGGGGGTAATCGAGCATGGGGATTCCGAATACAATATTGGTTTTCAGGATTATCGATTACTTTTATCGATTTTATCGATTTTTTGCAAAGTTTGAGCTAGGGGGCTGGGAGTTGGCACAGGGGGGTAATCGAGCATGCTGATCATCCCCAAGGGGGAAACGAAAAGTGGACTGTGACACCCGCCGGGACCCGAAGTGTATGTGTGCCAAGTTTGGTCCGGATACGGCGGAGCCGGGTAAGCCAGCTAGTTATTCATAAAACCACGACAGCCCTGTGATTGCTTTCAAAAAAAAATAGAAGTACACACCTTCAGTCTCCCGAGACTGCAACATGCGATTCGACGGTATTTGGCTGCCGTAACCGCATGCCAGGGTTAGTGGCCACTTGTGAGCTTGATGACCTATTGCTGTAGTATCATTGCGAGAACGAATCTATAAATGAGACACTCCAGAAGCATAGTAGCGGGTTTTCCAACAAAAAAAGAACAGTTTGTATTTATGTTTTAGTGGTAGCTGGATGATGTACTTGTTATGTCACCAAGTGTTGCTGACAACTCCTCATCAAACAGTGGAACAAAAAAAAAATCAAAACTCCTGTTCTCTTGCTAAACGTCGAAGGTGACTAAGATTGATTGCATAAACAATTATCAGCGGAGTTATAACGAACAATAAAACAAAACGAGATTTGCTGATTTACCTTATCCGGGTTGCACAATACGAATAAAGTAGCTACGCAAAATACAGAAGCAATTTGTTCGGCGGTATTTGTCGATCGAACTTCAATTCGTTTACCTTGTAGACGGGCCTGAGCATCTGGAAAAAAAAATAAACAAAATGCGGCACTGCAATGCATAACACGGATGAGTTAAAATTGATTGTGATGTATGCAAAAGCCGAAGAAACATGTAACAACTCCAAAAAGGAGGTTCCTTTTGAGCTACGGGGGAAGCTAACGAATATTCTCACACTGATATTTTTTCATCTCAAGAGCAGAGATCACATTATAACAGTTTACAATCACAATAACAAAATAGACCTTCAACTTTAGAAAGTTAAGTCATCAAACACCCATACAGGAAGACAGTCAAAGGCATTCTCTTGCTGCAACTTAGAGATGCATTTCTGCGCTACGCGAAATTCCAAAAAATTCTTAAAGTAAGCTAACTTGCTAGCTATTCGAAATGACCATTTGCTACGCACAGTTTTTACTGCAAAATTAGCGAAAATTAGCGAAATATTAACGCTTGCTAATGGCATCTTAAGTTTTTGATCTCTAATATTTATTACGATCTTTTTTCGAGTTAATAAAGCTGAAAAATTCCTGCAACTATCAGTATCTAACTGACAATTCAAAATGCCTCTAAAACGTTCGAAAACTCTAAATATGCAATTTGATGTGTAGCTGGCAATAACAACGTGCCTCTTGACATGCACGTTACCCATACTAGTAGAATTTACGAAAGAATGAACTAAAGACGATTGTTCCCATGAGGAAGTCAATTCATCGAAGGAAATGGCAGCTCCAAAAATGCTCACCTCCAATGACAAACACAGTCGAGCCTTCAGGCGAAGGTACTTCGATTTTCTGTACAGTATTCTTCAAAAGATTGAATGCATCGACAAGTAAACGTCCAGGGGAGCCCGGTCTAGCTTTCTGGCCTTTATCGGCAGGCTAAAATTAACAAGTTGAGACAGCAGTAACCATCCGCAGCCTGAATTCACCTGTTTCCTCGAGAAACCAGTCCATCGTCCTTTCATAATTGCATAATCACCATCTCTGTTCACTATCACAAAAGCTCTTTCATCAGCATTTGACAAATGAGGCAGAAATTGCTGAATTTCACTGAGTCCTCATCATAATTTTCTTCAGCGACTTACCAAATTACTGTCGAGCTGATCACGACTTGGCAGAGAGTCGGCACCAATCAGATGTGCCATAGCGAGCAATCGTTGTTCGTTACCGTATACTAGGATCATTGACAGTAGCAATGCAGCCGAATGCACCACTTGTACCGTATACTTTGTTCCGTCTCGAGTATCAACGACACTAAACATAGAAAAGTGCATCCAACAGATTACTCCTATTTGTGGAAAATTTTGCTCCAAAAAAAGGCGGGAATGGGGGGAGGGAAGTATAACCATGATACAGTGGCGTACCCAGGATTTCGGCTCGGGGGGGGGGCGACGAAAATTTTTTTCTAGTGAAGGTGCGTGGCGTCAGCCACGCACTATGTATGTCTGTCTGTATGTATGTCTGTCTGTACGTATGTTCCGAATAAAAAATTCCATTTCTGGACCGATCCGGACCAAACTTGGCACACATACACTTCGGGCCCCGGCGGGTGTCATAGGCTACTTTTCGTCATCGATCGATATCGATTTTATCGATTTTTTGCAAAATTTGAGCTACGGGGCTGGGAGTTGGCACAGGGGGGTAAGTGAGCATGGGGATTCCGAATACAATATTAGTTTTTAGAATTGTGCATTACTTTTATCGATTTTATCGATTTTTTTGCAAAGTTTGAGCTACGGGGTTGGGAGTTGGCATATGGGGGTAAGTGAGCATGGGGATTCCGAAAACAATATTAGTTTTTAGAATCGTGCATTACTTTTATCGATTTTATCGATTTTTTGCAAAGTTTGAGCTACGGGGCTGGGAGTTGGCACATGGGGGTAAGTGAGCATGGGGATTCCGAATACAATATTAGTTTTTAAAATCGTGCATTACTTTTATCGATTTTATCGGTTAAGAAATGGAATTTTCTATTCGGAACATACGGTAAGCCAGCTAGTAACACATATGAGTAACTTTCAAAAATTTCGCGACCCATTCTCGGGGGGGGGGGCGCCCCCCCCCCCCTCGGTACGCCACTGCCAGGATATGAAAGTGCACAAACCGAAGCAATTTCACCAAAAAGCGAAATTTCATTTTCGAAAAGCAGTTTTAGCTTCTATTTTAATTCTATCACAACCCAGAACAGTGCCGCGCAAATGTTTACGGCTCTCTACACGTTTTTCAAGCTTTCTAATCGCACGTTCCTTTGTTTTACTAGTGAAACAAAAAAAGCGCATAGTAAATACACAAGAAGTGGCAGCAGCGAAACACAGCAAAGTTTCTAAAATTTACGGCAAATCGTACTGAAAGTCACATTCAACTCCTTAATTAGAAAAAAATCACCGAATCACCCAAACACGCGTCGCACCGCCACATCTTGGTTCAAAGTAGATGTATCTTAGATTATGTTCGACTCCTTTTCAGCTCGGTGGGGTGCATCCTCTGAAGCATAAAAGTGCTCGTTGGATACGGTATGTGCACGTAGGCGGCCACATTTAGCGAATCTTTTTAGATTTTGGTTATGATAGGTCACTTGATGCCGCATGCATCGACATTCCCACCGGCGAGGGTGTCGGGATGCAGCTAATCCCCAACAGCTGCCTAGGATGGAGGTTGGCCCAGGATAGCCAACCTCTGGCAGTGACCTCCGCCCGCCGGCAGGAGCCGGTGCCCTTTCCCCCTTTCCCCTTCCTCTCTTGTATATATATCTTATATAATAAATATTAGAGTAAGGATTATGTAAACCCGCTACACATCCAGGTAAAGGCGTCATGAACCTTTATCCTGACATGGAAGTCCCGGGAAGATTTTTTTCTCAAATCCTAAAATTAAATTTTTTTTAATCAACCAATCAACCATATGGTAAATAATATTCGATCCCCTCCTCCCCTCTGCCACAATCTTCCAACCGTCTGGATGGAGTCACTCAACAACGAATGAAAGCGAGTGTGTGAGTTCTAACTGTTTTGTTAATTTATCTATAATAATCGTGTGCAGTGAAAATATTTAATCATTTCAGAAGGAATAAAATAAAATAAAATAAATTAAAATAAAATAAAGTAAAATAATAAAAAATAACAGTCCTGCGAACAGTCCCATTTTTGTCAATTCTTTCTTTCGCAAAGCGCTCGCATCTCCCGTGATCCGTGATTCCGTGATCCGTGAGTCCGTGAATCCGTGATTGCATATCCGTGAATTTTTTTTTGAAAAAAATTGCCGTGATTCCGTGATCCGTGATCCGTGAATCCGTGAAACCGTGATTCCGTGAATTTTTGTTAACTTATTTTATTTTTTTCTTTTTTATAATTAGACAATGGACTTGTTCGCAATTGCTAGCACAAAATTCACTGCAGTATTAGACCCAGAAAGATAAATCTGCTGGCCCACTGCAGATAACTTCTGCTGGGAAGTGTCGACAAAACGTAATGCTTCGACCTCTCAGGAAATGTAACAAAACCCAGTGCTACTGTCCGCGCGCGGTGACCCCCTTTGGCTATAGAGTAACGCAGCTGCCCTCGCAAGTTGTAAGCATGTGACCCGCGACAAATTTTTTCGTGGCAAATTAATATTATTTGAGCGCTATGACCTTTCAGCTGCGATAGTGCAAATACGTCTGCTTTGTGTCGCGATAAGCCTTGGAACAGGATTAATAATTGCGTAACCTAATCTTTTACGATCATGGCATACGTCCAACAGCAGCAGTTGCACAGTATGACCCCTTAGCGTCTGTTCTTATGCAACTTATACTGCCAACAACAACAGTTGTGCCCGATGTCCCGCTGCCGTATATCTTACGCAAATTATGTTATCGTAATATTTACCATCTGCTGTCGAATACAAAACCACTTCAAACCTTTTGAAATATTTAGAAATATTCATACTATACACAACACTAATTATATTGTTTGTTGTTTCATGAAAATGATACACGTCTAGATCAATAAAAAAAATTTTTCGACAGCTTTGGTGATATTCCGCGCCTCACAGATAATAATAGCACTCAAATCATTCTTAGTGCAGGATCGTACTTTTGAAGATTTACCGCGTTTTGCTACAATTTCCCATCCATTGAACAAACTGCGCATAAAAAAAATGCAGTTTTTCTTGGAGCAAGGAGTAAGAAATAGCATTCCAAGCATTAAAACATGCCCTAGTGGATGCGCTTGTTTTAGTGCTTCCTATTCTAGGAAAACCCTATATCATCCACACCGATGCATCAACCATCGGTCCCGGCGCATGCCTCCTACAAGTCAATCCGGAGACTAGTAGTGAAACTTTTGATCGCATTGCAGCCGCCGTCTAAAAAGACATGAGAGGACTACGCAACTTCTGAGTTAGATTATCTACACGTTGCCAATAGTTCCACAATGTTGATAACTGATCACGCCAGCAAATCCATCATGCATAGATCAGATCTCATGTCATCTAAGCACAAAAGCAGATCCTCATCGTCTTTTTCAAGTTTACATATGTAGATTGATACCTCAACTTTGAGGAACAGTCACCATGTATCAAAAATTAGATGACAATCATTGCTGCTGCTTGAAAAAAAATCCAGTAGTCTTTGTCCTTCGAATCTATAGTCACAATATTGCGCTTCCATATTGTACCCAATTAATTGCGTTCTAATATACGCAAATGCAAAAACAGCGGGTCTTGCTTTATAAATGCAATCAATTCTGTTGGATACTTCGCCATATGCATTGATTTTTAGACGCTTGAACTTGAAATTTTTTAATTAGTTCACACTTTGGAGTACAGATTCAAAAAAAAAAATCTAACGATCTGAGTTACTTAACATCCTCTGCTTCTAACATTCATACTCGCTAAGCTATACTCTAGTGATATATCATCAAATTCTTATTGTTAAAATTCATCGGTCCTTTGATTGAGACTTAGATGGTAATTTAAAAAAAGCGCAATCGAGTTTGCTCCAAGGTTGGAAATGTCAGATATAAAAATAATAAGATTTTTGTCACATTTGCGGTGGCACCATTTTCTCAAAGATAGAATTCTGGTATACTTTCCAGCTCAAAAAGCCCTAGAATCTACAATAAAAAAATCAAAATTCAGCGTCCTTTCACCAAGAAAATGAGTGAAAAAACTTCCTTGAATGATTGAAATTTTGGGAGTGATTTATTTTTTTTCAACGTTTTGTAAATGTTATGTTCTTAATCAGTTTTTTTTTGTTCCAACTACGTCTACTTAGTAATATATCGAGCTTTCAATCAATATCATACACTTTTCAACTCAACTTTGATGAGGAACACCTGATGCCAATTTCGAATTGAAATTTTCTTAAAATGCCTGAAAAAAAAAAGAAAACAAGAAAAGCGAAAAAAAAATCGCTAGGTTATCCATTTCAATTTCAAAACACTCTCGAAAATTTCATTCTTGGGGACGCCTGCATCTAAAATATTGCAACTCTATGATCAGCTACACTGTGCTTGCATATACATTTGCTTAGAACTGACAATTTTCCAACTTTGAGGTAAGTCTGAAAAAAAAACTACAAATTTTGCACAACCTACTTTTAGGGTTTTGTTCACAAAGTTTCTGAAATACAGAATTGATATTAAAAAAAAGGTGTAGCTTCTATGAGGCTAAACAATTTTGCGAAAACACTGCACTTTCTTTTCTCTTTTGATCTACATCAGAAATTTCAAGCAATTACTGGTATATGTAAAATGCGGTTGTAACACAGACAAGCATTTTTTTTCCTTTCAGTAGTTTTCAGATCACAACACTTAGTATGTTCACATAGTGTTGGGCGAAACGTGAAGTAGAATTGTTTTCAGAGAACATTTCTGCTGACAGATCTGAAATTGAAAGAGATAAAGTTTCTTAACAAAGTTGAAACTCTTCATAATTTTCTTAAAGAAAAATGGATAGTTATCATAGTTTCCCGTTGCTAGAAGTTTTTTTTTCTCGTCATCATAAAAATGCATTAAGGAAGAAACTACTACTCAGAATAGACCTTATACCAGAACAAACCAAATATTTCGCTTAAGAAAAACATTACTCCACATGAAAATCAATTCTTCAAAATTCTTTTCTCAAACTCCGGCTTGATTTGATTACGTAACGTCCAAACCAATCTGAAACTCAAAAATGTTGTTATAAAAAGCATTTTTGCAGGGGTTACCTGCACTTCCACATGTGACTTCGAAAAGAAAAACCAGGCATTTTCTTAGTTCTAGATTGAACCTTACGAAAACATCAAATTGGTACAATACATTCAAAAACAAACTTTCTTATTTTCAGTTTATTTTTCGAACTTTCATTAATGCATGATTGATCTCGATCGAAAGGAACTTTGGACTGTAAAATCACAAAAACTCACATTCATATTTTGACAGCGAGATTCCTACTTGAAATCATTTTTTTCACAAGAGCTACGAACTTTTCAGTCATCCACTACTTCCGAAATCTGTCATTCATCAGAGCAACCTCCAATTCTTTTGCAGAAGCATTCATAAAGAAAGAATACTCTGAAAACATTCTCAAACTGAGAAGAAAGACATTTTCAAAAAAAAAAGAACTTAATTTATATTTTTTTGAACATCGTGATGAAAAAAAAATTCTTTTTAGAGGATGATATGAAATGTGCAACCGTTGCTAGTCTGGTTTCTCTTCAAAAAAAAGGCTAGCAAGGTTATAATCACTTTTATCATAAAAAAAACAAAAATCTCAATTTAATCTATTTTAGAAGCAAAAAGAGCAGATCCCAAAATTCCATGACGCAATCAATTTTCAAATAAACTTACTGAATTTTGCAAAAAATTTCGATATAAATTTTATCACAAACATTTTCAGGTGCCTTACAATATGAGGAAAAATTTAAAACTATCAGTTTTAGGGAACAGAAAAAAAAGAGCTTTTCACTTTAATTGCTCAATTCAAATGCATCTTTTTACACCACAAACATCGTCGTTACATACCAAGTGATAAAATACACTTCTTTTGCATTCGGACTACTTTTGAAAGTGTGAGCAAGGCTAGCATAATAAAGTCTGAAATTACTATTTACTGCTTTCGCACCCCTGAATTCAACGACAGTAACGAACAGCTCGGCCAAGCTCAGTTTCTGCATGTTAAGAAAATTCATTAGGTAGCGTTGGCAGTTTAGTCAAAAAGACTATGTTTCTGGATGAACGTTTTTTTGAAAGATTTCGAGTTGTTTCCATGACGTATTTTTTCTATCGATTGTGCACAAATCTGATGAAAAAAAAACTTTCTCTTGCAAAATGCGTTCATCGTCCTGTTTGCATTGACTTTTGAATTTGACAACCGAAAGAAAAAAAATTCTTTCCATGTAATTCAAATCGGCTCATTACCTCAGCATTTCTGGATAAGACCTGTGAGTACACACTCAAAATAAAGAAGAAGCCCGCAAAATGGTAGTAAAACATGCATCGATTGTAATAGTTCATTGAAAACCGCGCTCATGACTTTGATTCGAATAATGGACACACTATTGGTAAGAACATTGGAATATAGCAGTTCCTCCAGTTTTGTGCGATTGCACAAACCAAGTCTGCATTACGTTGTTAAACGTAGCAATCAGAACTACAATTAAAAATATTTTCAGAGAATATTACTTGTAGCTGAATGGAGATTGTTTTCAGAGAACAATTCTCTTTTAACCGAAACGCTTCGCAGAAGAAATAACTTGTTGTTTGCCAAAAAAATCCTCAGTGCTTCTGAACATGTTCAGATATCCAGATTGATATTCTGATCAGAAGAAATGACCGCAATTTTTTTTGAAAGGTGATCAACCGAAGCTGACAATAAGCAATGGAGGCACGGTTTTTTTGTCGCACCGAAATTTATTCTTGGGAATGAAAAAGAAACTGTTTAGAACATTTTACGTCACCCAGTTCTTATTCTTCCCTAGAAAAGGATGGTAATGATTCCTTTACAGATTTCAGCAGAATTCAGGAACAATCACACCATAAAATTTTCTATATTGGATCTGGATGTTGAAGAAACAAGATAGCTTTCTTAGATTGCAAATTAATCGTGAATTACCACACATGATGTTAGGATCATTTCCGCTGAATTTTACTTATGACTCAAAAGTTACATATCGTAGTTTCTGCAGTGGAAACGTTCTGTTCGTATAATTTACTATGCCAAAATGTACTGTTAATACTTTTGTATAACTTGGTTTGCATTTTCATGTTGTCTATGTCGAAAATGGGCTAATGCTTCCAAAAACCACTTTTTTTTTCTTCAAAAAAAAAACAATTAAAAAAAAGGAAACATCAGAACATGAACGACATCGTGTTTGTTTTGTTCATGAATGTAGTCTTGAATTTGGTCGCAAGACTGCAAGACAATTTTTAAATGCAACTCAGTTTGGAAAAAATCCAACTATCAGAGTTTTATTTTTTTCTGCTGTCGAGATATTTCTTAACGTGAGTTTGTTTACATCTATTTTGCCGCACCGCTGCGATTATCTATAAATAAATTTCTTTGAACCGGCAGTTCAAAGAATGGAAAAAAATATTTCGTGCTAGGCAGCGAAAAAAAAAAATTCCTATTTCTCTAACACTCAAAATCTGCCACTATGTTGAATTGAACACAGTTTGTTGTGCTCAATTCTGCATCTAAATCTTCCTCTCCGTTTTCCAAGCGATTGCATTATTTATATGCTGTATAACCATATGTCACTCGGTTCAAATTATGCAATACCTTAATATATTACACTTCCTAAAAATCCACATGTAGCTTGACTATTTTTTGTAAAATATAACTTCAGAATCACTAATGTAATCCAATATCGCCTAACACTTTGTTAACTATGTAAATTCTGCTCACCACGGTATTTTCATTAACATGTTCTCAACAAGTTCCCTTCCAAACCATAATTTCCTCATATCAACATTCAATACCGGTCACATTATACTCCTATAAATCTCCACGCCAATTTTCCCATTCGTCAACTTCCGGCTATAATATGCCTGTTCACTTCCAACAACTACATGTTACTGCCTCTTCCAAGCAGTCCCCTACGACACACCGTATATTCCGTATTATATATATATATATCTCCGCTTGAGGACAAGCTCACTCTGTACCCCTAGGATGAGGTGAAGGTCGCTGTTTGGTTATCCAATCCGCCTAAACCAACTCCTCTACTCAATCAATCTGAAGATAATGGTACCGTAATTGAAGTTCTCTATGGTCTCGCCGTAACACGTGTACTCTTTACACACGTAACTCGGAAGACATTCAACAACCATCAAACAAGCTCGAGGACGAGCTTTTTAAAGGAATGGAGATGTCGGGATGCAGCTAATCCCCAACAGCTGCCTAGGATGGAGGTTGGCCCAGGATAGCCAACCTCTGGCAGTGACCTCCGCCCGCCGGCAGGAGCCGGTGCCCTTTCCCCCTTTCCCCTTCCTCTCTTGTATATATCTTATATAATAAATATTAGAGTAAGGATTATGTAAACCCGCTACACATCCAGGTAAAGGCGTCATGAACCTTTATCCTGACAAGGGGATCGTCGCAGCTTAAAAGAAAATCCATATCCTGAAGCTGCAGATGCTAGATTTACGCTGCCTATCGTAGATAATCCTACCATCCTTCACTATAAACATACTGAACGAAACGAAAAGTTGCAAGATATGAAACTTTCTTCTAAGCTGCGATTCCCCCCCCCCCCCCCTTCCCCCCGCCCCCCTCCCAGCGGGGTTGTTAATGCATGCGTCCCTTTGTAGTGTGCTTGGTCACTGCGCACTGAGTAAAAACATAAGATCGCCCGCCTACAGTATACGAATGCAATTCAATCTACCGAGAAAAATATCTCGCCAAACTGAGTCGCACGGTGCTTGGATCGGACATCCACTTTGAACCGAAGGGCGATGAGACGCAGATTTCGGTGAACTTCGGTGAAGTTCGCTGATTATCTTGACTATTACTAGCGGTACTTTCTGTTTCCTTCACCACTGTCGCTACCGCAACGATTAGTAGTAGAGAAACTATATGCATAGCAGCCTAGCTTCTACAAATTTGGGTTTTAGAATCTGAACTCTACCTATGGGTAGCGATATGTACGGTAGTCGTCGGTGTCAACCCGCCACGATTCAAAGCTCCACATTGACACAAGTATGACAAATGCGAATCGGGTTGTAATTGATGCTCCATGAAATCCTCAGCAATCAACTGCAGTTCGCGATTGAGGGTCACGCTGCAAAAGAATGCCCCAACTTTTGGATGAAGAGCGAATGAAAGGATGAACATACCTCGTTGTGATACTGACTCTCGCGCTCATCTCAGGTTCTACACCTCTCGATCTTAGCGCGACTTCAGCCACATTATGTGCGGATTTCGACTGTGCCGGCGGTAACAACTGAAAAAATTGCGCATGGTGCAGAACCTTCAATAAATCTCAGCAATGATTGAGATCAAACAGATCAAGGAACGATACGGCGATAGGCAGCGTTTTCAGGGATTATGCATCTTTAGCACATGCTGTTGCTAATGGCGGTTCCAGGATTTCCGTCCAAAATTTTTCTACTAAGTCAGCGCGGCTTTCACTAATATCGAAAATTAATTGGAATGATTCTAAGATCTTTAGAGGGCCTTAAAAAACTTAGAAATTTAGTGGACGTAGCGGCAGCGACGCCGCGAAAAAAGAATTTTACGAGGCTAATTTGGGTTTTTTGAAATTACATCTTTATAACCTCGCCCTTGGTTCATCACTCGCTACTACAAATCGCGAGGGGATCAGAAGTCCACTATCACTGCTGTCGGCAGTATTGTTCCTCCAGTTAAATTCATGCAAATATGCTCTACCTGGTTCAGTGATACGCGACCCACTAATCGCACTCTATCTCTTCGTTGCAAAAACATTCTATCAAACACTTCCAGTTCTACGAGAAGATCCTGAAAAATAAGCATAGACGCTATAAGAATCTAAAACGAAAAAAAATCTTCAAACTTTGGCTTGTCTCCTTTCAAAGGGAAATTTTACGATAGACGTCGAAGTTGAAGCCTCTGTGGGTTGCCATATTAATGAGAAACCTGCCTTTGTCACCTAAATACGTGAAACTTAATGACCGAACATATACAGCTTTGATACAAATTGGAAACTAAACCCCAAAAAATTCTACGTTCATGCAGCAATTTACCTGTTTTTGTGAGAGATCAGCATTGAATGTCGTCACTTTTTTGTTGCCATAGCTTAGCTTTAACCTGCGATAATAATAACAGAGAAATCATGCGGTGCTTCGAGCATCATCCACGCGCTCACCTTAGTTGCTCTCGTTGAACCGGTATATCTTTCAAAGCTATAGATGGCACATGTACATCTCCATAAGCAATGTTAGACAGATCCTGAGTTTCGAAGCCAAGAAAAGCAGGCGCATTATGACCTCTGCAAAGCATTTGCTTCACTTGTACTTGTAAAGAGAGCTTGCCAACAACAGAAAAAATCTTTAAGCTGTTGTTCAATATCTTGGGACCTGAGCTGTATAATTTCCAGAGCGTTAGGTTGGCATGAAGGTTCTGTCGCAATTTTTCAAAAAATCATAACTTTTGATTTTTTCGACCGAGCCTATCTTCACTTTTATTCCAAGAGTAAATCATGCTCTTTATGACTGTAGTCGAGTAGTTTTCTATTGAGCGTACACTGCATATGTAGAAGATAGAAGAAATCAACAGAAATTTTGATTTTTCTGTGTTTGGCGGTAAAAAATCTGATTATAATAAAAAATGGAGCAGTCAGCGTTACAGCTTCGTTATTCGCTCTTTCAAAATGAGCAAAATTTGTGCTAATTGAGCATTTCTATAAGATGTTATGATTTTCAAAAAAAAATGCCAAAAAATCAAATGCTGTTTCGTACTGCTCGCTCAAAAATCATAACTGTTCAGAGAGTCGTTCAATCAGTAAAAGCATTCCTCCTCTAGAAAGAGCAAATAACAGATCCTATAATACCAACTGTACCTCCTATTTCCATCGCAAATTTCAGATTTTTTACGACCAAATAAAAAAATCAAGCTTTGAAAAAAAAACTTTACACAGCCAAGAACTTCAGTAAGTGATTTCTCCCCAGATCTCTAGCTTCTGTACATCAAGATAGCACCTATTGCTTACGAAGTCGTCGTTTAAGTTCTAGTCTGTCAGCCCCGATCTCTTCTTGATAAGCGCACCATGTACAAGCGAATATTTTTCACAGCTTTTAGCGCAATAAATGTTTCACCTGAACATGCATCCCCTTCTCCAGAATGGCTCTTCAAAGTGTGTTGTCCAGAGCTTCTTCGTTAATGCTTCACCTTTCAGTAGTTTGCTACCCTTTGTCCGGTCATTCACTGTATCGTCATGTTTCAGCAGGGAACCGAATATGGCAGTGCAATCCCGCAAATAAGCGTGAGGATGGGCCTAAATTATCAGTTTTTTTACAGGAGAATTTATAAGCACTTGAAAGCCTATTCCACCTCCACTACCCCCGACCTACGCGCAACTCCACCAAATTTATGTCGTCATACAAATCTAATCTAACAAAGTGCCAAAGAGTGAGTTACTCCGCTCGAACATATTACATTATTAGAGCATGGAATGTCATTTGGCGAGTGTCATATTACCTAGCAAGTACATGTCGATGCCAAAATGAGATGACGAACAGAGAGTGGAGAGGAGTCTCAATAAATTTTTTTTTTGAGAAAGAACTTTGTGACAGTATAATGGTTATTACCAGGGCTCGGCACAGGTAGCTTACAAGGCATACCGTTTTGGAATAAAAAGCAAAGGGGATATCGTTTAAGCGGAAACCCCCCCCCCCCCTCCCACCTCCCAATCACCACACACACAATCGCCTTCTTCCTTTAGGTCACTCATCTTCTATAAAGGACGCAAATTGTCATTCCTGCCTTATCGATCCCATTCCTGCAAAAACCAAAAATCTTCTGTTTCAACTTCGCCGGGTAAGCGCGCGAATTCAAACTTGCCCCGAAATAAACAAAATACTTGTTTACAGCGAAGAGAAACTAAAATGATACCAAAATTGGTGTGTAGATGGGCAGTAGGGAGTTAGGACTATGTGCAAAAAATTATGAAAAAATTATGTGAACCGAAGGCGTGGCAAACTCTTATCGGAGTTAGGTGACTTTACAGCCACCTGGACAGCCACGTGAGGTGGCTGTAAAAAGAAAAAGTCATGAATTTCCCTTCCTTCACATAATTTTTCATATGTTTGACATGAAAACATTCTACACCAAAAATCCTACAACCGAGTTTTTGGATCTCCCTAAACCCCCTCTTCTCCGCATAGTTACAGCGCTCCAAATATTTTGTATGGTGCGGCAAGTCTGCTCCAAGCGCGTAAGGGTGCGCGCTGGACACTGCATGCCGCCAATTCGGTGGATACGGGCATTTTCAGTTCTTTTCGTCCGTCAAATGTTTTTTTATGGTTTGTTCCATAATTTCTCGTTATTTGTTTTAATCCATTCATTTTCGCGGCATAGGTGATGTCCTTGTGGCGAAGTCTACGCGGGCTTCGTTTTTGAAAAACTAAAAAAGCCACTTCATGCCGAGCCCTGGTTATTACCCCAGACTGCTTTGAGATTCAGGATTACGGCAGTATTCAAACTTTACGTAAACACAAGATAGAACTTTTCTATGATTAGATCACTACATAAACTCGGTTAGAAATCATGAAAAAATATGACATTGATTACGAACATCAAAATAGTGTTCTTCTAATCACCTGGATTTCAAAATGTCTACAAAAACCTAAAGCAGATTCTGTCAATAAACGCAACACTTCCCGCAATGAAAAAAATTAGTTTGTTCCCGAAGTGACGAAATCTTGAAAAAAGAAAGAATACGCTTACCTGATGTGTATGCCAAACAACGTCGAAATCATAACAAGGCGTCAAAAACTGGTCCGAATACGTTTGCTTTAGCAGAAGAAATTGTATATATCGCTTAACCGCTTCCGTGAGAAATTTTGTCGAAGTATAGTGAGGCAATGAGATCTGAATCAATTCTTTGATCATCAACTTGACGAAGTCGCCAAAACAGGGAGCTATCAAATCTCCCCGGCATTTGTTCTCAAGTAATAGCTAATTTAGATTTTCAGTTTGTTTACCCCACCCATCACCTGACACAAAGCTATTTGCGCTATGCTTTGATCCCAGAGAGCTATCTCCAATGATTGCTCTGTTTACGTCAACGAAGAACATCTGCAGAAAAAACATATCTCAACCATGCGGTTTGGTAAATAAAGGCATATTCTAGATCCAAAAGAGAGTATTATTATCACAGCTGCTTCACACCAGTAAAAAATGCCCTTATTCTCTTCTATGCTAAAGCAGCAAAGAAGAGCAAGACGCATTTTTTAGATGATCGAAAACGCTAGTAGAAAGATGTTGCTTTGAAACAATGCTTCAGAGAACCTTCTGACAGCTGCTCCAACAAAATAGGACATACTATGTGAGTGATAAACCAAAAGAAGACGATCCCCACCTTACAACAATTGTTCCACATAACACGCTACGAATGTCAAGAATGTGATTGCTTCACTCAGATCAGATCCAGTTACATGAACAACTGTCCTATCCGCAAACGTCTGGTGGAAACGGCTGCAGGTACTACCATACAATCGCACAAATGAAGGCGTGAAGTCATACTGGGTGCCCCGATTTTCGTTTAAACCTTTTGAAACCTGGATACTATTCGAGCTTAGCATTCACAACCCGAGCAGATAGTCCAACTTAGTTTGATTTTTTGCACTTTCATAGATCTCTCCAAACTTTCGCCAACTCCCTCGATGAATCTAGGGATGAAAAGCGTCCAAATGCAAAAATGAGCTTTCAAGGCCTATGTGCGTCTTAATTAGTCTTGAATGCCCTCTTCTCAGGCATTTGATTGTTCTCCAATGCACGACCTCCATGAGTGAACGAAAATTCAATTCCAAATCAGCAAAGTGCAACTAGCACCGCCCATTCAAGACTTACGATGCACTGGATAAATTATAGAAATGGGACGAAACCGTCAGAAGAAGCTCATGAGTTCGGACTGAAACCGATTGTTTTGTCAGCAAATTTCGAGCTTTTTCCGAGATTTTGGAGATTTTATGTACTACCTTGACTTATTAAATTCTCATTTCAACGATCCAATCCACCTAAGCATAAGCGAGGAATGCGAGCAGCTTCATTAATTTCCGGATAGATTCATCTAGATTAATCAGCGTTCAATTGCCAGGTAAAAAAAGATAAACAAAAAAAGCAAAAGTAGTCGCACGATACTACTGCAAAAGAGGAGAAGAGAATTGCAAATATGAGCATGATTGACCTACCTGATAATTGAAGTTCCGTTGCCGTTGTACAGCTGCTGCAATATCATAACCGCATGTAGACTTGTATGGAGTGGAGCTGGAGGCAGTCGAAGCGAGAAAGTCGTACGGTTCCGGGCTACAGTACGTGTCCCAAGTGCGCACAGAAGATTCATACCTGGAATGATGTACTAGTAAAAATCTCTTCTATCGAGTAACCCAAGAAATTAGCAACTCAAACGATTGAGGTTACCTTTTCTGAATCTCATCCGATGACAACAACTTGTGGTCGATCACCTTTCCGCATAACTTCTCACAATCCTGAAGTATGCCAAAGATCATTCTCAGTGCTCATCCCTAGCGGTGGGAAGAAGCGTGAATTCTCGGGTGTGTGTTCGAAAATGCCAGTAATCCATCACTTAGCCGCCGATCCGTCAGACACCGCTGCTGGCTAACTTTGAGCTGTTTTCATTGATACTGCTGGGCTTTTGTTATTATTGCTGATGGATGGGAAACATTCAAATGCTTATTACTCCGAGCTTCCAAAAATTACATGGCATTTGTTACAAAGTCATCTACAAAAATCAGTGATCAGCGAACTTTAACGGTGTTTTCGCCATATGGCACATTTCTCAACAAAGCCCGGGATCTCAGACCACTTCTCTTTGGAACTGTCTATGAGGAGCTGGTACAAATGGCTCTCCAATAAAAAGATCTTTATCGGGAGAACTCAGCTTCCACCTTTGGGCTCGTTGACACCCAAATAACGAGACCTCATAATTTTATAGTAAACAAGGTTCAGAGTCTATCCTTCTTGTAGTATATGTGATTGTTTTCCTGTAGCTTCGCAGCCCCTAAATATACCTGCAGTCCTAAAGTCTAAGCCTCTTCCCCTTCTCTTTCCTATGCCCTTATCTCTAGCTCTCTGTGATTGAGGCTGGTTGACTTCTCATGTTTTTTTCTGGGTTTCTTTGTCTATTTTTTTTGGCGCATCACAAGTGTCTTGGAAATAAAAAATAATGAAATGAAATAAAAACAAAACCCGCTACGCCCTACCCTGTATTGTCATTTTGCTCCTTTGTCTTATCTTCAACTCGTTTGTTGCCCTCTCCCCTTCTTCCCTTCCCTCCCGCTCCCTTTTCCCTAGCCTGCTGCCACTCTTCTGCGGCTGCACTCCCATAATAGCTCGATAGAGCGCTGCTCAACATTTGTTCCAGTGCACTCCCGTTATATCGCCGATTCCTTGAATTATGAGAATGCTTTCGAGTGGGAGAGCAAACATCTTTGGGATGAACGATCGAGAAAAAAATCATCAGCTTCACTAAACGAAACTCAATGTGCGAAAAAACCTTGCTTAGAATAGTCAGGTGGTCTCCGCTCTACTCCTAATCTCTACACTTCAAGTATAGGACCGCAGAATTCCCAGTGAATTTAAGTGCAGCGAATGGCTACAAAACGCTGTTAGCTGAAGCACTTTTACGAAAATATGCCAATGAAAGCTTAAACTATGGTCGACAGAGAAAACGAATGGAGGAGTCTTACAATGAAAACAATAACAGGAGAACTAATGAGTTTTGAGCCAGAATGCAACCTTTAATGCTTTCAAAACAAGGAAAACTACCATCACCACGCAAAATGACTGCGTTCGGGGGGAATCGAACCCCCGTCGAATGCTTGGAAGGCATCCATGCTAACCATTACACCACGAACGCTCACATGCACTAGTGCTTGGGAACCGTTGATATCTGGGAATAAATCATCGAACGACTTCTTGAGCACTAGTACAAAAGAGAAGAACGTTCAGTTAAGAAGTCTGATAATAATTGATATATACCGGGCAACTGATGATCAAAAATCAATAGAACAATACGCGATTTCAGAGAAGAGAAATTGCAACGTGCTCTTCTAGTAGGACTGTAACAAGAGACAGAGATGCCCAAATCTTCGGAAACAACCAAAGCGTAGATACAACCGTGTAGTCATTCAACAACATTTTTATCTGCTCAAAAAAAAACCGGTCACTCCGATCCAGTCTCCCCTCAATTGCCGAAAATGTCGACTAAAACAATTTTATCAAAAAACTGCCAACTATCACTTTTTGTTTTTATCTGCGACCAAAATTCTTCATCCTCTCGGATAATGAGTAGAAAAATCGCAGAAAGCTTTTTTGAATGGCTTGTAGCAAACTAAATGACTCTGCAGCACGGCAGCGCAAATTTGGGCAGCAGCTAAAAAAGTCTAACAAAATTCTTTGTTATGTGATTCGAAACAAAAAAAAGAAGCAGTAAGATACGACGCATCGCTGATAGAAAGGAATATAAAAACAAGGAAGTTTTTCTACCAAACAGGATAGTGATAGAAACAAGTACAACGTGCAACAAGCTCTTTTGTTGAGTAAATGCCAAAATCGCCCCTCAGTTGGTAATTTCTCTAATCTCATCCACAAATCACCATAACCATAAGTGCGCCAGAATCATTGACGCCAACTTTGCGGCGATGTTACGATAAAACCACAGCAGATATGAACTCAAATTTATTTTTTAGAAAACGATGATCGTGGTCTACAACAGGTACTTTTGATTCGAGATGGTCAGTGTTTGAGAATGTTAGGATCAAAACAGACTAATGATCTTGGATGGAGCAAAAGTAAAATTTTCTTATGTTCTTTTTTGATTTGCTGCTGAGTGATTTGCTTTGTACTGAGGGGGTAGAATGAAATTCATCCTCCCATAAAGCAAACTAGCTATAAGTGCGTTTCTATGAGATATACAAACTTATTTGTCAACGATACCCCGCAGCAGCAATTTCGTGTTTACAAAAAAAAACTCTGGAACCTAAGGAGTGCAAAATTCCAGGAACGTACATAAAGAATGTGTTTAATCAAAAATGATTTGTGAGTGGTTTTGGTTGTGGTTTTGATCTTGTGTTGAAATTTCACAGCAAGTTTTTCGGAGAGCAAAATCGTAGTGTTCTCCTAGTAAGCATGACCTTGATATTTTCAATATTTAAGCGACCTAAAAATTTCCCTGCCTAGTGAGGTTAAACCAGAATGCTATCACTCCTGCGGCAAATGATGACAACAACTAAAAAGTTTTTTGGAGATACTCCATATAATTCTGAGGCTGTTGTGCTTGGTAGAGCGTACAATTCATCCATCAAAAGATTTTTGAAAAAAAACGGACAGAATCCGCTTTTTATTGAGTTAAGATAGTGAGGTTTCGAAAAAACAAATTCAAACTTAATTTCTTGTCAAGCCCAAATCAAACTCCTTGGCATTCAAGGACATCCTCGCCACTTACGTTAAAGCGCTCTGTAGGTGGACAATGAGAACACGCCTTAATCTAGCATACTCATAATAAATGGGTAAAGGAACGCAGTATATGAGCGCCACGAAACCATTTGATCTCTAATGCTCACTGCCCCCTCCCTTTCCATCTTCTTCCCAAGCCATTCCTCTTTCTCTCGCTGACCAAATCCAACAAATCGTGACTTCCCGCAGACAACTTCGTTTTCGCTCGTTCATAACTTCGGCGCCCACTTGCCTCTATCCTAATTCAGACACCTCCCGGCCAACATCCCACGCTGGCGCTCCGCGCCAGTAATTCCGTTAGTCCATGCTGCAGTCAAATGAAAGTTTAGTCGAATGCTCACTTCAAGTCGTCTTCCTAAGACGATTTAGGGAGAACACAGACTGCAAAAAAATCACATATACGATCTTAACACGAAGCGCACGAATGGCGCTACTCAAGTCTATCAATTTATGCGAGCGCAACCAAGATATTTCCAGCAGTTTGATGCAAAACGCAGAACACACTAATAAGGGTGAGAAATCAGTTCGACACTGAAAGGTTTCTTTATCTCTCTTTCAACTTTAGCTTGTCTCATAAACATGGCACCGAAAAATGACTTTGATGGACTTTCAACCAGGACATCCTCTAGAGTAACATGCCACCAATCGACCGACATAACTCAATATACCCAACACCAAACGACCGCATTTCGAGTGTAAAAACGAGCACAGCGAACGGGACGTCGTACACGGATAGCACCGGCATTATTTTCTGCTTTTTCGATGAGGAAGGAGGGTGGCATCATAAAAATAGATGGCAATCACTCTAGCAGAAGGAATACGAATGCAGAAAAAACTTGGAAGGAAAAACGTAGTTCAAGAAACGCGTTTTTTATTGCCAGATGGGCATAATTTGACGTATAATTACAGTTTAATAACGCAAAAAGATTTCTAGACATCTGTAGAAATTAGCAAGCATTGCCACGGCTAGAGATTGTATCTTGAGAAGATTTAAAACATGAATGTTGGAGGTCAAAAACTCGCGAACATGCAAGTGATCGTAATATATGGATATTTCGATCAACTATTCACAAAAGCCGAGATAACTTCAGATAGCACGCTAGAGCACTTTGTCTGGTATTTTTCACATAGCTTTAAATTAGGCTGCTGGTGACTTCTGGAGAAATTGCGCCTCTTGACCATCTCCCAGGAGAAACTATGTCGATGTATATTCAAGCATAAAGATTGAGAATTTCATAATAGCAGTAAGAATCAGCAGCTTCACATCCACGCCCTGCATCTTAGGCTGGATACATACTGATCCGTAAGTTCGGGAACAGCTCCAGCAGAGCAACAATTCGAGCGTTGTGCTGGAACTGTACCGGAACTTACGGAGCAGTATACCAGCAGTGGCGTACCAAGGGGGGGGGGGAAGGGGCGGGGTGGAAGCGCCCCCCCCCCGAGAACGGGTCGCAAAATTTTTGAAAGTTACATGAGTTATAAAATTGTGCAAATGACTTGTCTGCACTTGTAAATAATTAAAATAATTTTTAAAAATTTTTAAAAATTGATTTTCTTATATATAAAGCTGAATGTCTGTTTGTATGTCTGTCTGTATGTCTGTCTGTCTGTCTGTACGTATGTTCCGAATAGAAAATTCCATTTCTGAACCGATCCGGACCAAACTTGGCACACATACACTACGGGCCCCGGCGGGTGTCATAGGCTACTTTTCGTCATCGATCGATATCGATTTTATCGATTTTTATCGATTTTTTTGCTGAGTTCACCTACGGGGCTGGGAGTTGGCACAGGGGGGTAATCGAGCATGGGGATTCCGAATACAATATTGGTTTTCAGGATTATCGATTACTTTTATCGATTTTATCGATTTTTTGCAAAGTTTGAGCTACGGGGCTGGGAGTTCGCATAGGGGGGTAATCGAGCATGGGGATTCCGAATACAATATTGGTTTTCGGGATTATCGATTACTTTTATCGATTTTATCGATTTTTTTGCAAAGTTTGAGCTAGGGGGCTGGGAGTTGGCACAGGGGGGTAATCGAGCATGCTGATCATCCCCAAGGGGGGTGATCAGCATGCTATTACACCCCTGTGCCAAATTCCAGCCCCCTAGCTCGAATTTTCAAAAAATCGATAAAATCGATAAAAGTAATGGATGATCTTGAAAACTAATATTGTATTCGTAATCTGCATGCTCGATTACCCCCCTGTGCAAACTCCCAGCCCCGCAGGTCAAACTTTACAAAAAAATCGATAAAACCGATAAAATTAATGGACGATCCTGAAAACTAATATTGTGTTCGTAATCAGCATGCTCGATTACCCCCTGTGCAAAATCCCAGCCTCGCATGTCAAAATTTACAAAAAATCGATAAGATCAATAAAAGTAATCGATAATTCTGGAAACTAATATTGTATTCGGAATCCCCATGCTCACTTCCCCCCCTGTGCCAACTCCTAGCCCTGTAGGTGAATTCTGCAAAAAAATCGATAAAAATCGGTAAAATCGACATCGATCGATAACGAAAAGTGGACTATGACACCCGCCGGGGCCCGAAGTGTATGTGTGCCAAGTTTGGTCCGGATACGGCGGAGCCGGGTAAGCCAGCTAGTAGCCTTATAAAAAAAATTTTCGGGTCTGAAATTTTGGGGTTGTGGGCCCGCGAAAAATTTTTGAAGCATACCAAAAAATTTTTCTGGGTGCCCTTTTTATTCACAATAGCCCATCGGTAAACAACGCGGTGAAAAAAAACTCGATATTTTTCACATCTATAAAAAAAGGAGGCAGTGAGATAGAGAGGTGCCAAAACTTAGATTATGCGAAATAGGAGCAAATAAGCAGGGCACAATGGAAGTAGTGATTGATTCCCAACGAAAAAAGTGGACAAGTTTGAAAAAAGAGAAGGATACAAACATCACTGAGTACAAAAACACAAACCTCTTGATAATGAAGAGGGCTTAGCATGTGAGTGTGCCATACCCAGTGCACATCTAATGGAGGGATGACGTTCAAATCGGGATGAGCAGACTGTAACTTTCATAGTGATGTCTGTTGTACAATACAAAAATTATAGAACCACCTGCATGGGGAGCCAGCATGTCTCATACCGACGGATTGCTTGGTTCACAACGTCGGGTTCATACAACAAAGGAGCTTTACGGTCGATCATTCTCAAAAAATTTGCTTCGCGCTGAAAAAGCAGGTACGTACGGAGTAGAGTACGGAGTAGAGAGTAGAGTTCAGAGTACGCATCAACATGCTCTAGATAGTGAGGACTTTGATTATCTGGTGCAGAAACATAGTTTTTACAGGCTACAGGCAAGTTCTGATTATGTTAGAAGTGGTTAGTTTTTTCCCAAATTCTTACGATAATAAATCATTTTTTACCGTTCTTATCCTCATACAAAGAAAAAAATTTTTACTGTAATTATCCCCATAACAAAGAACAGCGAAAGTGGATGCCAAGCTAGGAAGGATTCGCTAGAGTGGCTCAAAATTCTGCTCACTGCATATTCGAAAAAAGAAGTGGCCAATGGGAAAACAGCAAACAAACGGAATGACGAATCGAAAAAAATACAGCAAAACAGTCTAGTACTAATAACGAAAGTTACGTGGCTCTATCACTGGGCCAAAAAACTCTCACCTGGGATGCCACCACCAAATCTATCGTGATTGCAGCTGCCATCTGTGTTGGAGTAGAACGCAGTGCGGCTGCGGCAGCCGCATACTCCGGTGGCTGTGACATTATACAGCAAGATGCTGACCAAGATTTCGGAGGCGAGAAGAAACAATGTGCTTGCTGCAAGATTGAGTTTTCAATAATGCTTAAAATCAGAATTCATAGATCAAAGCTGGAAGATAGAGATAGAGACTGGTGAAGATTGATTAAAACTGAATAGCTTTGGTGATAAAACTGTGGATTTAAAACAGGAAAATCAAAGAGTTGGAGTAAACCTAAGCTGTGCAGTGCATCCCCCCTACTGCTTAACTCACTTTCTGCCACTCACATTGGCAAATTTTCTCATTATATTTGGACTGTTTGTAAGAAAATGATCTAACCAAAATGGTAAGCCTAGGACTGCTAGTCCCACATTCTCTATGCTATTTTCCTACACATCCCTTGACCATTTGCTTCTACTTCATGTAGGAACTGCATGCGTATTTTAGGTGCAAAAGTAGACACGCCTAAGATCTGCAAAGCCACATAGCACCTCTGGATTTTTCCCGGACCGGAGATAGTTGGAGAAAATTAAGATGGAATGGAACGATGTTAATTACCGCGGCTAGTGCAATGTTTTTCTTCCGATATGCGGGAGGTTATAATATGAGCATTTCCATTTTAGTAAGATAAGCTTTCTTTTCTTGATTGACGGCAGGCATTATGAGTTTATATGATAGGAAAAAGCGAACTTTGAGAGATAGAACTCTAGGAAAAGATGTTTGGATTGATAAAACAATCTTCCGACCATATGCATACTTAAACGTTTGCAACTAAGCACGAACGGACAAAAAACGTGTGAAAGTCGGTCAGGAATCAGACTTTGAAAGCACTCCTGCTTCGTCAGCTATGACATCGATTGCAGCGGAACACTGAAAACGTGAAGCAGCCACGCCCTCGGAGTCTACGAGGCTACGCCCCCACAAACGAATCTGCAGGGAGTGCGTAGCCGAGTTCGAGCAATTTTATAGCAGCCTGCCAGACAAAGCGGCTTGCACTTGAGCTTCTTTCACGGGATAATTTGAGAGATGAGTGTGTGTGATTTCACAATCGTAAGCAAAACTTTACTCGCAGACGTATTCGAGTCACCTGTTTCATTCGACACGTGAAGGAGGCATGTGCTGCACAAAAAATGGTACCTCTCAAATTGCTTTCACAGATCGTGAACTAGGGATGGCCTTGGCTATCGAGCACATGAGAGTCATGGATCCTAACCCTCTAAACGGATACTGCCCCATTACTAATGAAAATCGCCAACAGCAAGCTAATCGATGGCCAAAAGGCAATTAGAAACAAAATTGAGGAAGCTTTGTAGGCTGCACAGATCGACCCATTAAAGACAGCGCAGTCCATGACGGATGAACTGGTTCTTCAACAAAAAAAAAACTCTACAAGCTTTTGACTACCTTTTTCAACACTAGTAACAATCAAGAAAGCGTTCAGGGAACGGCCATAGGTTGCCGGCAACATTTGCCGATGTTGCCGGTCGTTGAGGACCTGAGTTCCCAAGTTTCGTGCGCTCTTTGAACTGTCTCTGACCGCAACGCCGGCAACCTCGGCAACCTATGGCCGTTCCCTCACCTGTAATGCTGAAATCACCAGAAAACATGCCAAAAAGTTGTAAAATTTTGCGTTTCCTCAATGGGTCAACAATGATCGTGCTGGGCATCTGTCACTATGATAGCCTTGTAAGCATAAGCGAGGTGGAGAATGTGGAAGAAAGTTGCAGGAGTTTATCTCTACGTTAGAAAGCAGAACTCATAGCTTCACTCGCATTATTGCGTCGACTATAGATAACCGTAGACATGTGGATAATGTTTTAACATTAAAAAGAAAAAATAATTCAATTTTGCCACTGATGACTGAACTTGTAACTTGTAACTTGAACCGATTAGAAAACTTATCAACAGATATGATTAAGATTCAAATTTGGCATGATCATAGGAAAAAACACAAAGATCACTTCCACTTTTTAGAACTCACTTTCTCCGAGTGTATTCTTGAGTATCATCGCTTCCCTGTCACATGTCTGCCCGATGCGGTATAGACTGATCTGAAGTATTATCCCTTCAGAAGGCTGTCATTATGATGCGATGATTGTATAGGTGTATAGCTCACTTATCAGGACTCGGCACGAAGTGGTTCTCCACAATTTTTCATAAAGTCCACGTTGACTTCGTAACAAAATTATACATCGCCTATGTCACATGAATGAATCAAACATGATTAACAGAAAGAAAAGAACAAAATACAAAAAAACAACATAAAACAGGCGACAAAAACCACAATGATGTTCGTATTTTCTGAATTGGCGGTCTGTTGTCAGGAGGGCACTACCGCGCGCTTGGAGCAGGATTGCCGCTGTGATTTAAGTTTTTGGAAGGCTCTAACCAAAAGGGTCAAGCAGGAAGTGCGGCACACGATCGTTAGGTGCGACCCTCCCGTCCCCCCTTGATTGCTGTCTCAATAAGCCCCCGAACCATTGCATACCGAAGATAAACATAACTAACATAAAGGCCCTTTCAATAACGAGTAATACAGAGTGTCCCAAAAAGATGTGCACACTGTTTGATCGTTAATAACTCTCTTGCTTTCATGTCTTTGGCCGAGCTTGAAGTATTATTTTGTAGAGCGAGGATAAACTTAGGTTCACAATATTAAGCGAAACTCCAATTTCTTTTTGCTACTGTAGGATTACGGTATGAACTTTCAGCATACAGCATCACTGTGGGATAAGCCTTTTGGTTAAATAATTTCAAAAAAATCTAAAAAATTGTGTAGCAAGGTTTTCAGGCGTGCTGATTTCACTACATAAGTTTCCACCAGTTTTCTGAGCTTTCTTGATGGCGTATTTACATTTCTGCTGAACACTGGAAATTCAGTTGTTACCCTAACTTTGAATTAACTCATGAAAGAAACATTGTACTGACGTGCAGTTTTCATATTTAGAATCAGCGACTATGACTGACTCAGTTCAAGAGTTCTGGCTTATTTGGCTTTTTTTTCTGAGGCACTCTAGAATTACGGTAGGAATTTCGAAATAAAATACAGCTTTCCATTGCTGAAAATCCTCCTCGAAATTCCTACCGTAATTCTACAGTGATGAGAAGCGGCTGGTAAGTCCCTCCATACTGTAAATCTAAGTTTATCCTCGCTCTACAGAATGGTACCTAAAGCTCGGCAAAAGACATGAAAGCAAGAAAGTTATTAGCAATCAAACAGTGTGCAAATCTTTTTGGGACACCCTATATATGCATAATTCGTATCGGATAACCTCTGTGGACCAAGTTTGTGAGAATTTTAGTCGAAGTCTCAAAAGACTGGGCCATGTGAATGAAATGGTCATTTTCGAACATGATTAATTCTGTTTCAAAGGTGAACTAGCTGCCTCTTTTTGCACTCAACACAAATACCATTCCTTTTTTGCCCACCTCAGAAATTCGTTTCAAAAGACTGCCAAACTATGGCATTGTAAGCAAGCCAAAATCTCGTTCGTCTAATTTTCGCTTTCAGTGGCTATACTTTCATCAACTATTGCTCAGAGCAAAGAGGACGAATATGGCTCAAATCACTTCTATGAAAAATACGAAAGCTTTGGGCTATCGAATCATATAAAAACTGTTCGCTAGAAATTTTGTGACATACAGTCGAGTAGATTTAGCGGTAAATATAGTGTGCTTGCACAGAAGGTGAAATGCGGTAAAATTGGCGCGTGAAGAAATAGTTTCGACTGTGACGCCGGCCAATTGCGCGCGCACGATACCCGCGCTACTGACGTGGCTACTTGTTCACGCGCAAATTTCACCGCATTTCACCTTCTGTGCAAGCACACTATATTTACCGCTAAGGCCCGTATGCACGTACATCCCCGCGGGGAGGGGATGTGCGCTTAACCATTGAAATGATCCCCGCTGGGGATCCCCTCCCCTCCCCGCGCGAACCCCCGTATGCACAAAGACAATATCGGACAAGGGATCCCCTGTGGGGAGGGGAAGTGAACCCTCTTATGCACAAGAGGGGATCAAGCGGGGAAACCACCTTGCTTTCAAATTTTCTATGAAAAACTCTTTCTTATTTCATATTTTGACCGCAACTCATCTTCATCTCCTCACTTTCATTAATTTAGGGTTGTGGAATGCGCGTATGCAGTGACTGCGCTTGGGGCACTAAAAATGATTTTTCTACTCCCATTATGTTCCTGCTTTCGTGGATGCTGCCCACTTTCGCTCATGCTGCTCCATTTCAGCGTAAAAATGTTGAACTATAGAAGTTGTTGTGTCTCTGCAACTGAATGGGTAGAAGACGTTATGCTGCCGAAAAGGGGGGGGGGGTGCCGCGCGGACGCTCAAAGCAGTATTCTAATACATAACAGAAGCTGCAAATTGTGCCAGCTCTCCATAAACGCTGTAGCTATCAGCTGCATATCGTCCTTTATCCCAGGGGAATGATCCCCAGCAGCCATCCCTGCTATGCACAAGGGGAACGCTGGGGAGGGGATCACTCCCCAGGGGATTTCTACTCAGAAATAGGCAAATATGCTACTTTCTACATTTTTTCGAGGCCGCTTATGTTAAAATAACAAGATAGTGGCAACATGTCATGAAATATGAAAGTTACAATGTGTTTACTCAGCCTATATAGTTAAAACTATTATGTTATATGAAAAATGCGCAAATTTCCTGAATGATCAAGAACTCCTACAAATAATCGAAATTGGCAGCTATTGTTGCTCGGATTTCTTCTCAAGAGGCGAATATAGAAAAGAAAGACAAATTGCAAGCCACAGGTCGCTGAGAGAAGAACCCGGCTTTCAAACAAAATCCTCCATCAAAATGAACGAAATGCTTGGTAATGACTGGGCAGAACCAGAATATCCGCGTCTCTGTCATGATCTACACCATCGAACCCCTACTTCGTTGCAGGGGATGTCGATCCCCTCCCCCGCGTTATTGAGTTGAATTCGCGCATACGAGGCTCGAGTGGAGGAAGGGAAGGGATCCCCTCCCCCATTCGAACCCCGTATGCACTGGGGTTCGCTCGATCAATACCTCTGAAACCATTCACACCATCCCCGCTTAGGTGCAGGGGAGGGGATCGCTCCCCTCCCCTCTGTCATAGCGGGGTTCGGCGGAGGGGATCGTTCCCTTGGAGATCCAGCTCCCCTCCCCTCCCCAGCGGGGACGTACGTGCATACGGGCCTAAATCTACTCGACTGTAGTTAATGGGATGTGGCACAACCACAAAATCAGTGGCGTGCCACACTCCACGCTTGATTGTGGCTGTAACTAGGTGGGAGGAGAGAATGGCGAGGTCAAAAACAGTTTGTAGGATTTTGCATGTAGAGAAGTTGTGTGATGGCTCAAAATTCATAACTCCGAGGAAGAAGTCTCGGCTTTGCTCCGCACCCCGCCAAACGGTTGCTTTTCACCCTCAAAACGATATACAGCTCCTTAAGCTACCTGTGCTTAGTCCTGGCATAAAAAAATTACCTTTAATCTTCCTTGGCTGTGCGTGTTCTTTCGCTCAGAGTCATCACTCCTCTTTCCTGCGCCAGGAATTACCGCAATATGATGATTCACAACCATTGCTTTCAAGGACGAAGATATGCATGTTTATAGTTTATTATATTTGGTTTTATCCTTTTACAAACATATACGAAATTACGATGTGGGGTCACATCCATCGGTGATGAGGTCAACGTAAATAAAGGGTCGGCTGGTAGGCCTTGAATAGCTATCACAATGATATCTAATGCAATCATCACTGAAGTGTTACAAGAAACAAATAAATAAATAAAAGCACATATATCGATCACTCGAATAGGTATATACATTAAACTTTGCTTTTCATCCACAAAAACTGTTAGATAGCATGACATATGGTAGTAATCTGATTCTTTAGAGAAACTGCTGCATGTGATATGGCATGAATGGAGGTGGTTGGTTAGGGCCCTGTGGCGGAACCTGGAACATTCGGTAATAGAAATCTATCTCTAGATAGCAATCTCTCACCCCTTGGAGCATAGCATGTTGTTGATCGACAATCTTCCCAAGCACTCTTAGCACAGATTTGATTGCATTGTGTCCAAAGCCATGCGTCAGCTGTAACGGGAAAATTTATTGCAAATTTTGGAACTGTGAAATTAAATCTTTAAGTATGAATCATGGTTAAATTCACCAGGCTGAAGGTGTTAATTGCATGAGTCGCTGAATTTTTCTCAACGTAATCCTCTGGATCCTCGGGAACTTCGTCGAAGATTGCCATGATTCCAGCTATGAATCGTCTAAAAGAATTCTTGTATGGCATAGTTTATGCCAGCATTCTGCGCTGTGTCCAATCTTAACTTTCAACTTACAATGCTGCTACGAGAAAAACCTCTTATCAAAACATTCTCGTTGTCTTTCAAATTCATATGCAGGCTACGTTTGCTAACACAAAGTGTTCTCTAACGAAACATGATGATAGTAATGAATCACGTTTAGAAAGCCTATAAAATTCGTTTCAACTCACCTGATGATAGCAAGTTCTTGTGGTGTCTGCTGGAGACGACTGGCATGCCTGGCAATCTCGAATGTGTTTAAACTGTTATTACAAAGATTGTTGAAATCGCGTGCCAGGACCAAGGCTTCTCCTAAAAATGACATTTCTCCCATTACTTCTCAACAGCAAAGCAACTTTAGGACATACTTTCACAAAGTGCCGTGAACGATGTCGTGGGAGCAGTTTTTCTTCGCCCGGAAGGAAGCGATACTCCTTTCTCAGCAAGTCGATCTCGAAGCATTTTGCATCCGTCCTTCGTTTTCGCCCTGATATGATTCTTTGAAAGACTGACCATATAAACCTACTACTGCATACTACTTACTTCCGCAGAACACCGTTTATAAGACTGGCGTGCAAAGTTTCCGGATGGCTCATGCGACGATGAATCTCGCTCAACGTCACCTAAGATTGCCACAGTATTCTTTTAGATCCTCTTATAACATCAATATGACCAAAAAATCTCATAACCACTATAATGTAAATGTTCCAATTTTATGAAACTTATACCTTGTATTTGGTTGATGCATTAAGAAGGCATAGTCTTCCGGGTGCTTCGTCGAATACTTCCAGAGGATTCACGGAAGGAGAGGCAGGACGATTTGGATGAATGTTTGAAGTCGATGCAGACGACGTAGTCGGTTTATTCTCTATAACAAGAAACTACGCTCTCTATACATTCCCTCCAAACTTTTGGATCATACCAGCTGGAAAACCTTTGCCGTTGTCGAATAAGGTTTCCTGTTGAAGGCCAGAATCGTCCTAAAATAGCCGTAACTCAGTTGAGAAGAAAATCATCTAATAAATTTATAGCAGTCTACCTAATAAAAGTAAAGGGTTACTATCTGAACTTACTGAATTTATCCCACTGTCCGATGACATTGAATTTTGCTCCGGACATGGAAAAGGTGGCGGAAAAAAGCCAGGATAAAATTGCATCTAAATAAGCTGAATAGAAGCGACAGTGAATGTTACGTCATTTTAAGCTGACCTGCGCTTGAGCCATTGCCATATTTGAATGGAAGAACTCGCGATGACCTGCCATAAGCGGTGTGCTGTGGTACATTGGTGCACCCTAGATTTTTTGAGGTAAGATAGATGAAATAGAGAGGAGCACAATAAAATTCATTGAGATGTAAATACGTTACCATTGCCATATCTGGAGAACAGTTCTCCTTATTCCTGTCATCTATCCTTTTCGCATCTTCGGCAGAGCTATCCTCATGTGGCCGTTTTCTTGAACGCATCTATAAATATGATGTTGAAAACTGATCTATTTGAGAATTCCAACTACATTTGTTAATATACCTGGTTCATGAAGACATGCTCTGCATAGGCTTCTTGACTGAACTGTGCCTCAGCAAACATCTGTAAAACTATAACATTACAAAACATGCATGAAAACCGTTCCAACAAAAGCAAAAATATTATCATGCGATAACGTCAAGGCATGATCGGAGGTCGAAAAATCGCCCTCTCCAAGCAGTCAAGAAAAAAGGATATGATAGCACTGAACTCTCTAACGACGTACTTATACGAGGTCATGAACAATGCCTCGACTCCACCCCATACATGGTTGGCGCCATAGTTGACACCTCTGCGTTCGTGCTCCTAGGGCAGGTCTTCAGGTGTGAGTTGTCCCCTGGCAAGTCTCTGACCGTTTGTCGCCCGGTGCCGAAACGCGTGTGTTGACATATTCCCGAAGTAATTAGATAGGAAGAGGCGATATGTCATTATCTAAAACGTATGCATGAAAAAGTTTCACAACAATATAGTTAAAAAAGAATATTTTTGTTTCGCAAAAACAAACAAATAGGTATCATGGTTAATAAGTCTCTGTTTGCGCCAATGGCAAATCAATTGTTCTGGTAGATCAAGCCCTGCACTGGCCGATTCTGCAGAACCTTCAGCACCTAAATTCGAAGCTTCAACCTGCATCGCTGCTTTTCCCTGGACTTGAAACACTTACGAAGACGCTAGGGGGCATCTGCATCTAAAGATATTCCTAAAGATAATCTATATCTTCTCTTTCCTGACAGGTGAAATATGAATAAAGCCTTCTAAGGAAACAATTGCAGTACCTTTTTCAAACAAATTAAAGCAAATCATAAGAATAGGCAACACCAGTATAGATGGCGCAATATTTTCTCATTTCTTGATGATGCCATACTGCCGCTGAGGTATGCGTACTGAAAAAGCAACAAATCCCGGTTTTCCTTTCACTTCCGAATCTTCATCTAAACTGCAAAAAACATATAATGAAAAAAGACTTATTTTAAAACCAGATCAAAAACAATGTTTATTATGTATAGTTTAAGACAAATGAAAGAAACCAAAACGTTCGAGCATAACCGATCTTTCTTCATCTAATCATTACTCTAGTAACGTTCTTTTATCTGTTCACAGAACGCGCAAGATATTATTCGATCCTCCAGGGCAGACAATTAGCAAAGGTTTGCCCCACAGAACTGACCCCTATAGGTGTGAGGAACTGGCGGAATATAACTGAGTCCGGTGTTGTAAATCATTTGGAGAAAGAAACGTTAATTTGCTGTGTTTGATAGCAAATTCTAGAAATAAAAATGCTCAGTAAAGTTTTGTGAAGATTTCGAATAACTTATACAAGAGCTTTCTAGGTTTTCTGAAGAAATGTTGCTGACGAGTTTTTACTAGCTGCATTTCAATGTCATATTCCTCAATTAATGCACGCGCCATACTTGATCCGCTTGATCTACTTCATTCACCTCGCTATTGGCCAAATCAGTGAACCGAACAATAGCAAAGCGGATGTTCACTTGATCCACTTGATCCGCTTCATCCACTACGCTATTGGTCGGTTCACTGTTTTGGCCGAAATGAATTAAGTGGATCAAGCGGATCAAGTGGATCATATGGCGGATGCCTGAGATTCATCGCATCAAAAATAATGACCACTTAGCTCTATCGCTCTAAACCACCAAATATGCAATGTAACAGATTTTTTTTCAAATGGTAGTGAGGGCATAATTGCGTTCTTCAGAGTCGCTACTGTTGTGCATTGACAGCACACATGCATATAGTGTTTTGATGATTTCAAGGCGTCGAAACTTTCAAAAAACTCAACAGGGAGTTCCACGGACTCTGCAATCTCAGAACTCAAAGACATACTGGCGATTCGTAGCACGCAAAGACCGCGGACTTATCGGCATCTCTGCGATCGAGCGCTCTTTCGTTTCTCTTGCCATCTGCTGTCTCTCCCATGTACACTATCTTGGTCGGACGCAGCGGCGCCCAGTCTTTCGCGAATCGCCTATACTCATAAGTACCAGTTCAAAAATGCTGGGCTCGCAAATGACGATCATCTTGCATCTCAAAAAAATCATCGAGCAGAAAGGTGATTAGCAACTGTTGAGTGCAAAAATCAAATCAGTAAAACTCTTACTGCTACTTTTCGAACTTGTAGAGATGAGTAGTTCTGACTTAGTGACAGACAGGAAATCGCTTTTTGACTTGTTTCTCGTCTTTAGACAGTCTGTAACTTACCCATCGTTCCAGCTTGAGAAGTTTTGCATTTCGAGAACTTTTTAGAGGGTTTTTTCAAAAGAAAATCCATTTTTGAGCTGAAGGGGAAGAAACAACTTGAGTAATGAAGATGGTCAAGGATGAAAGGGACCAAGTAATTACTTCTTGGGAACATTCCGCAAAATCTTGTTCAGCCGTGTACTTGACAGGTATGAATTCTACATCCACTTACCAACTACTTTTCCTCACATTTTCCAGGTTTGTGTAACAATTCATCAATTTCTCTTTGCACTAACTCAGACGGTCGAAGGGATACCTCCGGGGGCAAATCCCGGGGGTCTGCCACTTCGTGCTCCGGAGCCTTCCCATTCCACCCATTTTGGTGAAAGCTTGAAAGCTTGCGGCTGTCATCGTCTCTCCCAACGGCAGCATCGTGATATGGGCACCAGTGGCCGTATTCATCAACGAACCCTGGAGGTTAAGCTTACCCTTCAGGGTTAGTTTAACCCTCAGGGTTCATTGGCCGTATTCATCAACCATAAGTTAGGGTTTACCACGGAACGCGATCTACCCGTATCGATCAACGAACCTGTGGCCGTATTCATCAACGAACCCTATGGTTGATGAATACGGCCAATGAACCCTGAGGGTTAAACTAACCCTGGAGGGTTAAGGCGTCAGTTACGCATGCGCTGTGCAAACTCACATCACAGAATGCCTAAGTACGGGCTTAATTCACTTTATACTTCTATTCTTTCACTGTTATAGTAGTACCAGTGCTTCACCTCTGCTTCGCAGAGGGTCGCACTGGCATCGTGAACCGTGGTAAACTCACTTTCTGAGAGCTTGTCTCTCAAATCATTGTTCGGTTTATTGCAACGTGAGCCGTAGTTAAAAATGAACCATACTCGCTATCTTAACCTCACATGATGTTAATATCATAAATCATTTCTCACTGTAATTTCGTAACGGACAAACTCCACACAACTTCAGATTAAGCCGCTTATTATAAGTCATGATAGTCAACGAATAACACTAGTTTTCATAATACATCTCTAGCATACTTGTGCAGCATCCAATCTTACAGCGTGAGTTTATTTTCGTGTGTGCAATTGTGCAGTGTAAGTTCTACTTTTGCGCAGCTCGTTTTATACCGGGCTTGTGGCTGCTCTTCTAGGGGTCAATGCGTGTTATTATAAAGGGGTTCTTCTGTTTTGGCACTTGTCAGAATGGAATGCCATTTTCCCTCGTCGCATTCATTTGTCACCAAAGCTAGAATTCTTTTTCTCGAGAAGTCAGTGTATCATGTACTTCGAATATGAACATAAAACGAAGTCGAAACTAAATACTATAACAACAACCAATACTGAATACTACAATACTCGTTGATCGTTTTCCATAAACTATTAGATGCGAGTAAATGTTTGTATGAAGTGTTAGGTTAGAGTTAACCTTGCTCTGAGGTAGGGTTAAATTAACCCTGATGAATCACGTAAGTTTAACCCTCCAGGGTTAGTTTAACCCTCACGGTTCGTTGATGAATACGGGTTAGTCGCTTTCGGGGTAAAATTAACCCTCAAGGTTAGATTTAACCCTCAGGGTTAAGCCTAAGGGGTTAAACTAACCCTGGAGGGTTAGTTTAACCCCGAGGGTTAAACTAACCCTCCAGGGTTAGTTTAACCCTCGGGGTTCGTTGATGAATACGGCCACAGATCTTGAAAAAACATCATGTCCTAACATTTGCAACTACCCCAATTTCACGCGTATAAGACGCACCTCTTTCGGTTTTCCAAGCATGCCGCTCAGCCGCCTTGTGTGATTCGGAAACTCTTGCTGCACGATACTCTCAGGCAATATGGAGTACTGTAAATAGTTTTCTCGTTGCGAAGTCCTTGGGCGTGTCTGTGCTATTCGATTTTAGAAAAAAAATCCCCCGCGTCCTATACGCGTGAGATTAATGTAAGTTGTTTCAGCTACTCTACACCTCAGATCTGATGTCGTCATAGTAGTGTGATGGAGGACTATAGGCTTCACGCAAAGACGAGTTTGGAACGTGATTTCGAGAAAAGTTACGTGCCAACCGGCATGATAACTAGAAACCATCAAACTGCGATCGAAGCGCCTAAGTTTTGTAGACGGGGACACGGAAATAACCTGATTCCAGAATGCTTGCACTTTGAGCCTGTCAGATGAAAGCCGTTCCCCCATCATGAGACACAACGTGTTGTTGTGCAGTTCGCAAGCAGAATCTCATCACTATGGATAGGCGAAATCAATAAGAGAACTCTTACGTGAAAATTTCTTTAACTTGGAACTAGTTCTGCTAATCCCAAAAACATGGCCTGGCGAAGCATAGATGTGTAAATGACATTCATACAGTCGAGTAGATTTTCCGCTTAATATAGTGTGCTTGCACTGTAGGTAAAATGCGGTATTTGGACGTAAATGATTAGCCACGCCAGTGATGCCGGCATTTTGTGCGCGCAGTTGCGCACTACATTAAAGGCAGTGTCCGGGCAAAAACTCGATTTTGAGATTTTGTGCTTATTTGGGCCTATTCGCCATGCTGAATCCAAAAATCCACATTGGAGAGCGCGAGAACGACGAAAAAGGGCTCTAATACTGGAGGGAAATCAGCAAGTGGGCGGGGTCTTCCCCACAATGAATTCACGCTCCCAGCTTCGGGGGCGATCTTTTTGATTCCGGTTTCAAGTCATTCGTTTGCACTTGATCGGTAGTGATGTCAGGGTGGCTAACGGATTCGAGAAAATTGCTCCGGAAGCTGGAAGCGTGAATTTACAGTGGGGAAGACCCCGCCCACTTGCTGATTTCCCTCCAGTGTTAGAGCCCTTTTTCGTCGTTTTCGCGCTCTCCAATGTGGATTCTCGGATTCAGCATAGCGAATAGGCCCAGGTAAGCACAAAATCTCAAAATCGAGTTTTTGCCCGGACACTGCCTTTAAAGGCACCGTCCACCCTAACTTGAGGGTTTTGAGCTTTTGGCAGCATATATTAGTAGAGCTCCGTACCAATCCAATGCTTAAGTCGCGGCGCAAAATGCCGCTTCGGAAGCAAAAAATCGCTTCGGAATAGCGAAGATGCACGAGGACCCCCATCCATGCCCGCCCATTTGTGCGCGCCCATCCAATCACCGTTCCGAGAAGCCGGCCTGTGGGTCCTCCGGAAGGGGGATTGTTGGGGTTTTCGCGCATTCTCGACTTCATATTCGGAATCAGGGACATGAGAAGCCTCTGAGACGACAAAAACGCGGGAGTCGAAAATCTGAATGGACGATGCCTTTGAAGGCGCCGTCCACCCCAAGTTGAAGGTGTTGAGCTTTTAGCAGCATATAACAGTGGTCTCCTATCACGCCAATGCCCAAGTTGCGGCGCAAAATGCCGCTTCGGAAGCGAGAAAATCGCTTCGGAATAGCAAAGATGCACGAGGACCCCCATCATGCCCGCCCCTCCCCATCCATGCCTGCCCATTTGTGCCCGCTCATCCAATCACCGTTCTGAAAAGCCGGCCTGTGGGTTCTCTGGAATGGGGATTTTCGCGGATTCTCGACTTCATATCTGGAATCAGGGACATGAGGAGGCCCTGAACCAACAAAACCTGGAAGTCCAGAATCTGGGTGGACGGTGCCTTTAAGCGGGAAATCTACTCGACTGTACTCGCAATCATTTCTGGATTTGAATCCCCCGCCAAGGTTGGACACGCAGTGCGTTCTGGGACCCTTTGATCATAGCGTCACCTCCCAGGGATATAGCTATAGGCCTCGGACAGTTCGGAAGTTCCGATGGTTTGTCTAAGTGTCTTTGTCTAAGTTAGCGATTGAATCGCTAACTTAGACAAATCATCGGAACTTCCGCAGGACAAGCCAAATTTGCAAAAGTTCCGCAGGATTTTGTTTCACTATTGCAAAAATGAAAACGTTGAAAATCGGAACTTCCGCGGGATTTTCATGCCAAACTGGTTAAAACCGGAACTTCCGCAGAACATTTTCCACTCTTTTGCTGCGTGGTTGGCATTCTTCGGAACTTCCGCAGCACACCCGGCGGAACTTCCGCAAGCGCTCTGCGGAAGTTCCGGTCATTTGTCTGAGAAAGACAAGTGTTACGAGTTCATTGCATGCCGATATTCTTGTTATTCAGTTGTGATGATTTTCCATTACGACTAGTCGTGACTAACTATCACAAAAACTGTCACAACCGAATAGCAAGAAGATCGGCATGCAATGAACTCATAAAGGGCCGGGCATACTTCACGCGATTTGGCAATATAAGAAGACCAGTGCTTCACCTCTGCTTCGCAGAGGTTCGCACTGGCATCGAGAGCCGTGGTAAACTCACTTTCTGAGAGCTTGTCTCTCAAACATTGTTCGGTTTATTGCAACGTGACCCGCAGTTAAAAATGAACCATACTCGCTATCTTAACCTCACATGATGTTTAGTATCGTAAATCATTCTTCACTGTAATTTCGTAACGGACAAACTCCACACAACTTCAGATTAAGCCGCTTATTATAAGTCATGATAGGATTTTATTAATCACGTATACACATACTATGAATGTAAAGTTTGCTAGTGTTGGATCTGTAGACTTCTGGGAAATTGCCAAACCGCATCGCGACTGAAATCGCGTGGTATATGCCCGCCCTTAACATTTGTTTTTAGCGAATGAATCGCGACGATCAAATCGCGTGAAGTATGCCCGGCCCTTAACTCTGCCCGAGGCCATACAGGGTAGGGCATTGCAGACATTTTATAACGTGTAAGCGTGGCAGTTTTCGATAGCTAGAGGGTACGAACCGTAATGCTATAGTATATGTAGAGGTTGGGAAAATGTACAAATGCCCGCTGCGGCGGAGGGATAGAGCGGAACGTCAATGCACGGGACTTGAACTTCTTCTCTCCTCTGAGTCAGTTACACCGAAAGTGACGCCTTAGATAACGAGGAGTGGAGAAATGCCCGAGAATAGACGCGACGCAGGGTTCAAGTTAGGCGAGCTCGCGGATTCAAATCGCACGAGCTGACGACATTGTGGTGGATTTATCTTGCTCACAATCCCAGGCTGGATACGACAGTCGCGCTAAATGTGGCAAGATTTACTCGCCGCATTGCGGATACTGACTTTCAATACGAAATCTGATCTACAACCTCAGTGTCACCCCCTTTGATCCTTCTACGTGCTAGTTTATAAAGTGCAGACAACTGTTTCGATGCAGTTGCCATCTAAGGCCTCGCGGCAGATTCCGCTGCGGTACCAACCGCTGCCGCCTACTGCTTAGAAAGTTGAACTGTTGCTTGAGGTTTGGCAGGCTGTGAGGTGTTTAGCATCCCTTCAGTCAAAATGCATCGAATACGTGCAATCGGCAATTCATCTTCTTATATATAAAGCTGAATGTCTGTTTGTCTGTCTGTATGTCTGTCTGTATGTCTGTCTGTCTGTCTGTGTGTACGTATGTTCCGAATAGAAAATTCCATTTCTGAACCGATCCGGACCAAACTTGGCACACATACACTACGGGCCCCGGCGGGTGTCATAGGCTACTTTTCGTCATCGATCGATATCGATTTTATCGATTTTTATCGATTTTTTTGCTGAGTTCACCTACGGGGCTGGGAGTTGGCACAGGGGGGTAATCGAGCATGGGGATTCCGAATACAATATTGGTTTTCAGGATTATCGATTACTTTTATCGATTTTATCGATTTTTTTGCAAAGTTTGAGCTAGGGGGCTGGGAGTTGGCACAGGGGGGTAATCGAGCATGGGGATTCCGAATACAATATTGGTTTTCAGGATTATCGATTACTTTTATCGATTTTATCGATTTTTTTGCAAAGTTTGAGATAGGGGGCTGGGAGTTGGCACAGGGGGGTAATCGAGCATGCTGATCACCCCCAAGGGGGATGATCAGCATGCTCGATTACACTCCTGTGCCAAATTCCAGCCCCCTAGCTCAAATTTTCAAAAAATCGATAAAATCGAAAAAGTAATGGACGATCCTGAAAACTAATATTGTGTTCGTAATCTGCATGCTCGATTACCCCCCTGTGCAAACTCCCAGCCCCGCAGGTCAAACTTTACAAAAAAATCGATAAAATCGATAAAAGTAATGGACGATCCTGAAAACTAATATTGTGTTCGTAATCAGCATGCTCGATTACTTCCCTGTGCAAACTCCCAGCCCCGCAGGTCAAACTTTACAAAAAAAATCGATAAAATCGATAAAAGTAATGGACGATCCTGAAAACTAATGTTGTATTCGGAATCCCCATGCTCACTTCCCCCCCTGTGCCAACTCCTAGCCCTGTAGGTGAACTCTGCAAAAAAATCGATAAAAATCGGTAAAATCGACATCGATCGATAACGAAAAGTGGACAGTGACACCCGCCGGGGCCCGAAGTGTATGTGTGCCAAGTTTGGTCCGGATACGGCGGAGCCGGGTAAGCCAGCTAGTCTCCAATATTCACGATCGCCAATCGTTACTACTGGCGAGCCCAATAATCGAAAGTGGATAGCCCATCGCTGATGACTGCCTTTCTTTGCTAATGGCGGCCACCAGTCGCCTGTTATTGATATCCTTCGCATGATAGGCGATTGTAAATAGCTTTGTGAAGACCATGCACAGGAAGTTCCATTTCCCATTTTTATCGCTCGTCTTACGGTCATGGACCAACCAAGAAAGAAAGGCGGATTTTTCCGAGTATGTTGGTTGCAAATGCGAGGTATCGGAGGATCATATTGCTTCAGAAGGCGAAGAGCACATCTCGAAGAAGCTCAAGAACAGCGCAGGACCAGAAAGACGAAGACGATCAAGTGCCGTTAGTATAAATTTTTGTTGAACTGCTAATCTGCATAGGTGGAGAGAGAGTAAAAGAAAAGAAAATGACCCGTGATTCCGATCGACGCGTGATTCTGCATTGTTATAATTTATCTTCGCCAGCGCACTCTCGGTAAGCAAGATTCGACACGCTTGCATCAAATTATCAGAACGGTGCGACTGCGCATTTGAGATCTGCACACGTAGTTAGTAACGTTTACAAGTCATCAACGATTTTGCGCAATCGCGCAAGGTATGACCAAGGCATAGAAGACTGAATTTAGGTCTTTGAAGGACCGTTTACCTGCCCTTCTAGCGGGGAACGGTCAGGAGTCACGGTCGGCGCGAATTTTTCGCGAAGCGATGCCGCGAGCGATGTCAGCAAAACAGAAGCTAGCACTCCTGGCGCAGTCTTACTTAAGACACGAGCCAGGTATCAGCCTCCACCCCCCACCCCCCTAGACTGGCGCCGTGCCACTTTAGCACCGGGCAGTTCTGTGGGGTACAAAATTTAGACGCGACGTTCGCGGCGAAGCGGCGCGGCGCGCGGCGTGACTCCTGTCATGGAGCCCCTTCTAGCTCCGCTTTTGTCTCTTTCGCATTGGTTCAAGCATAACTGAAAGGTCTTGTCATACCTAACGCGTCCTAGACGTGGCGCGACTTGGCAAAGCTAGGAACGTTCATTCGCAAGCGTTCCACTCCAACTGCGGTCCGTCGCTTCCGGGTGGCGTGGGAGTGACTGGGTGTCAAGCTGCAGTCCATTTTCTGGCAGGGTGTCCCAAGCTGTGAAGGAGTTCGACGTCTACGATTTCGGCACCGGGCCAGATTCATCGCCGTCTAGCTTTGGTAAGAATCGCTGGCGGTTCTCACTCCACTCATAGTCCTCATGCTCTAGTCCTACAATACCAGACAGTGTCCACAGCCGCCGACATCTACTCTCCTCCGCGCTGCAGAGCACATCAAGTACTACGCCATTACTCTGCAGACGAAGGGCAGGAAAAGGGGGACGTGCAATAGTTGAAACCCATCCGTGAACAGAACATTGAAGGCGTTGGATTTGTCGTGGCATCTATCGTTCATACTGTAAATTCGCATGATGTCCTATCACCTTGACTGGCTATCCTACGTCTACGACGCTCACGACAGCAGATCATTTGCTTCATTAACTTCTACTCGCCAACGTCGGCAGTGGAGAGTCAAAACTGGATGCTCTCAATACTTGGAAGAGGTTGTCCGCAATGGGTACTGCTTTTATCCGTTGTGGACGACTTCATGCAAGAGTCGGGATGCCACTAGAAGAAGAATACGAGATCGAGAAGTTTGCATATGGGCTCTGAAACAAAAACGGCAGTCGTCTTGTTGGGCTTCGCTCAGCCGCACGACTTCTCCATGGAAATTCCATCTTTATGAATGAGGAACATCGCCGTTGGATTGGGAATCGCTGAGCGGAACGACTCATGCGAAGATTGACCACATCTCACGATTTCAACCGAAGGAAGCTGCTCGATGTTTTAACGGTGTCGGCATAGTCGTCTCTGAAGCTCTAAGAGATAAGATTACCAGTGTAGATAAAATGAGTGACCGTCTCATGAGTATAAGATTGGATACCGGGAAAAAAGTGCTTCAAGTAGTAACGGCCTACGCACCGCAAGTGGGATGTGAAGATCGGAGAAGGAAGAATTCTGGCAGCTGCTTGATGATACGTCGGTTCAATACCAGAAGAAGAGATGTTACTGATCGGTGCGGATCTCAATGGGCATGTCGGAGAACAACGAAGTGGTCTACAGAAGTGCCATGGAAATCACGGTTACGGAACACGTAACGACGAAAAAGAACGTATTCTGGAGTTCGCTACAGCCCACGACCTAGCCTTGGCGAATACGTACTTCATCAAGAAGACCAACCACCTCGTCACGTATGCCAGCGGAGACCACAAATCGCAGATAGACTTCTGGAGCGTACGGTACAGCGAGCTCAAATATGTAAAAGATAGCAAAGTCATCCTAGGTGAAGAATGCGTGCACAACATCGGCCGCTGATATTGGATCTCAATATCCCAGTCGACAGGAGAAGAAGGGCGATGACCGAACAAGAAGTACACATCAAATGGTGGAAGCTTGAAGACACGCCCAAACCAGAACGTCAATGGGATCTGCCCTGCCGATACTGCAAAGTGATCCAAACCACTCCTGAATGCTTCTGAAAGACAACATCCATCAGATAGCTGGCGACCTGCTAGGCCGCACGAAGCCCGGAAGGCGAAAGCTCGAGAAAGAAACATGGTGATGGAGTGACGAAGTGCAGACCATGATAAAGAACAAGAAGACGGCATACAAAACATGGCAGAAGACACGATCAGAAGATGCTCACCAAAGATATCTGGAAGCGAAACGAGAAGCCAAGAGAAGTGTCAGAGAAGCGAAAGAAGCGTACGTGGCCGAGCTGTACAGCAAGCTGCACACTCGCGAAGGCGAACGAGAAGTCTACCGAATCGCCAGAAGAAGAGCAAACGCTACAAAAGACATCGAGCACTTCTACAACATCAAAGATGCACAGGGAAGGATGCTGAGGAAGCCACAGGAGATAAACGAAAGATGGAGAGCTCACTTCGCAAAAATGGCGTCCGCTAACTCCGAATACGAATCCACCATAACAGCCGACCCTGTGAATGGACCAGTACCAGCTATCACAGAAGTAGAAGTCCGTACCGCCATAATGAAGACGAAGAACGGCAAGGCTACAGGTCCAGACGACATCCCCAGCGACTTCTGGAAGAAGTGTGGACAAGCTGGAGTCTCGTGGCTTACACGACTTCTGAATCAGATAATAGAATGCGGGAATATGCCAGATGAGTGGTACAGAAGCACGACGATACCAATATGGAAGAACAAAGGCGACATAGCCGACTGCTCCACATACAGGCCAATTCGACTCATGTGCCATACGTTGAAGATCTTCGAAAGAATACTGGAGATGCGGCTTCGAAATATCATACAACTAGCCCCCCACCAATGCGACTTCGTAAAGGGATGCAGTACAACCGATGCCATGCACACAGTGAGAATAATGGTGGAAAGAGGCAGGGAAAAGCAGTGTGAGCTTCATGCGGCATTCCTCGATCTGGAGAAAGCGTTCGATAGAGTACCACATCAACGAATACGGTGGGCGTTACGGAAGCACGAGGTACCAGAAGAATACATCCGCTGGATCAGAATGATATACAAAGAAGCCACCAGTCACGTACAAACAGCAGCAGGACGATCAGACGACTTCCAGATAAACGCCGGCGTGCATCAAGGTTCCGTACTGTCGCCGCTTCTCTTCATCACAGTCGTGGACACGATAAAGAGACTTCATACGCCCGCTCCCATGGTCCGTCATGTACGCAGACGATGTGATCCTGATGGCGAGAAGCAGAAAAGAATTGGAGGTTGAAGTGCAGACGTGGAAAACGCAACTCGAGCTACATAGTCTGAAGATCAGTACCGCGAAGACAGAATACATGGAGCTGGGACATCAAACGCCAGGAACGATCAAGCTCGCAGACACGGCAATCAAGAAGACCACGTCGTTCAAGTACTTGGGAAGTTGCATATCAGCAGATGGTTCACTCCACGACGAGATAAACGGCCGAATAAACGCAGCTTGGATGAAATGGAGGAGCCTTACAGGAATTCTGTGCGACAAACGGATGCCATTGAAGCTGAAGTCACAGATGTATCGCACTGTAATCCGTCCAACCGCATTGTATGGAGGCGAATGCTGGCCAAGCACATGTAACGACGAGAGGAAGCTTGGTGTGATGGAAGCACGTATGCTGCGATGGACGATGGGCGTAACGATGCTCGACCACCTCACGAACGATACAATACGATCCACCATGAAAGTAGCTTTGATAGTCAAGAAGCTGCAAGAAAGACGACTGCGATGGTACGGGCACGTGAGCAGACGAGAAGAAAACACATCACAAGGTTAGCAATGACAGTGGAGGTTCCCGGGAAAAGACCACGAGGGAGACCAAAGCTACGATGGACCGATCGAGTGAAAGCAGACTTGAGAAAACTTTAGTTAGATGAAAGACAAGTCGTAGGTCGAGAAGAATGGAAGAGACTGACAAGAGCGGCAGACCCGTGTAGGGACAGATGCAAGGATAAAAAAAAGAAGCTGCTCGATGTTTTAGTAACTCCATCCTCTGCAGTGGCTCCGATCACCTCTTTCTAATGATGATACAATCTGGTCGAGAGCTGGAAAAGATGCTCCGTCACAGCGTGGCAAGAGGGAAAGAGGTTACTGCGGTCACAGCCTGAGAGAGTCATATCAAGTCATGACTGGTTCATCAAGGAGGGCTCAATGTATACCATGGTATTACTCGGAAGAAGAAAAACCACCCTATGTCAAGATTCGCCTGCAAACTTCAAGCGAATGATAGCGAACGCCAGTGGCGGAACAGCGTTGCAGGAGGATTTTCGGAAATACAGGCAAGCGAAGGTACTGGAAGCAGCAGAAAAAGACGAAGTCTCAAGAAATAATCTTTGCAAATATCACTACGCGGCACATTGCTGAACGAAAACGGGACGGACTTCTTCCCGACCCAAACCGGACAATTGCGAAGTCTTCTTCTCATGGCCCATGCATACGTCTCGTTGTTCCTATCGGAGAATCACCACTACGAATTCTAGCTGCTGAAGTGTGCACCGCGATCTAAACCATGAAGACGTCCAAGGCTGAGGTAAAGATCACCCCTTTTTCTTGACCTTCCTTGCCGGAAAAAAACCATCTACAAGAGGTTCTTGCGTCGCATCCAGTATTTTACATTCAGAAGGACTTCCGACCAGTAGAGAACTTTGAGATCTTTCCTTCTTTTGAAGAACGTCGAATGGAAAGATCTTCGGAACTACCGTTCAATATGTTTGCTGAGTGTGTTGTGCAAGCTCACTAGACTTAGAAATGAAAGGCATAGAAGTTGATGGGAGATTCCTCTCGAACCTGATTCTGGCGGACGGCATCGTTCCACTGAACTAAGGACGATGCTGAAGGAACCAAACAAAATAGGAAGATCGGACTGCAAATAAATTGGAAAAATTCAGTCCATGGAGAACTCCTCTTGCACAGATGTGAAAATGGAACTGAAAGGCATTCCAATGAGCAAACGTCTTCTTAGATGTATCTTTTTATTGAGATATCGTGGACATTCGATGAACATTGAGAACGACTGAGGAAAGAACTGCAGGAGAAGTAGGACCCTCTCAGGGTGAGGGAGCCACCGATCACCTGGAGGATTCAGAGCTTAAATCCCGTCTGTTCAATCCAACCGTACTCTCAGCGTCTGCTACGCAACTGACACCTGGAAGCCTGGGAATTTCAAATCTGCCAAGAAGCACCTTCAGGCGTTATCTTCTCAAGCTATATTATGGCACAGGTTTTCGAATTCTTCACTAAGGATTTACGAATGATGTCCGTCTTCGTATTTCATCACAGTATGTTACGAAAGCGGAGCACCGATGGAGCATCGATGGACCGTTCCATTAAAAAGAACATGGACGACATATAGGCAAATAAGAGCACTAGATTGTATTCCTCGCAAAGGTGAACGTCAACGAGGAAAACCATAAAAAAGATGGACAGACGCGTTCGTGGAACGGCTAGACCAGCTGAGAGATCAGCTGGATACGATCATTTGAAACTCACGGACGCAGCCCCCGACCTTAAGTAAGGAAATCGTGGATGTCTGAAGCAGATGACAGGAATAAATGGAAACTAGTGCTTGGTCCGCACGCCATGTGAAGACGGGCCATCTAAATAAGCAAGTTTATTTTGGGAACATCATGCTTTTGCCTCAATCCACAGAGGGTAATGCGCACTGTAGATGTAAAGGCATTGTCCAGTTCAACTAGAGGGTAGGTTGATTTTGACGCAATGCGAGAGCACGACCCCCGACTAATGCAAGAGTTTAAGTCCGATCGAAAAAGGTGGATTTTGAAGCGGAAAAATCGCTTCAGAAAAAAAGGGCGCACTAATTCTGCCTTCTTAGCAAGTTTCGACGTTAGCGCATAAATGCAGTGTCCCGGCAGATTTTGCATTTCCATCTTCTTGCATGTTATAAGCCTTTTCGGCCCGTAGACCCAGGGTATGAGCTTTAAAACGGGTGAAAAGATCTTTTTCGGGAATTTACCCAATTTCCAAAAGTCAGTTTGGACGAGAAATTCCATGGAAAGTTGGGAGGCCCTGGCACGAAGACCCTGCTGCCTGTAATTTTTGCTTTGGATAGCATGCAAAATGCGAGAGAGCGGTTGTGGGATCCCGTGCCGAACGGCAAGCAGTCGTCCGAGCGCGCCAATTGGGGCAGCGTACGCCCTTTTTTCCGAAGCGGTAATCTCACTTCAGAATCCACATTTTTCGATCGGACTTGAACTTTTGTATCAGTTAGGTGTCATGCTCCAGCACTGTGCAAAAACCTCACCATCCTTCAGTTTACCCGGACAATGCTTTTAAGTAGATTCCATGGTTATTTCTCCGGTGTACTAAGACGTTAACGACACTTTTTTGGTCTACAATACGCTTCGAGGAAATCTCACATTAAACTGAAAGAAAGTTTTTGATGGCAAAAATTAGACAATTTTTGAGCAAACATCAAAAATCATTTGGAATGCTCGGTCAATGAAAAAGAAGAAAAGTTGCCGAGTACATTTTGAAATGATTTTTTGTCTTGATTCTACTTGATTTGGATAGTTTAGAGACACGCAAACAGACCAACCTAGTAAGGTCGTCATTGAGTCTACTTACAATTTCAGTTTACGAGATTTAGGACCTTTCTCTAACTCACAAACTTATTGCAAACAAGACTTTTTAACTACACCTATAACATTTTGACAGTGAATGTCGACAAATACGTTTACGTGGCGCAAGTCGATGCATCATTGTAGCTCAAGAAATGGAATTTACAACGTAATTATACTCCACAACAATAATTGTTGAATTTCAGGCCAAACACGCAGGCGCTTACTTCAAGACGCTTGGTGAGAAAAAACTGATACCGCGCACAATATAGCATCTGTATCTAGGTTTTAGGTAAAAATGGCTAGCACTACGCTTCCTTTTGGGAGACCAGTACTGAAGAAATCAGCATCAACTCGTCCACGTCGTCGACACGTAATCATGACAGGTTACCGCAGTTTAGCGCACAAGCCATCTACAATCTTTAGCACTCAACCATACCACCAGTACGAAGAAACTTATATGAGAAACACCAGGAGAAACACGAGTCGGACTCTTCGAGTCACTCTGTTCAGGAGACCTCGGGCAGTAAACTCAAAATAAGTTCGTTTTCCATCATCAATACAGTACTAGGCAGTTCAGCCTCTGTCTGAGATGTCTACAACTTTGTGAAATGAGCAAGCGACTGCACCCCTTCTTACCCATCGTTTTAGATCATGATGAGAATAAAATGCAACTCCATGCCAAAATTACTTTAAACAATTTTTTTTTGACCTTGATTAAGCGTTTTAAACCTTTTTTCAAGTTTAGAAATATCTAAAAAACAAAGTATGTGGAAAGCAGCTTGTGCACTTTCTATATTCTAGCTTCCAGAAATTTACAAGGACAGAGTCTTTTTGAAGTTAGCCGTTCAAATTCCGTACTTTTTGTGGTCGCTTCAATTTCGTAAAGCCGCAGACTGAGTTGTAAAAGTTACAAGGGAACCTACCTAAATTAGTTTGGCCTTTTGGCAAGGGACATATACATTCTGAATCAGCTTCAAACGCTGATTCCAAATGTGCCATTCCTAGCTGCCGAGCGCCACTCCGAAGCGAGTTATGGGCTTTTTCCTGCGTAAAATTGGCAAACTCATCAACTTACTGGCTTCCGGCATCATAATCTAAGTATCAATACACCTGCGTTAAGCTTCCTTTTAGTGAGAAAAGATTGGATTTGGTTATTTCGATATCTCAGCACCTTTTTCTTGCTAATTTTTATCAACAGGCAGCTTCCCATGTTCGGGTAATATGCCAATTTTGTGCAGGAAAAAGCCCATAATTCGGTTGGGAATGGTGCGCGGCAGCTAGGAAAATAGAATATTTGAAATTAGCGTTCAAAGCTGACTCAGAACATATTTGTCTCTTGCCGAAAAACTGAGCTAAGTTAGGTATCTTTCATCATTAGCTTCAGACTGTGAGCGTCAATTTCAACTCATAAAGTTCTCTTTCAAATTTTCATTGATGTTTCTTTCGCGGAGAACTCTGTTTTCTAATGATATCGTGCAGAAAAGATATTTAATAAATGGGGAAGTTGTGCATTTTGACCTCTTACATTCACTATTAAGTCGAGAAAACTAGGCAGAAGGCAAAATCCGTGAAGAAACCTGAAGAAGAAGCTAGCTGGATTCATCAGTTGGATGAGAATGCTACTGTGCGTTTGAATACAATTGACCTAATGAGAAGAATGGAAGCGTTGTATGATAGCACAAAAATCTTTTTATAGCCAGAGACGGCAGAAGATAACACAGATGTTTTACGTACTGCTTCTAGTGTGGGCACATACGAACACAATATTAGTTTACTGTTGAAAGGATTTGCGAGCATGGTGAGATTTCGTCTTCCCATCATCAAATCAGCCAACCTCTGAAAAGCGTAGAAAGCACGTGTCAGGGCAAGAGTTAGCAGATCTTGAACTCATTCCAAAAAAGTGCACATTTTTACAAGGATAGTGAAATGGAGTGTTTGAATTTAAACCAATGCAGAAAAAAATGCGAACAAGGGTTGAACGCACGGACCAGCGCGGATCATCTGGAAGCAGGCTGGACTTTGTATTCGGAGCGAAAAAGCTAAGGGGATACCGTTTTGTGGGTCCAAAAAACACAGAAACTAGGTTTTTAGTCCACATTTCCAATTTTGGGTCAAAAGCGAAGTCGTAAAATTTTGCGAAAGTCAGGGGGACTTCGTTATCAAAAGCCAAGAAGCGGGCTCATGCCGTGCCGTGGCTGAATATTGAAGGGCATAGAAGAGAATAGGAGTTTTCGCGTTTTTGTTCATCATTTTTTGAATAGCAAAACTGGCAATGGTTTACTCATGCATTCCAGTGCGGTACTTTAACTGTTGATATGTTGAAATACCAATTCTATACTTTACCGCAACCGGATGCTATGGAATGTGTGGTGTTCGGAGATCCTTCCAATGCTCATAAAAACAGATATAAAAGTGAGCTCAGACGAGACTCCTTTCTCTCATCACTTACAGTCAGATATGTGCTCACAGATATACCATGTCTGGATGTTTCGCGGATTCTCTTAGAGTTTTTATTATTTGAAGGAGGTGGAGGTTATATTCATGCAAATCGGGTTACTTATCCATTACTGCGGAACCAGTTCATCTTGACTCAGGTAGACATGCCCAAATCAAGAGTTGTAAGTTCTCAAATTTCTTATCAGGGACCGCTTCCTCAGACAATACCAGAATTTTGGCGGATGGTATGGCAAGAGCAAGTCGCAACTATCATTATGTTGTGTAAGAATGTTGAAAATGGGAAACGAAGATGCGCTGAATATTTCCCAAAGTGCGTTATACTTTTATTCCCTAAATCAAATATCAACATCCGAAAAGTTTCAGTCAGATCGATTTTCCTGTTTCTTTTGTCAATGGACAGCTCACAGTCATCTTGAGGGTAAGGCACATTATAAAACTTTGATGAGAAAAAACACTATTCTGCTACTTATTTTAGTCGCGGTATCTCGAGGGTGACATGGTAGTCTCAACGATTGAATTAAAATACTTGAATGATAGTAGAACAATAATTCACTACCATTGGGTAGCATGGCCGGACTTTCAGGTACGTCACAGCTGAAGATAATGGAAATACAAAATCAGAATGAAGAATGAGAAAAAGATAAGTGACAGTGTGACCAGCGAGGAGTAGAGAAAACAAACCACTCACAAAATTCTGTGAGCTAAAAAGGTGCAATCATTCGCCAAAAAAATCGGTTAGTCTGTCGAGACCAACTTTATATTAGTACTGTATTAAACTTCGCCAAATAATGCAAATTTACGGTGAGAACTTGCTTTTTTTCGCATGACATTCAGTACGCATTACACAAAGACCAGTCAACGCCGCCATAGAAATCGCTTTCTATCCATATTTTTGATAATTTGATTTTGCATATGCCTTTTTCTTCTGTGAAATTAAGCGTAGTGTGCTGAGCATGAACACCATTGAAGATGCTTTTGTGTGGCGGTCCCAGGATTTGTTCAGATGGAGGGGCCACAAAAATTTTCTTCGGATAAGTGTGTGCGTGGCGTCACCTATGCACTTCAAATTTTTTTGGGTCGCTTCCCAAAATTTCTGCGGGCAGACCCCTTTCAGAATAGGGGGGCGTGTTAAAAGACTAACATGAATTTGAAAAAAAAATCAAAAATCATTCCAATTATTTACAAGTATGACCAAGTCACTTGCACATTTTTATAACCAGCCTCCCCCTCCCTCCCTTTTCGTCCGCCACTTCTCATATATTTGCATCAGCGTACCCAGGATTTCGCTCGGGAGGGGGGGACAAAAATTTTTTTTCAATGAAGGTGCGTGGCGTCAGCGTCAGCCACGCACCCAGAAAAAATTTTTGGTACGCTTCTTTAAATTTTCGCGGGCTCGCAACCCCAAATCGGGAGGCGGGGGATATCATGATACGAATTCCGCGAATTTTCATAGATCCACGCAAATGCTTCGTTAATAAAACCATTCCAACCCGTTTAAGGCGGCAAAGAGACTTGTTAATTTTTCTTACTAGGCACCAGCCGATAACGCTCGCTCTCTATTCACTATGCTGAGAAGAGTGCGTGGAAGTAAAACGCCAGTAGGTAAGTTGTTAATGCTGTCAATGTGATGGGAAAATTTGCTTGAAACCATACTTCAAGAAAATTTCTGGGTTCCATATATCACTAACATTCTCTTTTCTTCAGTGGTCCACTGTTCGGCTGGAGTCGGTAGAAGTGGCACTATGGTAGCGCTTGAGATGTGTTTGATGACCATAGCGAATATTAGGACGATCGACATTCAATCAGTAAGTGGAAAACGGCAAATACTGAAACTACCTTCTGAAATACTGTCTTCATTTTATCCTGTTCAAGATTGTGACACACCTTCGACGATGTCGTGCGCTGGCCGTTCAAACATTGGAACAGTACTTGTCACTCTACAAATTAGTCCTCCAATTCGGTGAACAGAATGGATGCCTAACAAGTGTGAGTTTCACAGACTCTTGTTTCCTTTCAAAAACACCACTTAAGTGCCAAATTTAGGAGGACGTTAGCAGCTTCTATCGAGTCTTACAAGCCGCCCAGTTCTGAAACCCTAGTATCGACTTCGCAAAATAATCTATGTTCAAATCAAAGTGCTACTTAAATTAAGAAATTTTTGTAACAGTTGACTGCTAAGACTACTTACAAATAATGATTATAGTGTTATGCAAAGCAGTCTGTTAATATACTGGCACTTCTACTCGTCATGAAAAATAAATTATTAATGATGTTTCTAGAAATTTCTGAAGGGAATATGATACACAGCACCTATGCGATTTTGCGTGACTCTTAACCAACAGTGATAAACAGGGTTGAGCGTGGGGTCAGGCGCGCCCGACCTGGGGGATCGTATTGAGAGTAAGACTGAGGGGTGGGGGTCGTAATTTGGAATCGAATTTATTAAGTTGGGGAGATACTGTGAAGGTGAAGGAGAAATGCGCTAGTCCGGTAGATATCGCACATGAAGGAATGACGGTCATAAACAGCATACTGATTGTTCCCACAATGGAAGGTTCAGATCTTCTTCTCTTTTACCTTGACATATGAGGTAAACAAGAAGCTTGCTGTGTGAAATGGGTATCATTTCCATAATCAGCATGTCAAACTACCTCTATGCACTCTACAAATCATTATCTACTGCAGTTTCTGGTGTTTCTCAACGCTTAAAAAGCGTGATTTTCAAACGTGATCAGCTTGGTTTCAGAAGTGAGAAAAGTCAGCTTTTGAATACTCACAACAAAATAATACTCTACAAGTCTATGCTACAAATCGGACTTCATATCGCTTTCAAACAGTGAAGTAAGAAGTGCTGCCAAAATTCCAACCGGCGCATTTTCACGTTGAGTGCTTCAACTTCTCGGATTAGCACAAGGCCGAAACAAGTCGAATCAAGCTCAAACACTTACCGTGGAATCTTCGAGGATTGAGCTAGCATATCACATAAAACTTGGATAGAAAAGTTTTGGAAATAAAGTTAATGGGGTCAGGCGCAACCCCTCAAAAGGTCAGGCCGCCTGAGCTTTTGAGGGGTTGCGCCTGACCCTCTTAACTTGCCTTCAACATTCAAAAATCGCCCCTTTTTTGATATGAGTATTGTGCGCAAAGCCTCTTCTTGCCATATTGAAAATTTGAAGCCAAGCACTCCCCCCTATGAAAATTATAGCTCCGAAAAGAGGACTATACAGATCTAAAACTCGCCGTCAAGTTGCGTGTGGTTAATCGCAGAAAGTCGGGCCTACAGACTTTCAAAAAATAGAATCCTGCAGTGAAGGCTGGTCTTCTTCAGATTATAACACCCTAAGGACTTGGAGGTGAAGCGGAGGGTCGTTTAGGGGCTTTCACAAGGGGGGGGGGGGAGGGGTCGTTTTTGAAGGATTTGTGCCTGACCTCTTGCTCAACCCTGGTTAAACACAACTTTATCGTTCTCTTGGCTTAATCACAAATGGATCCCTTACTGAAACTTCTACACAAGATCTGAAGCGTTTCATTCTCATGGTATTCTCACACTGTAAGCGTTGCATTGCTTACCCGAGCTAACCTACGATCTTAGCCCTCGGTATGACGTTATGTAAGGTAAAATAAGTGTTGAACGCCTGTGAATGGCAAAATGATGACATTAAAAATTTAAAAGTACCCTGTTCTTAGGTTTGCTTGTTTCGGTTGTTTGACGATAAGTAAAAGCTTGTCAAAAAATCAATCCTTCTTATTTCAAGGACCAGCGAAACAGAAAAATTTGATATTTATTTCAAAAAATAATTATCCATGAAGAAGTCAAAAGTAATGAGAACTTCGTAACTCCTCTTAAACCTATTCTCAAATTAGATAGAATGTGAACAGGCAAATGCTCTAACGGTTCCGATACGGCTTTTTTCCTCTTTCCAGCAGTCATAATTTCCAACCAAATCACTTCGCAGTTGATGAATTACAGAAATTTTAAACCCAAAGTGTTTGCTGTTAAATTCTATGGTTTTTTCAGACGTGGCAAAAAATTCTAGATTATGGTAATTTGAAAGGGTAAGCACCTAAATACTTTGCAATCAAGATCTGATAATATACTATTTGCGAAGCTCCCATTTTCGAGAGATTTTGTAGAGTTTGATGCATTTTTGTTTTGAGGGATTTTTTGAAATTTTAGCGCTTTTGGAAAAATGATTTCAAAAAATGTGAATTTAGATATGGCAGGTAGACATGATACCACATGTGATTTTGACACATGCCGCTGCCGTAGTAAATGATACGGATTGGCTTGAATACACAACCCCAAACTTGAGGAAATTCTCATATTTGGAAAAACAGAAATTTGAAGATGTAATCAATAATTTTCAGTTTGTCCAAAGTCTATGTGTTCACCAATGGCGGACCGAGGGGGGGGGGCGCCCTCCCTCCCCCCCCCCGAGAATGGGTCGCGAAATTTTTGAAACTTACCTACATAGGTTATAAGAGTGTGCAATTGACTTGTTTATTTTTGTAAATACTTAGAACAATTTTTAAAATTTTTTAAAAATTCGAATTAACCTTGTAAAAAATTTTTTTTCGGGGCGTAACTTCAGCCACGCCCCCTTTTCCTAGATTTTAGGGGTCTTGGGCCCAAAAAATTTTTAAGAAGCACCCCGAATATTGGTATCTACCATTGCTGCTTTCATTTTCGCAGAAAATGAGCAATCAATTGAGTTACAGTCGAGTAGATTTCCTGCTTAATATAGTAGTGTCCCTACAGACGCGACAACGCTAGTGCGTCAACAAATGCCACTGCGAAATTTCGAGCGCCGTTTTCTAGCGTTTTCTTTGCTTATTCTTCGCTTTTTCAGGGAACTCGTTGCTGATAAAGCACAGGCAGGTATGTTGAAGAGTAGTTTCTGTTTTTTGAATAGTTATATCGTCGCTAATTTTTAGATGTCTACATTAAAGCCACGTCGCGTCAGTTTCATGTGTATTGGTCACATGATGCCTCTTTTTTTTCTTGTAAAGCATTTCTGCAAGCTAATAGGCTCTGCAGCAACTTAGACTTCTCTCTAAAAGGAGGCAATTATTGGAGTATTTCAGTTTAGTAGTTTAGGGATAAAGACGATAAGTCACACATAAAAGTCTGCCAGCGTTTAAGAAATGGTTCACAACAAAAAAGAGGCATCGTGTGACAAAAAATACAAAGAAAATGAAGCGAAGAGGCATGAAGTGACCGAAAATACGCGTGAAACTGACGACGACGCAGTTTTCACATAAGTACTCAGAATAAACGATGATTTACATACTCAGAAAAGAGAAAATTCTTGCCAGCTTACCTTTCTTTATTTTATCAGCAAGGGCTCACCTAAAAAGCAAAAAATAAGCAAAGAAAACACGGTAAAACTCTTACTGAAACTCTTAGTGGCAATTATTGACGCAAAGGCGTTGTCGCGTCTGCAGGGACACTATATTAAGCAGGAAATCTACTCGACTGTAATAAATGTGGTACTAACTTTCGGAAAAAAATCCTTTACTTTTCAAGCACATATGTGGTTCTCTAATGCCATTCACACGCATCTCCATATATCATGCATCCTCCAGAATTGCTCCCATATAAACCATCAACCTGGCTACCTTTCGATCGTTTTAACACGTTGGCTCCAGCAAATTAAGACGCTTATTCGAAGTTGACATGTTGAAATGATCGAAAGACAGCCAATTGGCTGTCTTTCGATCATAGGAAAAGAAAGGAGAGATTATTAACGCAATGACAGTAAGCTGTCAAATCCGTGCATCTTCAGAAGAGGCATATCTCTAGGGGGAGAGCGAGACAATATATAGATATTAGCCCGCCAAAGGCACTCGGCTCGTCCGCTTTGATGCGAGCGGACGAGCGGAGTACTTTTAGCGGGAGAGTGGAGGGAAGTACTCCGCTCGCCCGCTAAGGGTACTCCGCTCGCCCGCTAAAGGTACTCCGCTCGTCCGCTTTATATCTGTAGCGGGCGGCCCGCGTGCCTCTAGAGGACGAGCGGCGGGAGGCATGATCGCCCGCCCGGTAATGGCCCGCCGCTCGTCCGAGTTATTGTCTGAGAAGTTGATAGTTCACATGGAACAATTCTGGGAGATACACCATATATAACACCGCTCGCTTGTGGAAAATCACCGCACTCCGTCGGAGTTCGCCGTACTTCGCGTCGCATCGCCATACCTTGCTTCAGAGTGGACGAACTTTGAATCCAAAAGCATTATTCAATTCAGATCGACGAGATGCATCTTCTGATATATAAAAGTGCCCGGTAGAGCACGCCAGTCGTTCAAATTTCACGGATCCTCTCAGACCAGGGCCCGGCACGCATTGGTTCGGAGCATTCATGTAAACAAAGTCCCCATGACTTCACAAACATTTGCGAAGTCCCTTTTGACGTGAAAGTCAGTAGAGAAACCTTTATTTAGTTGAAATAACATTAAAAAGCGAAAAAAGCGCATTTTGAGTATTTAATATAACAAGCAGAAAAAAACGTTATGAGTTGATTGAACTTTCCGTCATTGAGTATGGTACCATGTTCAGAATGTTGAAAGCCTCTTGGGCCAACCAAGTCTGTGGCCTCAAGAGTCTGGCAATCATTTTTCGCCACTTAGTTTAAAGGACACCGCATGCGATTGGAGCGCGATATCTATCAGCGCGTAGGTTTACACTATTTTTGGCTCAAGAAAGAGGTGAGGCAACGATTTGATTCGCCATCTTCGCTATATGACAGATTTTTCGTCCAAATCAAAAAGGTCCAGAACTTTGTGAACTCCCCGATATTTATGCTCCGAACCAACCCAGTTGGTTTGTTGGTCTAGAAACCAACAAATTAACGGGTAATAGCATAAGTTTTTGAAACTTTCTTACATAATATAGGAATAATTATGCATATACATAGCCCAAAACTGGTGTCATGTGATTGCTTGTGCGCTGTAAACAAACCATTCTTGTTTGAGTCTTGCGTTTGAAATTCGTGCGCTTGCGAAAAAACATGTTTACCTCCTAAAACCTGACATGTTCGTCGTTTTTTTCTTTCGGCGCTCTGTCCAGTACCTCATGAAAACGATAGCCTCGTTGCTTCTAACCTCAAAAACGATGTCCAGTTTGACCTCAGACCATCTGTGCCGGACCTTGTCTCAGACTCTTGCTCACGGTAGGTTACATAGAGTGTTTAATCACTGTACAGCGACCAACCTACCATAAGCAGAAATTTGAAAAACATCCTTGAGATTTGACCGACTGCTGTGCCCAAACAGGCACTTTTATACATCTAAAGATGCAGCTCGTTGAGCTGGTTGACTGGTGCTTTTGGATTCGGATAGTCCATCCTGAAGCAAGCATGGCGATGCAATGCGACTTCCGAACTCCGGCGGAGTGAGGTGATTTTTTTTCAGAAAGTTACGAGCGGTATTGCAACTTCGCTTACATCATCATCCCTTTTACCGTACGCTATGTGATCTCTTACCGCAGTGGTAGTTTGGTGATTACATTCTGTGCACGATGGAAACGATCATAAATTCGGCAGATGAAATTCAAATACTCCACGGTCATGATCTCCCTAATGTCAAGACTACATCACATACTTCAAATTTTTATCTAACCATCTTCAGCAAAGACACACCTATGTCATTCTAAATAATTGTTAAACGTAACATGGTCAGCTATCGTTAGTTTTTTTTTGCTGTAATGTAACAGAATCAGTTCTTCTCTTCATAGCGCGATGATACCCTTTTCTCCATCAGATCCTCAATAATAGAACGGATCTAAAAAGACCTCTTCGTCTTGTAAAAAATCACCTTCTTTTTTACCTCTTCCATAGTAGAGCGATCTTCAGGGGAAGCCGGAAAGCAGTGTTCCTTCATAATTGAACGCAAGAACTTCGGCATTGTATCAGGTGCAGATAATCGATGCCCTGCTTGTACCTAAAGCGACGATTCTGTAAATCTGTGGATTTAATCAATTTCAGACCTGCGCTATCACTTCAGCTAATGTCATATCCCCATACGGCATCGCTGCATCGCTGAAAATCTGGAACAAGAGCTACTTTTACAATTTTGCATTCAAGAGATTCTATCATCGCACCTCCCATAGTAATATACCATAGGAAAAGACATCGCTTTTTGTCGAGTATGTAGCCGAAGATAACACTTCAGGTGCAAGCCATCGAACAGGCAGACGCTGGTTTTCATCCTAAAAGTTACACCTCTTCAAATACAGTAGAATCTAAGAATGCTTAATATACTTTGATTGTGTACTTCTTGACTCGATTAGACAATTCTCTGGACAAACCAAAGTCGCCTAGTTTCACATCTCCGTTGTTTACAAGACAATTCCTGCAATATATAAGTGCTACTATCGTCCAAATCTCACTATACATTGCTAGTTCCGTAATGGGCAAACGTATGAAAAGCTTCTTTCTCGCTCAAGCTTCCTCAATGGCAAACGTGTGCTTAGATTTTTATTTGCAGCGGGATAAAGAAGATAATAGGGACTGCATTTACTTGTCCACGTGGGATTTCCTTGATAAAATCTAAGAAATTCATTTGAAAAATAATAGGTTATGGAATGATATATTAGGTTGGCATATGAGTTTTGCAACTTACTTTGTAACTTTTCTCTTTTTGACTGATGCGTTTATTTTTGGTCAAGATGTGTAGACTGTAGAAACCGCGCTGGTATGCCTCCAGAACGTACTGTGGCATGCGACATGCTCCGCGTAATAAAGTTAGCGCGCGTTACCCGAATCGTCGCAGCTGCCGCAGGCGCGACGTCGCATAACCGATCAAAGCCCGGCACCGATAGTTCGGGGTCAAACTGGACTTCGTTTCTGGAGTTAGAAGCAACGGGGACATCGTTTTTATGAGGTCCTGGAGGAGGCGCCAAAAAAAACACGACGAACATGTCAGGTTTCACGAGTTGAACGTGTTCTTTCGCAAGCGCGCGAATTTCAAATGCAAGACTCAAACAAACGAATGGCTTGTTTACAGCGCACAAACAATCACATGGCTTCGAATTTGGGCTATGAGTATACAATATTACTCCAAACTATGTTATGTAAAAAGTTCCCAAAACTTATGTGTCCTAATATCCGTTCTCGAATTTGGTTTCTAGACCAACTACCAAACCAACTGGGCTGGTTCGGAGCATAAATATCGGAGAGTTCACATAAGTTTTGGACCTTTTTGATTTGGACGATTAGAACGGTCAAAAATCTATCATATAGTGAAGAGAGCAAATGCAACCGTTGCCTCTCCCCTTTTTTTGAGTCAGAAGTAGTATAATTCTAAGCGTTGATAGATATCGCGCTCCAATCACTTGCGGTGTCCTTTGAAATATTTGGCGGAAAATGCATCGCAGGATTGTTGAGGCTGCAGATTTGGTTGGCCTAGGAGATTCTCGACATTCCCAGCATCAAAATGGTACTATACCCAATGGCAAGCCTTTGATCGACTCGAAATGTTTTCTTTTTGCTTTTTTGTTATATTACATACCTCAAAATGCGCTTTTTTCGCTTTTCTGTTGCTATTTTGGTTGAATAAGGGTTTCCCTACTGATTTTCACGTCGAGAGGGACTTCGTAAATCTTCGCGAAGTCATGGGGGACTTCGTTTCCTAAAAATCTTCAAACCAACGCGTGCCGGGCCCTGTAACCGATGCTGGTTGGTACAGCCTATAGATTACGTCGTAAGCTGAAAATATGCGCAAACTTCGTGTATGTTATGTTTCAGCGACAACCGCTACAACCAAGACAACCAAGACAACATCGCATTGTTTCTCAACGTGATCTTGGTGCAATTACTGAAATACGTCCCTGCCCATCTTATCAACACCAACATGCTCCTCGAACGTCTTCGCAAATCACATTCAGCCATGATTGCGTTGTGGAATCACTGGATGTTATATCGTTATACACAAACGTATTAAACGATGCTGCTATACAAGCCGTCTGTGAATTATTGACTGAGCATGAATCCTCACTCAACTTGCACGGACTAAGTATTCCCGCTATAATGACTCTTCTGAATGCATGCCTTCAATGCCCGTGTTTAGATGGTCGGGCAATACTTCAAACAGTTAGTGGCAGCAATGGGGCAGCGTTTGGCGCCAACTCTTGCGATTGTGTTTATGTCCATAATAGAGGCACTAATATTGAGACGGAATCAACTGCTATATTGTAGATGCATAGGCGATTGCTGCGTAGTATGTTCAACCCAAGCAGAACTAGATATGTGTTTCGATATCCTCAATCAACAGTGTCCTAGCATCAAGTTCACGCAAGGGAAGCCGAAGAAAGACTGGTTGTTGTACCTCAATGTAGAAATTTACCTGAAAAACGGAGACTACAAAACTATGTGAAATCGTAAACCCAGTAGCAAGAACATATTGATACATAACTTATCCACCCATCCAAAAAATGAAAAAAGCCGTAATAAGTGGAATGTACAAACAGCTGCTCGAATATCATCTAGTCATGAGGAACGCTCCTATTCTATCGTTATTGCAAACAATCGGGAAACTGAAGGCTAAAAGGCTATTCAAGCGAAAAAATCACAAAAGCGTGCGGGTTTGACCACCATCAATCCAACCAGAAAGACGATGACAAAGTAGCGTTTTGCCTGCCATACGTTTCTAATGAATTCACTAGCGCAGTCCGTCGCTGCTTGAAAAGAGCTGATCTAGCAAGGTCGGGGTCAGAGTCATCGATATACCGCCCACTGATATCTAAAGACGCTTTGATACGAAATCGCATATACGATCGAACGTGCTTGATTGCGTAATTTGTCCCTTCGGCAAAGAGGGTGATTGCTCGATTTCAGGTGTGGTTTATATCATTACATGTCAGTGGCGTACCCAGGATTCCGACTCGGGGGGGGGGGATAAAAATTCTTTTCCGAGAAGGTGCGTGGCGTCAGCCACGCACTCCGAAATTTTTTTTTGGTAGGTTCCCTAAAAATTTCGCGGGCTCAGAACCCCGAAATTTCAGGATATCTACATTGGTAAAACAGGGCGCCCTCTTTGCTGCCGGATAAACATTTAGACGGGCTACAAAAATCCAAGAACACACGCTTGGGCTCGCATCGCATGACACCTCAGACAAATCACCGGAACTTCCGCAGGACAAGCCAAGCAGAAGTTCCGCAGGATTTTGTTCATTATTGCAAAAATGAAAACGTTGAAAATCGGAACTTCCGCGGGATTTTCATGTCAAAACTGGTTGAAAACCGGAACCTCCGCGAGACTTTTTACAAAGCGCTGCGGAACTTCCGAAAAATGCCAGAGGTTCCGCACTACTTTGGCCTGTCAGAACTTCCGCAGGACTTTGAATGTGTTGTCTCTTGATGTTGCCTCGCCAACAACCAGAGTGCATTATCGAACATGCCAGCCGTAGCGTAGAGGATAGTAGATGGGTCTCACAGTCAATAGAGTGAGGTTCAAATCTCGCTTGGTGTTGTCTTTTGCTGTTGTGGTTGGCATTCTTTGGAACTTGCGCAGGACCTCCTTTCGCAAACGCTTTGCGGAAGTTCCGATGATTTGTCTGAGACGGCACGATAATGTAGCGTTTCAAATTGGAGTCAAGATCTTATCGTTTGGGCCTGATACCAGCACGCAAAACTTTAGAGGTCGAATCCTACCAACATCTTGGAAAAACTGGTATTGAAGGCAACCGTTATGATGTGCAGGCACGGAAGTGCTTATTGTATTTGCATATCGACTTCAAGAAGAACATCAATGATAAGGAATTTCTAGGCATTTCGGATAACGGCGAAAACTCCAAAAATGAACGCTAAGATTGAGTGCATTGCTATCACACAAACGCTATCGTCCTGTCAGTCTTCATGCGGATTTGATACAGAATCAACACATAAAAAGAGCGGAGGAATGATCTCGTTAAAACTTAAAACGTGTTCATTGCGGCTCTCAAACTGTCATTTGAGGTTGGTGTCAGCTGGCGTGGTTTCCGATGTTACCGTATCTCGATCGAATATCAACCTGGCTTTTTATTGACATCTGAGAGTAGAGATTACGTAAACCTCGACTTTACATTCTCTGACGAAGGCGAAATCGCCGAACGTTAGCTAATAAAGAAATTAATAAAATCTTGGTTGTCGCTGAAACAAAACATACACGAATATTCGCCATGCCAACATTCAGAAACTGCCGAACTTGGAATATTTTACGCAACCGTTTGATTTTTTATAGCGAAAAACTTGGTCAACTGAAAGGTGGAAACTTCAAAGGTGGAAAACCAAAAATAAAGCCGTGAGTCTGAGTCAAACACATCAAGCCAAAACTGTATCCAGATTGTTGAGTAGAAACTGTGTAGATCCTTAGAGGAATTTCTAAGGATCTACACAGTTTTGGCTTGATGTGTTTGGCTTGATGTGTTCTTTTTAGACTGAGGACGGCTTCAATTTTAGTTTTCGACCATTGAAAATTCAAATTCAACCAGCTTTTGAAAAATGCATAAATTTTCTTCACTTAGCTACCAACTACCAAAAAAATTCTACGTTTGTACCTACTACCCAATCTACATTATGCTCAGAAAAGAGTGCGTTACACTCAAAAAGAGAAAAGTCACGTAATAAGTTGCAAAAATGTGCCAACCTGATAGTAGCATGCAATGTGCCGAAGCCTTGAAACGTAGTGATATTCTTATAGGCTGCTGCATGACGAAGGCGCAATATCCATGGGCGCGAACGCGGCTTTTTTGGCCGCAGAGCGTATGAGGCGCAGAAATTACAACGGTGAAGATACGCGCGCGCCGCATTCGCGCCCGCTCAGCTGATCCTGCTTCTGCGCCTTCGTCATGCAGAGCTTTTACAACTGTGATTAATCAACTCAATGCCTTTCCCGCCCTCACCTTGCCGCTACGTCTCTATGAATGCATTCGTTCTTGTGTAGATATTCAAGACCTTTCGCAGCACCAAATGCGAACCGGATCTGCAAAGAATGAGTTCGACACTTATCGAAAAGCGGAAGACTGTTAAATCTTCCGTTGTTTTTGCGCGAATCCAAAATACGATCGAAGAAATTAATAAGGGACCATGAACTTTCCACGGACAGTGCTTGTTAGTGGCGGCCTCAGGAAATCCATTCGGGAGGAGGGGGTGACAGGATTTTCGAATAAAGATGCCAAAGGTGAAAAGATGAGTAAAGGTGCTGATGCCACCACTCCGAAGACTTTTTTGGGATGCTTACCAAAATCTTGCTCACAACCACAGAATTCTAAAAAAGGGCGTGGCTGTGACTTTGCAGCGAAATTTTTTTATGAGGCTATTTTATCTTAAATTTTTAGATTAATTTATTTGCTTATTTGGGTAGGGGATATGTCTTCGATAGGCTCCATCTGGCGCAGGGAGCCGGTACAAATCCGTACCGTCTGTAATGTGTGGAGTTGCGGACCCGTGGCAGATGTCCACTTTGGACCACCCCTTTTCGGCGACATATACTCTCCTACGCGCTTATTTTTATAATCCATGTGAGTGGAGTTTCAGAAGTTTCGCGACCCGTTCTCAGGGAGGGCCACCCTTCCCCCTTCCAACTCCTTCTCGGTCCGCCATTGGTAGTTGTACTACACTGACGTCAATGGAGTTGATGAAACTGAGCTTAAGGGTATGCTTTTGCTATAATAAGTACCTAATATACCACTGAAGTTTCTTCAACATACTCTTTCAACTATGGTCGTATCTGATTTCGTCTTCTGCAGATACACATCAAGAGCACCGCCATCGACGAGCTCCATGACAAGCATTAAAGGCTCCTGAAGAATCCTGGATTATCCTACTCGTCTTTTTCTGGCCAAAGAACATACACGTTCAGCTGCAACACCGTAAAACTTGACAACATTAGGGTGCCGATATCGTCGCATTATCCTGGCTTCCTTACAGATTTCTTTCACAGCTTGTTTCGTTAGTTTGTTTCCTTTATTTACCTTCACTGCCACCTAGAATCAGAAATGCTATTCTCTATGAATTTCCATAATCAGCTTTTCTTGAATCTTGAAAGTGAATTAAGTTCATCACTTGTGTTTGAGCGATCGACCAAGAATTTTACAGTTCTTTTAACACATTCACGACAATACGACCCACCGATGGGTCGTAAAATTTCTGAAGCTCTAGCTTTGCCAACTTACGATGGAATTCTAGGGGGTTCTGAAACATGATTGGGGACACCTAGGTGAAGCTCCAGCTAGAGTGGTCCCGGCTCGGGATCTTGTAATGTCATGTTACGGTAGGTATACCGTAGATAGACATAAGACACGGTTTAGCTCAAATCCCTCGCAGAATGATGTTGTTTCTGGAAGATTAAGTTTACATGCACAAATAATACGGGGCGACAAGAGACTCACGTTAGTCCACCAAAAAATTATCGCTTTTATTGAATTTGATTTTGCGTTGTTCATCTTAGGAAGCTTGAATTTTACATATATAGGTTTTGTAGCATGCTGATCACGAAAATGATAATCTCAAGTTTTGGTACCACCTCCTTACATCAGTTTCTTGATTTTTACGAAAATTCCACCATACTGCTACCGTAACCCCACTGCGGGACAGTAGTGAACAAAGTGGACACTATAAACGTGATCAGCATGTGAAATAACGCCAAAACACAATTTTTCATGAAAACCCATGATGTTGGTTTCGTACTAGATGACTACCGTCCTTACCGTATAACGCCAAAAACTAAAATGAGCTGTTTTTTGATAATCAGCGCCTTCGATTACCCCTCTGGGTAAATTCTCGGGGACATGTTTTGAACTTTTTCCAAAAAGACTACCATTTCGGACAATACGACCCACGGGTGGGTCGTAAGTCTGATAAAGCGAAAGAGGCTCTAGTCCGAAACGGCAGTAATTGAAATTTGGCCTTGTCGTGAATGTGTTAAACAGCAATGGAAATTTTCGGTAATAACTACGCTAACCAAATGAAGTTATCCTACGTTTTGCTTTGCCGAAAAGGAAAACACAAAAGCTTACTGGGTACTTTTTAAGTCCTATAGTCAGAACTCCAGCGTAAACACCTCCAAAAGCACCCTCTGCGAGGAGATGACCAAGAGCAATCTGGACATTCATGCTGTTTCAAAATATCTTCATTCAGTACCATATATCAAACTGACCGATTCATGTCGAAGCTCCCATCTTTGCCTTGGAATGGGCATAATCAAAAGCGCCCCTGTTGACTGCGTCAAAGGTTTCTGCTCGCGTATATAGTATTGAACCATTTGTAGAATACTTAAAAACTCCATCCCCTCAATCAGCACTTTTCCTGCAAACAGACCTCCAACTAGAAAGCATTCCGCTTTTGCTTTACGAGAAAAAAAACGGACCATTATGTTCGATGATAACAAAATGATGGTTTTTGCCATGCCATCGTGATGAAAGCACTGTTTTCAAACCCTAAAATTTCGTAGGCTTTGATTCACAATTCAATCGAGATCAACATTTGAAAGTGATGCAGCAGAGAACTAATTGACAAATGGACACCCATTCAAATCTGCTTGCCTCTTCTGTATGAATGATGTAAGTAAGTAATATACAACGAAGAGTATCAGTAACGGTCGAGCATGGAGTGTGCCATATCTATACCCAACTACAACCCGCCCTTTCGAGGATGACAAGCACTTTGGTGGGAACCAAGTGTCGTAGGCGATAGTGGTGTCGATCATAATTTATCCACAGACGAACATAACAAACACTCGGGGATTCCTTTTATACAAGTAAAAGGGGCGGAATCTACCCGAGGACAGGGCGCCGTAGATGGGCTACAGGCTTAAAAAAGGAAGCCGCCGTAGAGGTCGACTCCCGCTGCACAAATGTCACTCAATGTTCGAGTGATTAGATACTTCACCAAAAGTGGATGGAAATATATCCTATGGACGCTCCATAGGCTATTCTAAAAATAAGCTCTAGGTTGATGACCAAGAATCATCAACACTCCGGGCGAGCAAGGAAAAAGCAAATATGTGCAACATCGTTGAGAGCATATTTTATTTTAACAATTAAATTACATGACTAGGCTTGGTGTCATCCACTGAGTTAGCAGAGAATAATCGCTATGATCTTTGGTAGACAGAAAACTGTGAAGGCGATCAAAGCTATGATTGCAATGGCGGCTGAAATCGTGAACTTCCATGAAGACAATGCGACACTGATCATGTGCATCACATCGGGGTAGTTGTACATATTGACGTATAAGGCCTCATCAGTCTCGTTGAAGAAGTGCACTGCATCTTGATAAGGATTGTAGGCCAATATTCCGGTGATGTTGAAATTGTGAATGTTTTTTCCACATCTCAAAAGGCACTGATCACTGTATCTCGCTACCGTTGACTGGAGTAGTGCTATGGTTTGCGCAGTATGCTCGTTGCAGAAAGCAGCGAATACGTTCCTTTGACATGTTATCTCCACCATTGCTGGATGACTTGATCGGCAGGAGAAGGTGAGCTTCGCACCGCTTAGACAATTGTAGCAGCCTTGGATTGGAAACGCCTTAATGTCACAATCTTCGTTCACGATGTTCGCTGTGTTCCATTCTCCCGCGGTTATTAGTGATAGATCGATGACGGACTTATGACTAACGGCGAAAATTCTTCCATTAGCTTCTTGTAGTTGCAAGAATGAGGAGGAAAGCGGTAGTCGGCTGTCCAGTGACGTGATCAGATCGATGATATTCGTGTTCTTGCATTGGCAATTTGCTTCATCATCTGTCGGAAAGCACTTGCATGTGTCTTCTACATGGCAAAGGGAAAGGTTTTTTGAACTTTCCAACGTTGGACATCGTAGCGCAAATATCTCATCTTTGTCCACCATAGCTGTATGTGCAGTGGTGGAATCAGCAGTTTGCAGGAATATTGTGCTAAGCAGAGGGATGAGAGGTGTTGTAACGAACTCCATCGCGATGTTGGCATTCTTCTGCACTTTTGCTGTTTGTGCGGTGACCGTGAGTATTGTAGATTCTTTTTCTCCTTTTGCACTTATGTAGGTGTATTTCAGTACTGCGGATTCTTCCCATGTCGGACAGTGGAGGATCTGATATATTGTCTCGGATTGTGGCTTGGCGTATGAGCGGGAAAAGAGACATCCAGGCATTGGTAGTAAACATCCACAGCCGATGCTTCCACATGATGAGGTACAACGTGCGACTCCTGGGAAGTCGTATGTGTTTTGAAGCTCCGGAATATACGTTCGTTGACTGGTGTGCGCACAAGTATTGGATGAACAAGAACCAGAGAAATGGCAGCGTTTGGCTGATTCTGTGACGATGTGGGCATCTCTGGTGTAGTATAGCACGACGGGATTGCATTGCAGGATGACATGTTGTAGCTGTATCTCCATACTGCCCATGGTCTCGTTTTGATGCTGAATCCGAAAGCAGGCTTGAGGTCGATTTTCACTTAGTGTGATTCGATTTTCCATGGAATAACGGCATGTGAAAGTATCGGCAGTCTTCGTGCATATAGTATTGTTTGAGCTGAGGGTATGCGTGTACTGGCACGACTCGCTTCGTTGGAGGAGGCATGCTGTGATAGCAAGGAAGGTGATCATCTTGGATTGGATTGGGCGACGTTTTTGCCATTGCTGGGTAAGAACTTCGGTTTGTTCAGCATCTTGTTGACTATGGTCTTCAGCCTCTTGTGTTTGTTGGGCATCGCTGTCGTTGCGTCCTCTGAGGAGTTTCGTTCCTTGGATGCCAATGCAGCAAATGAACCAGAGTAACATTATCCTACTATAATAACGCGCTAAGGCCGTCTGTTTTTTTTGTGTGTCTGTCTGTGTGTCTGTGTGAAAATCTGTCTGTCACGAAATTCGTAGAGCGTGTTCCAGCCAACGTCCTGAGCCCAAATTTTGCATAGCGCACGCTACCAACGTGAAAGCTCACTATACAAAAGCATGAGCGGATCCGTTGAGTGGATCCATTGAAAAATGCGCGTCAAACGGATCCACTTAGCTTCTGGCCAGCAAATTTGGGCCGAAAGTACTACTTTTTGCAAAGTTTAGAATATATTTGACAAGCTAATGTGCAAACCATGGACGTTAGCCTAAAAAAGTAATGAAAAGTCTACTACTTTACGAAAATAGCGCCAAAAAGCATTCGCTGTGTAAACGGTCAATTTTTCAAGATTTTACCTAATCATCTGAGAAGATTTTTGCTCAGAGATGTAGCGCACTATGTTTACTATCCTTATGGCGACTAACAAGCCATAAAAATTCCAAAAACGTATCCAAATTGGCATCTGTTCTTCTGGGAAAGATTTTATCCACGCGAAAATACCGATCTCACATGGAAAACCTCTACGAATGAGTAGTTGTTTACGAATTATTCGTGATAGCCTACATAGCGCGGTGAGTTTCAATTTCATTATTATGCGGGAATGAGTAAGGCATAAGAAAGTAGCGCCAGTGCGAGCCTCTGCGAAGCAGAGGTGACGCACTGGTCATGAGATAAGCGCAGACTGCTGCGATCGTTATGGCAGTATTGGGAGCACAGTGCGGGTTGCTGAAGAAATCCAGGCAGAATATGCATCTGATCATGTCGCACACGTTTCCTGCTGGGCAAATAATGGTGTCTGAATGCTGTGTTGTACCATTCAAAGTGCGCCACTGAATGCTGTGATCTGCCATTCGATGCTTTATCGGTAGCGCCACCTCTGTTAAGCCTTTCTTTGTGGTAATTCTTAAGCAATCCTTGTAATTGAGGCCAGTTCGGAGTCCGATGCAAATGTTGTGTTGATTTGCACTCCATGGTCCGAGTAGGATAGTTCTGCTGCGGAAGTCACATTGCTGAAGAGCATCGTGATCATGCATATGCTGAGCATCAACGATGTTGTGATGTGAGCATTTTTATTACTGACGCTTGCGTTGGACGACGAGCAGTTCACCGGCTGCTTTGCCGCTCTCTGTGGCTGTTTGCGTATTTCAGACGTTTCTGTAGTCTTTTTCTTCAGGACTTTCTTCACTTTTTCAATCAATCCATCCTTGCGCTTTGTTGCTGGTTCGGTGTCGCCTTCCTTATCTATTGTTGATTCAATTTCCAAAGGGATGAGACGGGTGAGAGGTCTCTGAATCGTTCTTCCAGAGCTATTCCTCAGAACAACGCTTCTAATCTCGCCGTCTCTGCTTGGAACTAGCTCGGTTATGACTGCCATTGGCCAGAATCCTCTGTTGAGTTGAGAATCTTCGTCGATGAGTACGACATCTCCAATTTGAGGATCTCGTTTCGTAGATTTTCTTTCCTTTTGAAAGATGTGGTGCCGGTCTCGAAGCTCAAGGAGATAGTCGTGTTTCCATATGCTCCAAAACTTTTTGGTCAGCTTTTCGGTTTCGGAAAGAGCTTGTCTTGCTTCCTTCTGGGAGATTAGCTCCGGCGTGATTCGATAATCTGGATCTTCATCATCATTGTCGGTAGGGATTAATTGTGTAGTTACAAGCCGAACGTCTTTGTAGATGAAGTCGATGGGTCGCAGGAATTTGCATGGTGGACCATCGTCACCAATATATGTGAGTGGTCTTGAGTTGAGAATTCCTTCGATCTCGCACAGCGATGTTTGTAGTAGCTCTTCTGTTAACTTTCGCCGTCCGATGGTTTTCTGCATAGCTCTTTTGGCGAGTCCAACCATTCTTTCCCAGACTCCTCCCATCCATGGTGAAGCTGGTGGTATGAAGTACCAGGAGATTCGATGTTCGGCTAAGAATAGCGATAGGTGGGTGTCGTCGTCGTTCGCTTCGTTACTGCTTAGAATTGTTTCACCTAGACGGAAGTTTGTTCCATTGTCGCTGATGATCTTTTCGGGAACTCCTCGGCGTGCGATGAATCGTTTGAGTGTGAGAAGGAAGCTCTTGGCTGAGAAATCTGTAGCCAATTCCAGATGTACAAGTCAAGTGACAAAGCATGTGAATAGTGCCACATAGCGCTTCTCGTCTGCTCCATTGGTGATTTCAATCAGGATCGTTCCCATATAGTCAACTCCACTGTAGGCGAATGGTGGTGCTTGCGTCACTCTTTCTTTTGGTAGTGGTCCCATATCCGGGTATGAGTAAGGTGATGAGTTGAACTTCTTGCATACAATGCAGTTGCGTAGGATTTTCTTGCACAGCACTCTGTCTCTAGGTATCCAGAATCGCTGGCGGAGTTCGCACAGTAATTGATTGCTTCCACAGTGCGCCATTCGTTCGTGGATACTTTCGGCAATTCGTAGTCCTAGTAAGCTCTGTTTAGGCACGTACATAGGGTTGGCAGTGTCGATGCGAACGTCGGCGTGTTGAATGCGTCCACATTTTCTTAGGATGCCGTTGGTGTCGTAGATCGTTTTAAACTGCTTGTTGTTGGACACAGCGGTGGTGCCGAAAACTCGTTGCTCTTGCAAAATGATGTACTTCTCTGCGAGGATGATCTCAGC